CAGGGACAGGGCCTGGCTGCAGCTTTCTTGGCAGGGACACCCCACACCTGACAGTAACAGAGCGCTGGGTTTGGCACAGGACATTCAACACCCAACCAGAGCAGGGGGCCTGGATTGCTTTTCCCTTGGCATGTGGACACAAATCCTGCTCCATGGCCTCAAAGCAAGCACTGGAGTTTGGATAGTGAGACCTCCAGGCTGACAAGTCACAAGTGCTGGAGCAGACACTGCTGGCATTTGCCCGGCCTCAGGGGAAGCCTCAGCAGCTGCCAGGCAGGGCTGGGACACATCACCTGCAGAGCAGGGATTTGGTCCCTCTGTGCCCAGTTTAGCTGAGCCTGTCTGCAGAGGGATATTTCCTCCAGCCAAAGAATTCCCTGCTGCAGGAGTGTTACAGGCACAGAATGCCAGCATCACTGAGGTGGGAAAAGAGCTCCCAGACCCTCGAGTCCAGCTGCTGGCACAGCACCCCCAGGAAATCTTCTCCAGCACCATTAAACCCTGACACCCTCTCTGCCAGCGCTGCACCTTGTGCTGCACGGCTCCCTCGGGCTCAGGAGCTCCTCAGTGTCCCTTCAGGAGCAGCCAGAGAACCGTTCCCTCTCTGCCCCTGCCAGCCTGGCACAGCAGGAGCACACTCCTGCCTTGTCCCCCCCCAGCCAGCAGGAACGTGCACTCTGCAAACTGAAACCATCTGCACTCCCGACTCCATGGCAGCAGTGACCCAGCCAGGGCTGCAGAAGGCTGGGGATCATCCTGCATGAAGCTGCTCTGCCCCTGCTCTGTCAGCCCCAGGGACACCAGCTCCTCTCCAAGGACAGCCTCCTTCCCTGTTGGGGACACGCTGCCTCCTCCACATGCCCCCAAATCCACTTGTCCTTCTCCAAATCGATGGTGTGTGCCCAGAGAGCTGCTGCCAGGCACAGCTCAAAGGCTGAGCACAGCCAGGGACTGGCACAGGGTGCCCAGAGAAGCTGGATCCCTGCAAGTGTCCCCTCGGCAGTCCCTTCATGGGGGAACAGCCCCAGAGCTCGCTGTGTGTGGGGACAGGTCACCACTGCCTCCCTGGACCCCAGCCCAGGAGGAGGAGAAGCTCCCAGTGACATCCTGATCGCTCCAGCAAGGGGGGGGTCCCATGTCACACACGGTCCCACCTTTACCACACTGGTCCTTGCTGCACCCACAGCCCCCCAAATCCCGGCTCTCCCTCATTGCAATTCCTCTGCCACACAACCCCGGGTCTCTCTGCAGCCCCCCAACCCACAAACCTCGGGTCTCACTGCAGCCAGCCCCCCCAAACCCTGTGTTTCCCTGTAACGACCCCCAAACTGGGGTTCCACTGCAGAACCCTAAAACCCCAATGTCTCACTGGAGCCTCACCCCAAAACCCAGGCTTCCCTGCAACGCCCCATCCCCAAACTCCAGGCTCCCCTGCAGCCCCCTGCCACCATCCCAGGTCTCACTGCAGCACCCTGTCCCCAAGCCCCTGGGTGTCACCGCAAAGCCACCAAACCCTGCGCCTCACTGCACCTCCCACCCAGGTTTCGGTTCTCACCTCAGCCCCCCGAAACCCCTGACAGTGCGTTGTTGTGACAATCCACACGTGCCAGATGTTTACGTGTGAGAAGAAGACAGAAGCGGCCCCAGGGGCGGTAGGCCAAAGCCAGGGGTGAAATCCACAGCCCTGCTGAAGTGCACGTGCACAAATGCTCACGGCGTGGGTAACAGGAAGAGTGGAAGCCGTGGTGCAACAGCAAGGCTATGATGTGGTCACCATCACGGAAACATGCTGGTGTGGGAAGTTAATTCGTAGAGAATTCTCAAACCTGATAGAAGGTTCACATAGTGTGCATCTGTATGTAAACCTTGAGATAAAAAATGCTGACTTAGAAATGTTGTGGAACAGGACAGACATTTTTGGGAGAGAAATGGAACCAGAAGCAAGTTTCAAAACATGGCCTTGCAAATAAGACTGGATACTTTTGAGAAATAGAACTATGAAAGATGCATTGTAGTAGGATCCACGAGGGGTAATTTTAGATTTTTGGTTTTGAGGCATCTACAGCATGGTGTGGCAAAAGCTGATAGACCAAGAAACACTTATAGTGTGTTGTAATTAGGGAATGATTGGCTTCGGATTGTAATGATGTGAACGACAACATCTGTGTTGTCTCACCCTTCACATGGGACTGAAAATGGAATACAAGTTTTTAAAATGCCTCTCAGTTGCCCCTGGGTCAGAAAAGGGCACAATCTGACATGGTGGGATGAGTCCCATTGCTGGAGAGCTGCACTGGATGGCTATAGGCTCTTCAGGAGAGACAGGAGAGGGAGAAGAGGTGGAGGGGTGGCCCTTTATGTTAGGGCGGCTTTGGACACCACAGGTATTGAAACTAATGATGATAAAGTTGAGTTGCTGTGAGTAACAATTAGGGGAAAGGCCAGCAAGGCTGTCGTCCTACTGGGAGTCTGTTATCATCCATCCAGCCAGGAAGAAGAGGCAGACAGCTTGTTCTACAAGCAGCTGGATGTTTCGGGATCACCAGCCCTTGTTCTTGTAGGTGACTTGAAGGAACAGCTTTCGTAGGTGCCTGGCGTTTGCTCAGAATCAAACCACGAGAGCCCGGACATGAAAGCTGGTTTTTATTGACTGATTGGAATAGTAATATCCTCATGAAAACATGTCTGAGATGTCCTCAGTTCTTCAGTGGGGTCTTGTGCACCGGGAGCTGGGAAAGGCGGCTCTGCAGGAGCTGGATACCGCAGAGAGCCGAGGACAGAGCCCTTCCCGAGGACACACGGCCAGAGGGACTCCAGCCACAAAATTACCAAGCCAAACCAAATACACGGAGAATCCAGGAGGACGCCGGGAGCTCACACTGTGCCAGAGGAGCTGTGAGCCCTGGGGATGTCCAGCCACAGCCACCTCGGGGTGGGTGATGTTGGGAAGATGTTTGAGCTCTGGGACACGTCCCAGTCTCTGCTGGAGCTGTGGGGGGAAAGGGCAGGGTCTGCCCCTGGCTCACCCCAGGGCTCTCTGTTGGGTCTGCTGGGCACCATGTCCAGCATTCCTGGGATGGGACAGATCCCTGTGCCAGGGAATGTGACAAATCCCTGTGCCAGAGCTCTGAGTGGAGCAGGGATGGTGCTGGGGATGCTCTGTGTCCTCTCACTGCGGGGCACCATGTCCAGAATTCCCGAGGTGGGACAGATCCCTGTGCCAGGGAATGTGACCTCCAGAGCTCCAGGAGGAGCAGGGACAGTGCTGGGGACGCTCTGTGCCTTCTCACTCTGCTGGGCACCATGTCCAGAATTCCCGAGGTGGGACAGATCCCTGTGCCAGGGAATGTGACCTCCAGAGCTCCAAGAGGAGCAGGGTCAGGCACAGGGGATGCTCTGTGCCCTCACTGCTGGGCACCATGTCCAGCATTCCCGAGGTGGGGCAGATCCCTGTGCCAGGGAATGTGACCTCCTGAGCTCCAAGAGGAGCAGGAATCGCGTTGGGGATGCTCTGTGCCCTCACTGCTGGGCACCATGTCCAGCATTCCCGAGGTGGGGCAGATCCCTGTGCCAGGGAATGTGACCTCCAGAGCTCCAAGAGGAGCAGGGATCGTGTTGGGGATGCTCTGTGCCCTTACTGCTGGGCACTATGTCCAGCATTCCCAAGGTGGGACAGCTCCCTGTGCCAGGGAATGTGACCTCCAGAGCTCCAAGAGGAGCAGGGATGGTGCTGGGGATGCTCTGTGTCCTCACTGCTGGGCACCATGTCCAGTATTCCCAAGGTGGGACAGATCCCTGTGCCAGGGAATGTGACCTCCAGAGCTCCAAGAGGAGCAGGGATGGTGCTGGCAGTGGGGGCAGGTGTGGATGTGACAGCCTGGTCAGAGAATGAGAAAACCAGATACGTTTTCTCAGGGCAGACTTGCGAGACTTCAGGGAGTTGTAGAGAAATGATGACAGCTTGTTATTGGGGATGCTCTGTGCCCTCACTGCTGGGCACCATGTCCAGCATTCCCGAGGTGGGACAGATCCCTGTGCCAGGCAATGTGACCTCCAGAGCTCTAAAAGGAGCAGGGTCAGGCACGGGGGATGCTCTGTGCCCTCTCACTCTGCTGGGCACCATGTCCAGCATTCCCGAGGTGGGACAGATCCCTGTGCCAGGGAATGTGACCTCCAGAGCTCTGAGAGGAGCAGGGATGGTGCTGGGGATGCTCTGTGCCCTCACTGCTGGGCACCATGTCCAGCATTATTGAAGAAGGACAGATCCCTGTGCCAGGGAATGTGACCTCCAGAGCTCTGAGAGGAGCAGGGATGGTGCTGGGGATGCTCTGTGCCCTCTCACTCTGCTGGGCACCATGTCCAGCATTCCTGGGGTGGGACAGATCCCTGTACCAGGCAATGTGACCTCCAGAGCTCAAAAAGGAGCAGGGTCAGGCACTGGGGATGCTCTGTACCCTCACTCTGCTGGGCACCATGTCCAGCATTCCTGGGGTGGGACAGATCCCTGTACCAGGCAATGTGACCTCCAGAGCTCAAAAAGGAGCAGGATCAGGCACTGGGGATGCTCTGTGTCCTCTCCCTGCTGGGGCTGGCACATCCCCAGCTGCTCCAGCCCAGCTCCCTGCTCCATCCTGGATTCTGAACATCCCTCCAAGGAGCCTTTCTGGAGCACTCCCACAGCCCCAGCTCCCCTCTCCTTCCCCTGATTCCCAGGAAGGCACCAGCCACAACCCCACTGGTCAGAAGGCTCGGGGATTCCCACAGGAGCCAGCTGGGCACCTCTCCCAGCCCTGGTGTGGGATGCAGAGTGTGGGGTCTGTGCCCTGCTCCTGCCCCATTTCCCTGGCACTGAGTGGGACCCACAGAGGAGGAATGCAAGAGGAGACCCAGCAGCAGGGAGGAAATGCTCCCAAGGCTGCCCAGAGGTCACGAGGAGGAGAAGGACACGGGGCTGGGAAGGTTGTCCCTGGGGCTAGGGGCACGGGAGAGGCTCCAGCCCTTCATGCTCCCAGCAGCTTCTTGACCATGTATCCGGGCATGCTGTAGAGGAACAGGGCCACCATGACGAGGAGCAGCAGGGCCAGCACGATCTTGATGATCAGCCACTTGTAGCGGGTGCAGATGAGGTATTTGATGGACTTGAGCGGGTTCAGGAACCAGATGAACGACGTGTCCGGGCGGCTGCAGGGGAAACAAACACCCATTGTTAATCCATCGCCGTGGAAAGGGATTCATGGACCTTAAAGTTCATTTTTTTTTGTTTTGTTTCACTCCCTGCCATGGGTAGGGACAGCTTCCACTATCCCAGGTTGCTCCAAGCCCTGTCCAGCCAGGCCTTGGGCACTGCCAGGGATGCAGGGACAGCCCCAGCTGCTCTGGGCACCCTGTGCCAGGGCCTGCCCACCCTGCCAGGGAACAATTCCCAATTCCCAATCTCCCATCCAGCCCTGCCCTCTGGCAGTGGGAGCCATTCCCTGTCTCCTGTCCCTCCAGGCCTTGTCCCCAGTCCCTCTGCAGCTCTCCTGGAGCCCCTTCAGGCCCTGCCAGGGGCTTTGAGCTCTCCCTGGATCCTTCTCCTCTCCAGGTGAGCCCCCCCAGCTCTCCCAGCCTGGCTCCAGAGCAGAGGGGCTCCAGACTCAGAACACCTCTGTGGCCTGCTCTAGCCCCTTTCCAGCAGGTCCACTTCTTTCCTGTTTTGGGGCTTGGAGGTGGATGCAGCACCCCAGGCAGGAGCAGAATCCCCTAATCCCAGGTCCCTGCTGCAGAGAGGCTTCTCCCACTCACTTGGGTTTCTCCAGGGGATCAGGCTCATTTCTTGCCAGCCCAGCAGGGGATTTCTCAGCCTCCTCCGCTGTCAGAAGGTGCAGCTCAGCCTCGACTTTGCCCTGCAGGGTTCAGAGAGCTGTGCTGAGGCCTGGGACGTGCTCCCAGCCCAGAAGGAACAAAGCCACGTGGGGGGATGCAGGGTGTCCACAAGGAGTGCAGAGCCCAGGAGGCAAACCCTCCCTTTTCCCCAGCCTTACGGTGATCTCCAGCTCATCGTTCTCGTCTCTGGCCACGAACGGCCACCAGCCCTTGACCCGCTTCTGCTTGAAGATGGAGATCATGGGCAGCTCAGCCTCGTTGGTCACCATCTCCAGGCTGCACTGCTTGGACGTCTTGGCTCCCCGGGGGAAGCGGTTCAGGTCCAGCTCGATGGCCCCTGGCAGGACAAAAGGGAGGACAGAGGTTGGCATGCCAGAAAAGCAAAGCCCTTGGCTGGAGATGGGCTGGACCAGCATCTCCTGCCCTGGGGAGCAGCTTTGAGGCAGCTCTGGGAAGGAACACGGGGTGTCTGGGCTACAGGAGCAGTGGAGAAAAGGGATCTCAGAATCATGGAGACATGGATGTTGGAAAAGAGCTCCCAGACCCTCGAGTCTAACCTGTGAATGATCCCCACCTTGTCCCCAGCCCAGGGCACTGGATGTCCAGTCCTTCCTTGGACACCTGCAGGGATGGGCACTCCAAAGCTCCCTGGGCAGCCCCTGCCAAGGCCTGATCACCCTTTCCATGGGGAAATTCCTCCTGGTGTCCAACCTGAGCCTGCCCTGGCCCAGCCTGAGTCCCAGCCTGTCGCACTCAGTGGGGTTGCTGTGACCCCAGCTCAGCACTTCACCTCAGCCATGGATCCAGCCATGTCCAGAACCCTCTGCAGACCCTCCCTGCCCTCTCAGCCCACCCGCTCCATCCAGCAGCAGCTCAGGGGGGTTTGTGGGGTGCTCTGGACCCTCCACGTACCCAGGAAATCATCGGCTGAGAAGTGGTCGGCATCCCAGACCTGCAGGGTGAGGCGGGCCGGGATCTTGTACTCGGTCTCGTCCCAGGAGAACATGGACTCCTTCTTGGAGATGACGATCTTCTCCTCGGCCATCAGGTAGTCGAAGGGGAAGATGTAGCGCCAGTTGAAGTTGCCCTCCCCAGTGAGGGAGTGGTAATGGACATCCGTGTCCTGCTTGTCCTCCTGCTGCCCCTTCAGCCACCTGCAGGGCCCAGGGGGTGAGTGTAGCAGGCCCAGGGCCTGCAAGGCCTCCTTGGAGGCCAGAAGCCCGAGCTAGGAATTGCCAATTCATGCTGGCTGGGCCTTAAAAGCCCCTCTCTTCCTCCTTTTGGACCTTGCTTATCTCCCTGTAGGTCACTTTTCCCTGACCCTTACTGTAGCAGGCCCAGGGCCTGCAAGGCCTCCTTGGAGGCCAGAAGCCTGAGCTTGGAAATGCCAATTCGTGATGGCTGGGCCTTAAAAGCCCTTCTCTTCCTCCTTTCAGACCCTGCTTATCTCCCTATAGGTCACTTTTCCTGACCCTTACTGTAGCAGGCCCAGGGCCTGCAAGGCCTCCTTGGAGGCCAGAAGCCTGAGCTAGGAATTTCCAAGTCATGATGGCTGGGCCTTAAAAGCCCCTCTCTTTCTCCTTTTGGACCTTGCTTATCTCCCTGTAAGCCTGTAGGTCACTTTCCCCTGACCCTTACTGTTGGAATCCAGGATGCCCTGGATGGCTCAAAGCCCTGGCAGGGCCTCGGAGACCCTGGCAGGAAGCCAAAGACACCTGGAAATTTGATCTCAACCCATGGAGCAAATTACCAACTTTGTATGAAGAATTAAAACTCACAGAAGTTTTAAGTGGCATAGCAGTAGCAATCACAGGGTGAAGGGAAAAATTTTGGAGCACTGTACAAGGGGGTTTTGGACCTTGTACAGGGGGGTTTGGAATTCTGTGCATGGGGGTCAGGGGTTCAGTATGGAGGGATTTGGGTGTGCCCTGTCCTTCTTCTTTCTTCTCCCTGGCATCCATGTTCAGGATGATGTTGACACTCACAGATTGGTTTAGAGTAGAAAGTCACTAATATAGGTGATAGGTATTGGAACATAATTGTAAACATAGTATATGTAGTTTTTAGTATAAAAGATAGCACAAGCCTGAGAGGCAGGGAGTGTGCCTCGGACCAACCTGCAGAACAGACCTTGGCAGGCCAGACAGAAAATGTTTGAGATAAAGAAATAATAAACAACCTTGAGAACGTGAACCGAAGACTTCTCCACTCCTTCTTCTGCTGTTGGGTTGGGGAAAAGAGACTTTTAACAGAGACACACCTCGGCATCTTCCCAATCACACCGACCAGACCAGACCAGAGGAGGAGATCCCAAGAACTGGTGTCCCTGGGTGAGCAATGAAGGGTGAGCTCGAACTCACCACCAGAGAGGAGAAGATCCCGAGACCTTACTACTGGACAATTTCCAAAACCCCTGTAGGGTATAAAAACCCCTAATTCCACCTGGTTCGGCAGAAGAGCTGTCACTGAGAGCCTTCGTGGAAGACCCTAATAAAGAATCTTGCGGAACCTCACACAGCTTCTTCTCCTCTCTCTCCCTGCGTCTGCTGCTGCGGCCCAAGCAAGCTAAAGAGCTGAAATCACAGAGAGCTGATAATCACTGTTATGAATAAAAATTATCTATTTTTTTTTAAGATTGCAGAGTTAAAACGGAACCAGTTGCTGTTAAGTTAGCTTCATGTTGCAGCCACCTATTGTTGAGAGTTCTTCTTCAATTACCTGTTAATGGTTGGTGATTAACCATTGTCCCCCTGATGCTCGCCAGGGAGTGACACAGGACCCTGCAGGTAGCAGGGCCAGGGGAGTGACATCAGAGCTGGTATGCAGATAAGAATGCATTTCGCCAAATTTTGCAGTTTTCCAGGAAAACCCCTAAAAACAACGAGCCAACATAGAATTAAGAGACCTACGTGATGTCTAAGGATGAGGAACGTAATCCAGTATCTGCTAAGATCCCTTGTACTTCTCACCCTAACCTGAAAAGATTGTTAACTAAAGAGAGGACCCGAAATATTAGACCGAAAAAGCGGAATTTCCTAATCTCCCGTGAGGACGGAATCCCCAGCTCTGCCTGCAGACCAGTGGACACAGCTGCATCATCATCATCATCCTACTCTGTGCCACTCCTGGGAGCAGCGGCGTCGTGGGTGCCGTTGGTTCTCCCCACCTGAGCTGATTCTTTTTAATGAAGGCATTAAAAAGGAGAAAGATCTCCTGCCCCTTTATTTCAGTCACTAGGAGCTGATAATCACTATAGCTTGCTTGGCTGCCTGCAGCTGGGAACGGCTTGGGAGTTCGGAGGCTGTTCTGAGCCTCCGCTGAGTTATCCTGACTCCAGGCAAAACCAGGCAAAAAAGTTATCCACCAGGCAAAACCCGGCTGGAAACTGCTGTGAGAGGTTTACATGGGGCAGGAGCGGGGACAGGAACACCCTGTCCAGGCAGCCAGGGTGCCTCCAGGACTGGAGAAACCCAAAAGTGATGAACAAGGGGATGGGGCTGCTCCAGGCAGTGCAGCGGCAAATCCAAGGGGCAGGAGGATCCCAGAGGGAACGGAGAACTTCGGGAGGAGGGGATTCAAGGGGGGGTGTGCGAGGGTTTCCCCTGGGGGAGGAGATGTTAGGGAATTGTACAGGAGCTGGGGAGGCTGGAGCAGAGCAGGATGGAAAGGGATCAGAACTTTGGACATGGGACTGGAGTAGCAGGACAGTGGGAATGGCATCCCACTGGAAAAGGGGAGTTTTGGATGGGACATTGGGCAGGAATTGTTCCCTGTGAGGGTGGGGAGGATCTGGCACGGGGTGCCCAAAGCAGCTGTGCCTGCCCCTGGATCCCTGGAAGTGCCCAAGGCCGTTCCAAGCCTGGTCCAGCCTGGGTTTGGACATTTCCAGGGATGGAAGGTCCTCAAATTCCAGAGGATGGAGCTGCTGGGATGGCTCCAAGGTCTCCTCAGAGCTCAGGGTTTTGCTTGGATTCCTTGGAGCTCCATCCCACAGGTTTGTCTGTTGAGAGAGAGCCATGGTCTGGAGCAGCCTGGAAGATGTCCACACGCATGGCAAGGGCAGGGATGAGGTTAAAAGTCCTTTCCCGCCCGAAGCATTCCATGATTCCGTGACTCTCTGACGTGGTGAAGTTCTGGAAGGGGCTTTCCCTTCCTGCTGAAGGAGGGTGAAGCAGAGATGGGAACAAACCAACAGAACAGCACCACCACCTTGGCTCCAGACTCTGGGCCTGGAGCTGGCAGGGTGGAAATGCCATGAGGCGACATCCCGACAAGCTCAGGGAGGGGCAGAGGGGACTGAATGGTGCTTTAAGTTTTAGCTTTTCTATTTTTCACATTCTGTGCTGCTCTAGTGTGTGGGTCTGGGTTTCATATTAGGGAATGGTGAGCTCTGTGCACAGAGCAGGGAGACAAAACAATTCCTGCTCCAGCTGGGTACCAAGGACAAGTGATCCAAATTTCAGCCCAGGATTGATTCAGAATCCATCTTGGGTGTAGGCTTTCATACTGCCCAAGGTGTATCCTTTGAAGGCCTTTTAATAAATCCCTATTATTATTATTTATTAATCCCTCTTTATTCCGTTAACTCTGTCCAGCCTCTGTTCTAGGTGGCCTCTCCAGGCATCAGTTTTTGGCAACTCTGCCAGGACACCAAAGCATCTGGAAAACCCCTGGGCCAGAGGCTGCCCCTCACTCTCACCAGCACGCCCAGGGGTCCCCAGCTGAGGTCCAGAAGGTCTCAGAGCCCAGGAATCCTCTGAATGAAGGTGGTATTTTGTGTGATACCTTCTGGACTGCAGCTGGGGCCCCTCCTGGGGGTGCTGGCAGGAGTTGGGGCAGGAGCTGGGTGCTCCTCATCCAGGGGCTTTTCCAGATGTTTTCTGCCCCTTTGTGGTCACAAAAACTGATGCCTTGAGAAAGCTGAGCTAGAACAGAGTTAAAGAATAAAGCAGGGGTTTATGGAAAGGATCTCCTCCATGGATCCACCTTCGGCAGCACAAGAGCCCAGCCAGGGCTGCAGCCAAGATGAGCCCAAATGGTCCCAAAATGCACGATGGTCACGGGGTCTGTCCCTGGGATCAGCTCTGCTCCATGTGCACATTGCAGTTCAGTGTCCAATCCCAGCTCAGCCCCTGCACTCCCATCCTGCTTGTTTTCCTCTCTTCATTCCACGGGGTTTGTGCTCTTGGGCTGAAATTTGGATCATTTGTCCTTGGTGCCCAGCTGGAGCAGGAATTGTTTTGTCTCCCTGCTCTGTGCAGAGAGCTCACCATCCCCTCATGTTAAACCCAGACCCACACACTAAAGCAGCACAGAATGTGAAAAAATACAAAATATAAAGATATACAAATATAAAAGCTAAAACCTGAGGCATCAGTAGCACCTGAGTTAGGTGCTAGAAGGCATCACAAGAACGAGACCTCGTCACCCCTTGACAGAGATGTCACATGGACAGAAGCTGAGCTGGGCAGTGCCACCAACCTCCTGGCCCTGGTGCAGTGGAAGACGTGGGAGAGATGAACTCAAGGTAAGAACAAAAATCACGACATCACATCTGGTCACTCTGACTGCTCTGAGGAGAGGAGATGTAACAAAGACATCGCTGGTGCAAGAGGATGTAACAGGGACTTCATAACAGAAAAGATTGTGTTGCTGATGGAACAGGGGCAGAGTGGGAAATATTGTGTGGAAGTTAGGGAACTGTAAATTAGTATAATTTAAGTATAATTAGTATAACTGTAAATTAGAACTGGTAATTTGCGTAATAAACTGGCTTTGCTTGCATAGCATGGTCCGTGTGTCTCTCAGCCTCTGCAATGCCCGGCATCTCCTCTCCCACCAGGAAATTGTCACCATCCAAAACCACCCCAGTGGAGCTCCAGACAAGCAGCTCCAAGCAGGACCCACTGGATGTGCAGCCAAGGAGAGGGGGAGAGGCAGGAAAAGCCAGCAGCATCTTTGGAATCTCACCAGAGGCAGGAAAGAGACTCTCAGGAAACATCCCCAGCAAGAACCTGGCCAAGATGCCCAGACATCCATCCCCTTCCCCTCGTGTGATCTCCATGCTGGATTCTCCCCAGAGAGGGGGTGAGGACCCCCAAACTCTCCAGTCCCACCTCCAGGTGTGGCACAGCAGCAGATGAGAACACATCTGCCCAGCCCTGGCTGGTTTTGGGGTCCCCCAGCACCGCCTGTGTCCCACCCCCGCGGGGACTGGTGCCCACGTGGGAGAGGAGGAGGAAGTGCCAGTGGAATTCCAGGCTGTACCTACCCCCTGACAAAAATGCCACGGGATTTCTTCCTTGTGGAGGAGGTGCCAGTGGAATTCCAGGCTATACCTATCCCTGGACAAAAATGTCACTGGATTTCTCCCTGGTGGAATTCTGTACGTACCCCCTGACAAAAATGTCATTGGATTTCTCCTGGTGGAATTCCAGCCTGTACCTACCCCTGGACAAAAATGTAATTGGATTTCTCTCTGGTGGAATTCTGTACCTACCCCCTGACAAAAATGTCACTGGATTTCTCGCCGGTGAAGTAGTCGTCGTCCTCCAGGATGACCTCGTCGGTGTTCCACACGATCACCCTGAGCTCGTACCTGCCCGAGGGAGGGAGAGAGAGGTGAGGCATGGGAGCAGGGAACAGGAGCAGGGAATGGGAGCGGAGAAGTCAGGATGGTGCTGCCAGGAAGCAGGGCCAGCTGCCAGGAAACTGGAATTGCTCACAGGGATCTGTCCCAGGGATCTGTTGGGCAGGATCAGGGACAGGAGGGGATCTCAACCATGGAGATGATTACAGGGATGGGACTCTTCCCATGGGGACAGGCTGGGACATCTGGGAATGTTCACCTGGAGAAGGATCCAGGGAGAGCTCAGAGCCCCTGGCAGGGCCTGGAGGGGCTCCAGGAGAGCTGCAGAGGGACTGGGGACAAGGCCTGGAGGGGCAGGATCCAGGGAATGGCTCCCACTGCCAGAGGGCAGGGCTGGATGGGAGATTGGGAAGAGATTCCTGGCTGGCAGGGTGAGGAGGGGCTGGTCTGGAATTCCCAGAGCAGCTGTGGCTGTCCCTGGATCCCTGGGAGTGTCCCAAGTCTTGGATGGGGCTGGGACCGCCCTGGGATAGTGGAAGCTGTCCCTGCCCATGGCAGGGGGTGGGATGAGATGAGCTTTAAGGTCTCTTCCCTCCCAAACCATTCCATGATTCCATGATCTCCATGTGAGCTCGGATCAGCCTCACCAGGGTGAGCCAATCTCCAAGGGGAGCTTTCCCTCCTCTGCTCCCAGCCTCTGCAAAGATCTTGCCAAGGGCTCAATGGGGCAGCCCAGGCTTGGATTTTGGGAGATTTCTGTCCAAAATTGGGTCTGCAAAACAACCAGAGCCCAGCTCTGTTCCCGCTCTCCTCCCTTTACTCAGCAGGGCTGTGATTCCCCCCCAAAATGGGTTTAGAGTCCTCCTGAGGGCTCCAGGAGGTTCAGGGTCTCCAGGGAATTCCCAGCACTGCCTTCTGTGCATGGCAGCCTGGGGGCTCCCAGTCCCTTCTGCTTGGGAATCTGTTGGGAATTTTTCTCCCAGGTACCCAGATGTACGGAATAATGAGCGGCTGTGGGATGTGAAGTGGATGAGGACGGATCAGGAGGCACCGGAGATTTTCTCTGCCGGCCTCCCGGGGTGTCCTCTCCACCCTGAGGTGGGTTAGGGCTGCACTGGCCCCTGCGGGGTGCCCCCATTCCCGCTGGAAGGTGGGACCTGCTCGATGCCCGGCTTGTCGGGGTTGAGCAGCGGCCGCGTCTCCACGTGCTCGGGGACCAGGCGGCAGCCGGCCCGCGGGATGTCCTCCCAGTGCCGCAGCACCGCCAGCGCCAGGTGCTCGTCCGTCGGCTTCTTCTGGCCTGGGGGACAAAGGACAGCTCGGACAGCTGGGACAGGGACACAGGGACAGCAAAGCACCCAGGGCCTCCACCCGTGCTCCAAGGTGAAGAACTGCCTCAGCCTTTCCATCCCAAGGGCTGCAGAAGTGTCCTGAGGTGCAGAACTTCCTCATCCTCTCCATCCCTTGGGACAAAGGGTTCCCAAGGAGTGCAGAACTGTCCCAAGGTGCAGAACTGTCTCATCCTCTCCATCCCTTGGGACAAAGGGTTCCCAAGGAGTGCAGAACTGTCCCAAGGTGCAGAACTGTCTCATCCTCTCCATCCCTTGGGACAAAGGGTTCCCAAGGAGTGCAGAACTGTCCCAAGGTGCAGAACTGTCTCATCCTCTCCATCCCTTGGGACAAAGGGTTCCCAAGGAGTGCAGAACTGTCCCAAGGTGCAGAACTGTCTCATCCTCTCCATCCCTTGGGACAAAGGGTTCCCAAGGAGTGCAGAACTGTCCCAAGGTGCAGAACTGTCTCATCCTCTCCATCCCTTGGGAACACTTTGTCCCAAGGGCTGCAGAATTGTCCCGAGGTGCAGAACTGCCTCATCCTCTTCATCCCTTGGGAACACTTTGTCCCAAGTGTTGCAGAACTGTTCCAAGGTGCAGAACTGCCTCATCCTCTCCATCCTTTGGGACAAAGTGTTCCCAAGGGTTGCAGAACTGTCCCAAGGTGCAGAACTGTCTCATCCTCTCCATCCCTTGGGAACATTTTGTCCCAAGGGTTGCACAAGTATCTGGACATGCAGAACTGCCTCATCCTCTCCATCCCTTGGGACAAAGTGCTCCCAAGGGCTGCAGAACTGTCCCAAGGGTTGCAGAACTGCCTCAACCTCTCCATCCCTTGGGAACACTTTGTCCCAAGGGTTGCAAAAGTGTCCCAAGGTGCAGAACTGCCTCATCCTCTCCATCCCTTGGGAACACTTTGTCCCTCAGCTGGCACTTCCTAACTCCTCTTACATCCTTCTAACCCCTGTAAGGTTCAAGATCCCCATTGAGTTTTCCCTCTCTGAACCAGTCCCATGTCCACTGACCATGTTTTCCTTCTTTCCTTCACCCCTCCTGGGCTATTTCCCTCTTTCTTCGGCACACATGAGTGTGTTGGGACACAACCCTAATCTCCCATTGTTTGGGAATGCATTCCCATGGATAACACTCTCCTAAACAATGGAAAAGCCGTGAGGTGTCTCCATGACTCTTGGGACATGCACTGCTCAGAGAGCATTTCCAGAGGCAGCTTTGGGTGTCCGTGGATGTTCCTTGGGTGATTCCAAGAGGAACCCGCTGGTCTGGAGGGTCTGTAGGACTCTGTACTGGTCTGTACTGGGATGGTGCCTGCAGGGCTGGGTGATGCGCCCACCACATCTGTCTGGGGGGGTTGGACTGGAAGGTCCATTTCAAACCACTCCATGATTCAATCTACTCTGAGATTCCAACCCTGGATGATGAGGAGACCCCCCCCCCCCCCCAAACCCCTGCTCTGCTCCAGAACCTCCATCCCATGGGATGATCCCACAGGGCCATACCATTTTCATCCTCGATCTCCGTGGGGCCGGTGAAGACCCTGTTGGCAACTTTCACTCTTCCCCCTGGCCCAAAGTGCGGCCCATCCACTTTTCCCTCTTTGCACAGCTTGGACAGGATTTGGGAGGGCTTCATGGGGTCACGCCAGGTGTTGTACCCGTGGCTGGGAACAGGAGGGCGAGATCAGAAAAAAACGTTGTGAAAACAAATATTTTTTTTTCCCTTTTGCCAGAAAAATACCCCCACAAAAACCCCAGAATTCCCAGGGAAAGAATTTGAGGCAGCAAAGATGAAACTTCAGAGCAGAGTTGATCCCTCTGTGCCCTTTTTGCAAACACCTTCCACCCCACTTTGGCTCAGACCTGGAATTCCCAGTGCATCCTGCTTGATTCCTGATGCTCGGCATCACTCCATTTGCTCTGCTCCAATTTCAGCCCTGACCTCCCCCTCCTCCCAGTCCCACCAGTCCCCCCAGTCCCTCCCTCCTCCCCTGGGCTCCTGATGACGCATTCCACCACTCCCTAATGCTGGTGACAAAACCAGGGACAGCACGGACTCCTCCATTCACCCCTGCCCCTTGCAGGATTGGACAACGTGAGGTTTTTCCCAAAAACAAATAATTCCAGGACCAGCAGGCAGCCAAGGGGGGGAGATTCCGGGGGCAGCTCTGGGTGGGAAGTGACACAGAGGAGGGTCCAGGTGTGAGGTGGGGCAGGGGAGGCTTTTCCCATACATGGAGTAGGTCTGGGACACGCCGCAGGTCGCCCGGTGCTTGCTGTAGAAGCGATTCTCCAGGTCAATCTTGGTCTCACCAATGAGGTCGTCAGTGCCCACCAAATCCCAGTCGTACACAGCCACGGTCAGCATGGACTCCATGGGGAAGGTGGCCTCGATATCAAAGGATCTGGTGTTGGGGGAAGCAGAGAAAAGCTGCTTTAGGGTCTGGCTGCTGCTCAGGACAGGGGTGAGTCTGCTCCAGCCCGTGGATGTTGTTCTGTCTGCATCCATCACCGCCTGAGGTGGGGTTAAACTCAACGACTGTCGGAAGCCAGGACGCCCCTCTGGGTGCCCTGGGTGGCTCGAGCCCCTGGCAGGGGCTTGGAGAACCTGGCAGGGGGCTGGGGAGTCCTGGCAGGAAGCCCAAGTCACTTGGGATTTCGATCTTAACCCACGGAGCAAGTTACCACTTGGAGAACCTGGCAGCGGGCTGGGGAGTCCTGGCAGGAAGCCCAAGACACTTGGGATTTGGATCTTAACCCACGGAGCAAGTTACCAACTTGGCATGAACAATTACAAGTCACAGAATTTTAAGTAGCGTAATAGTAGTTGTTGCAGGGTGAAAAGTAGAATTTTGGGATTTTTAGAAGGGGGGTTTGGAGTCCCAAGATGGAGGAATTTGGGTGTTCCCTGTCCTTCTTCTTTCTCCTTCATAACCGCCATTTTCTGGGTGATGCTGACACTCTTAGATTGGTTTAGAGTAGAAGTAGACAGTCTAACATAAGTGATAGGTGTTGGAAAATAATGATAAATAAAGTATATGTAATTTGTAACATAAAATGTAGATACCAGCCCAGGGGCAGGAAGTGTGCCCTTGATAGACCTGCAGAGCAGACCTCTGTGGGTCTGAGAAAAAATATTTTAGATAATAGATAATAAACAACCTTGTGAACCAGAGCCAAAAAATTCCAACACTTTCTTTGACCATCGGTCTAGGAAAAAGGGACTTTCAGGTCATCCCGACAGCAGGAAACCCAAGAAACCACCAGCCCTTGACAGAAAGGAAAATCCTTGACCTGGATGTCCCAACACCCCTGAAGCTGAGTTTGTGTCTTATTCTCACTCAAATTTAGGTCTAATGACTCCTAAGCGGGTGTTTCACTTTGATCAGATAAATTTCAGGTTCATCTGTTAAACACCCGGTGCTACGCTGACCACAGGCTGGCACAGGAGGACATCCTGGAAGGACATCCACACTGGGGGATAAATCCCATAAATAAAGCTAAATAGTAAAGCTAAATAAATAAAGATAAATCCAGCTCAAGGAGCAGCCATGGGACACCTGCACAGGAGGACATCCTGGAAGGACATCCACACTGGGGGATAAATCCCATAAATAAAGCTAAATAGTAAAGCTAAATAAATAAAGATAAATCCAGCTCAAGGAGCAGCCATGGGACACCTGCACAGGAGGACATCCTGGAAGGACATCCACACTGGGGGATAAATCCCATAAATAAAGCTAAATAGTAAAGCTAAATAAATAAAGATAAATCCAGCTCAAGGAGCAGCCATGGGACACCTCAGCTGCAGGTCCCAGAGCTGGCAAGCTCTTGGGCCCAGCTCCAGGCGCAGACTTACTTCCCAAAAACAGGGTTCAGCTGCTTGGAGATGTAGTTCTCCTTGTCCTTGATGTCCGTCTTGCCCAGCTTGATGGCGATGTAGGGATCGGCTTTCCCGTTGATGTCAGCCGGGTGCAGGTCCGTGGCCTGCAGGGAGCAGGTGGGATGGGTCAGCGCTGTCCACAGCAGCCAAGGATTCAGGGATGGGCCCGTTCTCCATCCCTGATGATGGGTTTCTCTTCGAGCCAGGTCTTAGGAGCTCTCAGAGAACCCATCACACCCAAGCTATCACACCCAAGCTACCCTGAACGGCATAAAATTAGCAGGATGGCTTCTGAGGTAGTGTTGGGAAGAGAAAAAAGTTTTAATAAAAGGTAAAATAACAAAGCTCTTACAGAGAAAAACTGAGCCAGGGGCAAGAGGTTCTTGCTCCTGCTAAAACACCCCGCAAAAGTGATTATTTCCTTTGTTCTCTCCCTTTTCTGGTGAATTACCTAGGTGGGACCTCTTGGCCTCTGTCCAATTGGCAACCCCAGGCTTGAGGTGAAGTCTCAAAGGTCCCTTGAGATCCTCAAAGGTCTCTTGAGGTGTCTTTTTACCAAATAGAGGAGAGAAACTTCTGGGCTTTTTTCCTTTTTAGGCAGACAAAGGATAATTTGGTGACTCCTTCAACAGGGGGCACGTTCCTACATTCTGAGAACACCCAGCCGCTTCAGTCCCTAAACAGAGTGTCTTGGATTGAAAAGGGGATGAAATGGTGTCTTGGATTACACTGGGGATATTCCTGCCCCATGTAAATCCCTGTCCTAGTTTAGGGAGACGTTGGAACTGGCTTTGTCCTGAGATGTCACCACAGTGACCTTTGGAATCACCAGAGGTAAGAAAAATGATGAAGAGGAGACTCTAAGGAAACATCCCCAGCAAAAACCTGGCCAAGATACCAAGATATCCATCCCCTTCCCCTCTCCACGCTGGATTCTCCCCAGAGAGGGGGTGAGGACCCCCAAACTCTCCAGTCCCACCTCCAAGCATGGCACAGCAGCAGATGAGAACACATCCGCCCAGCCCTGGCTGGTTTTGGGGGCTGACCAAGCTGGTGTCTGCTATTCCAGCCTGGTGATGGATGGGAGACTCCGTATCCCAGCGGGAAGCAGCTCTGGATGGAGAACCAGGCTGGTGGGAAACGGAGCCAAAAGTAGGTTCTGTTTGTAACACACTGGGACAAGTTGGTGGCAAAGGGCAGCCTGGGTGCTTCCGAGGGATGGAGATCCCTTCCAAGTGCCTGGCTGCAGAATCCCACCCTTGGGGGCAGGGAGATGACTAGTTCAGGGGTCAGGAAATTACTTTTCCCAGAGCACATTCCATGTGTAAATGAAAAATGTGTTGGCTGGATCACGTCGCGACCACGAAACGCGTGTTCGAGGACGTGCCGTGTCCTTCACAAGGATCTCCTCAATCCTGCCAGATCCCATTCCACCCTTTTTCTTGTTTGTAACACACTGGGACAAGGTGGTGGCAAAGGGCAGCCCGGGTGCTTCTAGAGGGATGGAGATCCCTCCCAAGTGCCTGGCTGCAGAATCCTACCCTTGGGGACAGGGGGATGACTAGTTCAGGGGTCAGGAAATGACTTTTCCCAGAGCACATTCCATGTGTAAATGAAAAATGCGTTGGCTGGATCACGTCGCGATCATGAAATGCGTGTTCGAGGAGGTGCCGTGTCCTTCACAAGGATCTCCTCAATCCTGCCAGATCCCATTCCACCCTTTTTCTCCCATTCTCTCCCATGCTGAACCATCACCGGGGTGTCGGCCTGGCTGTGGAATGAACCAACACCTCACAGTGCAGGCTGATCCAAACTATCCGTGGGAACTGAGCACTAGGACACGCTGGTCCATCTCACCTCCTGGAGAGAGCTCTCTGGATCTGGCAGGAGCTTGGATCTGTCCTGTTCCCAGTGCTGGGAGCACACAGCCCTGGAGACAGTGTTGGGTCCGTTGGCTGGATCACGTCGCGATCATGAAATGCGTGTTCGAGGAGGTGCCGTGTCCTTCACAAGGATCTCCTCAATCCTGCCAGATCCCATTCCACCCTTTTTCTCCCATTCTCTCCCATGCTGAACCATCACCGGGGTGTCGGCCTGGCTGTGGAATGAACCAACACCTCACAGTGCAGGCTGATCCAAACTATCCGTGGGAACTGAGCACCAGGACACGCCGGTCCATCCCACCTCCTGGAGAGAGCTCTCTGGAACTGGCAGGAGCTTGGATCTGTCCTGTTCCCAGTGCTGGGAGCACACAGCCCTGGAGACAGTGTTGGGTCTGGATATCCTTGGGATAGTGGGAAGTGTCCCTGCCCACAGCAGGGGATGAAGCGGGATGGACTTTGAGGTCCCTTCCCACCCAAACCATTCCATAACCAAGGAGCTGCTTCAGTCCTCAAGCTGCATCCTGGGTCCTGATGCACTGGTGATGCCTCAGGTTTTAGATTTTCTATTTTTCACATTCTGTGCTGCTTTGGTGTGTGGGTCTGAGCTTCACATGAGGGGATGGTGAGCTCTGTGCACAGAGCAGGGAGACAAAACAATTCCTGCTCCAGCTGGGCACCAAGGACAAAAGATCCAAATCTCAGCCCAAGAGCACAAACAATGTGGAATGAAGAGAGGAAAACAAGCAGGATGGGACTGCATGGGCTAAAGCTGCAATTAGACAATTAACTCCAATATGCAAACGGAGCAGAACTTATAAAAGTGAGAGACCCCGTGAGCGCTTGTGCATTTTGGGACCATTTTGGTTCATTTTGGGTGCAGCCCTGGCTGGGCTTTTGTGCTGCCCAAGGTGGATCCATGGAGGAGATCCTTTCCATAAATCCCTGCTTTATTCTTTAGCTCTGCCCAGCCTCTCAAGGCACCAGTCCTGGAGCACTGGAGCTGAATCCCACCATCCCTACGGCACCAGGACCAGCTCCGGATGGAAGGGAGTTCCAGATCCCGCCTGCCACACCCCAAATCCCCACTCACCCGCACGATGTAGACTCGGACCAGCACATTGATGGGGTCGTTGCTGGGGATCCCCTGGAACATCCCGAAGGTGGGGTCGTACCCTGCCTCCTTGCTGATGTCGTCGGGGAGCGGCACTTTGTAGACGCACATGGAGCCCTGGTGCGAGGGAGGGCAAAGCCCAACTGAGTCCTGCTGCCCAGGGCCTCCAGGGAGGCAAGCCCATCCCAAAACAACCTCCCCAAAATCCCGGCCGGCATTCCTAACCTCTCACCTTGAACCTGCCCACTATCCGCTCCTCCTCCGTGGCGTTGTCGTCGTTGTCCCCAATCTTTCCCCGGAGCAGGTTGAAGGTGTGCAGCCAATCCTCAAAGTTGTCAAACTCTGTTTCCAGCTCTTTGTTGAAGACCTGAGGTGGAAAAAAGTTAAAAGGAGGGAATTTGGGATAAAAACGAAGGTGAGCAAAAGATGTGGGGAGTACTCAATCAGCTTAGAAGGAACGAGGGGCGGGACAAGAGGAAATGGCCTCAAGCTGTGCCAGGGAGGTTCAGATTGGATATTGGGAATAATTTCCTCATGGAAAGGGTGGTCAGGCCTTGGAAGAGGCTGCCCAGGGAGGTTTGGAGTGCCCATCCCTGGAGGTGTCCAGGGAAGGCCGGGATGTGGCACTGAGTGCCCTGGGCTGGAGACAAGGTGGGGATTTGGTACAGCTGGACTGGATGGTCTGGGAGGGCTTTTCCAGCCTCAGTGATCCTGGCATTCTGTGAACATGGACAACTCAGCTCCCAGTGGTTAATTTTTCCAGGAAGGAGAAGGATCTCCAGCATTATTGGGATGGAAAAAGGGACTCTTGGAGCAACGGGTGGGGCCATTATTCCTGCTCTGTGCAAGATCCAGGTCTAAATCCCATCTGAACCTCAGAAGCACAGGTGACATGAATCCTGAGAAATCCTTGGGATCATTGAACCAGAGCCCACTCCTGTGCTGAATCCTGGCTGGGCCAGCAGGAAAACTCTCCCTTGGAGCTGGGACAACTCCAGGCTGCCCCAGGGATGAGCCTATCCCAGGAAAACTCCTTTTCTAGTGACCTCCAGCTATGGAGAGAGGCTGGGAAGCCTCATCCCAAGATAAATCCCTAGAAGAGATGTCCCAAGGCACATCATCCCCACAGTTAGGTACTTCCTCGGAAGCACCCCCAGTACCTTGAGTTCATCGATCTTCTGCTTGTTCTTCTTCTCGGGGAGCTCAGGGACAGGCTGCTGCTTCTTTTTCTTGTCATCTTTGGGTGCCTTGGACTTGTCCTTGTCCTTGTCCTTGTTCTTCACCTGGGCCTTGGAGCCTTTCATGGGAGAGTCACCAAGTTTGGTGTCACTCCGAGTCCGGGGGGGAGCAGCGCGGAGGGAGGAGATGGAAAGGAGGGAGGGAATGGAAATGAGGGTGAGGAGAGAAGGGGGAGATCTGGAAGAGCTTGGACAAAGTAGAGGAGCATGAAAGCTGCCAGCTGCCACTGCCTGCAAGTCCCATCCCAGCCCTGCCCTGTCTTTCCTTGGCTCTGGATCGCAGATCTCCCAGAGATCTCTGCGCAGGGAATTCCAGGGCTGACCTGAGCAGGAATCACTTGGAGGACTACAAAACATGGACAGAGCCCTCTGACAGTGGTGAGAAAACCTGGTGGAGGTCTCTTCCAACCCAGTGATTCTGTGAATTCTGGGAATTTTGGGAATTTTGGGAGTTCCCAGGGACCAGGGAGGTGGTGCAGTCACCATCCCTAGAGGTGTTTAACAAAGCCTGGATGTGGCACTGGGTGCCAGGGTTTAGCTGAGGTGTTGGGGCTGGGTTGGACTCAGTGGTCTTGGAAGTCTCTTCCAACTTGGTCATTCTGTGTATTCTGGGAATTTTGGGAATTTTGGGAATTCCCAGGGACCAGAGAGGTGATGGAGTCACAATCCCTGGGTGTGTTTAACAAAGCCTGGATGTGGCACTGGGGGCCAGGGTTTAGCTGAGCTGTTGGGGCTGGGTTGGACTCGATGGTCTTGGAGGTCTCTTCCAACCTAGTCATTCTGGGAATTCTGTGAATTTTCTTCCTCCTGCCAGAGACTTCTCCTGCTTTATGGAGCCTGGGGAGTGGAACCCCAGCCTGGGAATGCAGAGGGGACAGTGCTTGATGCTGCTGCCCTCAGATTGTCCAGGATCATCTGCAGCCACCAGAGTCACCAGAGTCTCGTTTGGAGCAACCACCAGCCACGGAGAGCTGGGAAGAGGCTGCTGGAAAAGGTGGATTCAAGGGAAACTCCTTAATGCTCTTCAATCCCTATCCCTTGGTGTCTCTGCCAGCTTTCATGAGGGCTGGACATTATCCAGTGGTGGGGACAGACAGACGGATGGAAAAACATGGATGAGAAAAGGGGGAAGGAGTGGGAGAGCCAAGGGAAATGGATCATTCTAAAAAGAAATAAAACCCCAGAGGACACCAGTGCAAGCCCAGAAGAACCTGCTCAGAGTTGTCTCCAAGCTCAGCATGACAAGACCTCATTTTTCCCGGGATACAAAGATTGATCTTCCAAAAGAAACCGGGCTCAGAATTTTACTCAGCTGAAGGGTTTTGCATCACCTGGGCACAACAACAGCCCCCTGTCATGGGGACATGAAGCACGTGGACAGCAAGGGTGGAATTCCTCAGGGATTCCTTCCCAGCCCTGCTGGTGGCATGGCCAGATGGACAAAGTCACCCTTGACCAACCACTCCCAGGTGTCGTGGTTTAGGGCAAATTTGGGAGGAAAAAAGTTTAGGGCAAATTTGGGAGAAAAAAGGGGGCCTCTCCAGAAAGTAAAGGATTCTTGGATTGGCATCAGGATTCTAGGTTGGCATCATTTTTGGGACAAAATTAGTCTCCCCCAAAGAGAGATTTGGGCAAGGTCAGAAGCCCACCTGACCTACAGACCAAACTTCCTTCAGAGAAAAAGCATTTATGGCATCGTTCATCTCATAATTTTATAAAATGATAATAAGTGAAAAATAATATATAATGTATAAAATTATATAAATTGATAAGTTAAGTGAGAGAACTTGCCCTAAATTGTGTATTTGTCCTCACTGCCCGCATTAGGACAGCACACAAAGAGTTCAACATGGAGGGAAAAACCCTGCAAAAACCTACAAAAATCGACCCTTTTTGGGAAAACACAACACGCTGGGAGTGTCTGGCTTGGCTGGAGAGCCGCGGCAGATTCCCAAAGGGATGTCCAAGCACCGAGAGGGATCCTGGTCCCACCTTTCCCTGCTGTGTTCCCTCTCTCCCTCCCAGCCTTACCCTCTCCAATCTCCATCTCCTCCTTCTCCTCAGCTTCTGCCGCGGCTGCTTCCTGCTGCCGGAGTTGCTGGAGGAGAAAGGAAACCACTGGATATTAGGAATGATCTTTTCCTGGAAAAGCTGCCCCGGGCAGTGGTGGGGTTCCCATCCCTAGGGGGATTTGAAGCCATGTGGATGTGGCACTTGGGGACATAGTGGTGGCCTTGGCTGTGCCGGGGAAAGGTTGGACTCCATGGTCTCCAAGGGCTTTTCCAGCCGGAACAATTTTGGGAATTGCTGGAACCCAGGGCACAGGGAATGTTTCTCTGCCTGTCCTGAGAAGTCCTGATCCCCAGGGGAACACTGATTTTAACCTTCGTCCGTGGAGGGCTTCTGCCGCGGCCGCTTCCTGCTGCCGGAGTTGCTGGGGGAGAAAGGAAACCACTGGATATTAGGAATGATCTTTTCCTGGAAAAGCTGCCCCGGGCAGTGGTGGGGTTCCCATCCCTAGGGGGATTTGAAGCCATGTGGATGTGGCACTTGGGGACATAGTGGTGGCCTTGGCAGTGCCGGGGAATGGTCGGACTCGATGGTCTCCAAGGGCTTTTCCAGCCGGAACAATTTTGGGATTCCATAATTGCTGGAACCCAGGGCACAGGGAATGTTTCTCTGCCTGCCCTGAGAAGTCCTGATCCCCAGGGGAACACTGATTTTAACCTTCGTCCGTGGAGGAAGCTTCCAAGACTTTGGGATGAATTGGAATCTACGAGTGTGTGAAATAGATAATAATGTAGTTTACCACAGGGTGAAAAACTTGGGGTTTGGGTTTTTAGTATGGAGGTGGATAGAAGATAAGATGGAGGATTTTGGGCGCTGTCTGATCTCCTTTTTGTTTTTCATCCATTCCATTTTCTGCAGTGTTGGTGGCACAGAGGGATTGGTTAGAAAAAAACGCAATGCAGATGTTGCATGAACAGACAAATAATTAGTTATTGGTAGAAAGGTAGAAAGGAAATACATTCTAAGAGTTAATTGGACAAAATAGCTTTAAAAGACCTTGAACCCATGTGTCTTGTGACTTTTGGTGCCCTCTCTTTGTACGCTAAGTCTGAGATGTTTTTTTGAACTTTCGATAAGACAAAAATGAACAACATGAAGACCAAAAAAACCAAAAGTCCCCTTCGTCTCTCAATCCTGGCACAGAACTTTTTAGGGCTCTTCCCATCAGGGGGATCCTCGGGGTGGGGGGTTTCCACACGGGCTTTGGAAGGAGCTGGAATTAGGGGAGACCTCTCAGGAAGGGAACCATCTCCCCGGGATCCCCCTCGCTGCTGCTCCTCACCCACCTCCTTCATCGTCTCAATGGAAGCGAAGTACTTGGACCACCAGTCCAGCATGCTCTCGTCCGGCTCCTCCTCCTCCACTTCCTCCCCACCTCCTCCTCCTCCTCCTCCTCCTTTCTTCTTCTTCTTCTTTTTCTCCTTCTCTTCCTCGGTCTGAAGGGACAAGGGAAGCACAGACAGGGAAGGGGAGGGATCAGGTGAGAGGGAATCGTTTCTGGAAGTACAAAAGTGAAGCACCTGAGGAGGGAGAACCCCCCAGGCTTGGGGGGGCCTCATGAACTTTCTCCCTTTTACAGCCACAGAACACCCAAGGGTGACCAAGGTTTTGGAGAAAGTGCCAGAATCATGGAATAGTTTGGGTGGGAAGGGACCTTAAAGCTCATCCAATTCCAATCCTGACACCTTCCACCATTCCAGGTCATTCCAAGCCCCATCTAACCTGGCCTTGGACGCTTCCAGAGGTGGGGCAGTCCCACAACACCTCCCCATTTCCATCATCCTATTTATCCGTGCATTTCCCAGGACACATCTCTGGAATCTTCCATGGCAAGAGTCAAACTGTGCCTGGCAAAGCACCTGGGGTCCCCTTGGTGGAGCAAGGGAACCTTTCCCAACTGGTACCTGGTTTGTGGTGGGAATACCCAGATCCCTCCCGCAGGGCACTGCCTGTCCTGGGACAGCTGGGATGAGAAGTCCTGGGACAGCTGGGATGAGAAATCCTGGCCCAAAAGAGCTCCCCAAACTGCAGGGACGAGGCCACTGCCACATCCCTTGAGGGGACAGCGCTGTTGTGTCTCTGTCGTGGGACAGAGGGGTGATGTCCCTGCCTGGCTCGGGCTGGGCAGGGTGCTTTGGTTCATCAGGAGTGGCATGGAAGGGCTCGAGAGGGAGCAGGGGGTTGGGAGCAGGGATGAAGAGAAGATCCACCACTTACCACATCCACCTTCACCACTGCATCGGAATTCTGCCGCCCGGGATGGAAGGGAACAGGGAGAGGGAGAGCAGGTTAAGGACACACCCTCAGCTGAGCGCAAATCATCAGTCCCGGGGTGGTTTGGGTGGGAAGAGACCTTAAAGTTCATCCCATCCCACCCCCTGCCATGGGCAAGGACAACTTCCAATGTCCCAGCATGCTCCAAGCCCCATCCAACCTGGCTTTGGGCACTGCCAGGGAACCAGCGGCAGCCACAGTTCTGGGAATTCCATCCCAGCCCCTCCCCACCCTGCCAGGGAAGAATTGCTAATTGCCAATCTCCCATCCAGCCCTGCCCTCTGGCAGTGGGCGCCTTTCCCTGGCTCCTGTCCCTGCAGGCCTTGTCCCCAGTCCCTCTGCAGCTCTCCTGAAGCCCCTCCAGGCCCTGCCAGGGGCTCTGAGCTCTCCCTGGATCCTTCTCCAGGTGAACATTCCCAGCTCTCCCAGCCTGGCTCCAGAGCAGAGGAGCTCCAGCCCTCGGAGCACCTTGGCAGGAATGTGTTTTTTGTGGAGCAAGCTCTGGAGCAGAAGGGTGGGGAAAGGAGTTGAAATTCCCATTCTGGGCACAAAAACAGGCACAGGCACATTGAGTGACACCCCTGGGACACGCTGCCTCCCCAATTCTGGCTGAAATCCCTCCAAAAATCGGCAATTCCATGAGGAAGGAGGTGCTGCCACACGGATACTCACAGCTTCCAGCTTCACCATCGTGTCCATCTTCTTGATGGGGACCTCGGGTTCCATGTTGACCACGATCTCCCCTGTGGGGCGAGAGCGGTGGGCCCTGCTGGTCATGGCCAGGGAGCCGTTGAGGTGTTTGGCTGGAGAGAGGACAGAAAAGGAGAAAGAACAAAGGAGAGGGACAGTGGAGAGGAGAAACCAACAGTTCAGGGGAGATCCTACAGGATTCAGGCCAGAAATTGAGAGTTCAGGTGAGATCCTACAGGATTCAGGCTGGGAACCAAGATTTTCAGTGAGATCCTACAGATTCAGGCCAGAAACTGAGAATTCAGGTGAGATCCTACAGGATTCAGGCTGGGAACCAAGATTTTCAGTGAGATCATACAGATTCAGGCCAGAAATTGACAGTTCAGGTGAGATCCTACAGGATTCAGGCTGGGAACTGAGATTTCAAGTGAGACTGTACAGGATTCAGGCCAGAGAGTTCAAGTGAGATTCTACAGGATTCAAGCCAGAAAGTGAGAGTTCAGGTGAGATCCTACAGAGTATAAAGTGATTGGTTAGAAAGAATCACAATGAAGATGTTGTGTAGATAAACAAATAATTATTGGTAGAAAGGTAGAAATAAACTACATTTTAAGATTTAATTTATTCTATTTTTTATAGTGTTGCGAGTATAAAGTAATTGGTTAGAAAGAATCACAATGTAGATGTTGTGCAAATAAACAAATAATTATTGGTAGAAAGGTAGAAATAAACTATGTTTTAAGATTTAATTAAATAAAATAGTTTCAAAATACTTTAAATTTGTGTGTTTTGTAACTTTTAGTGGTGTTTTTTTAATATGCTAAATCTAAGGTATAAATAGTGTCTATAAATATGTAGGGTACAGATAAAGAGATATATACATATAAGTAGATATATAGATATATAATGTATATATAAATAGTGCATAGAATTTTTAATTAGAGAAAAATAAACAATAATTTGAAGATCAAAAAACTAAAACTCCTATTTGCTTTTCACTCTTACTACAAAACTTTTTAGGGCTCTTCTCACACCACTTGGAACCATCAAAGTGCTGAAGTCAGGGTTTTCCACCGCGCTCTGGACCCAAACCCAGAATTTCCGCGGGTTAGCCGAGCATCTCACGGCCTCACAGCCCATCCCAGCTCCCTCGTGTCCCCGCGGATGTCCCAGACCGGGTCGCCGTGTCCCAGTCTTGGTACCTGCCATGTTCCAGTGCTGGGCTTTCCTGTCGGGCGGGCGGTAGATGAACTTGCGGAGCGAGCTGACGGTGTGCGAGCCCACCAGCGTGTAGCGGCCGAAGGCGCGGCAGTCCACCACGCGGATGTTCAGCGGCGGGTGCAGCAGCTCGTTCTCCGGGAGGTCCTGGGGAGCCGCGGAGGGAGGGTCAGCGAGGGCTGGGAGTGGATGGTTTGGGGATGGGAAGGGCAGGGGGGGTTTGGGAATGGGATCATGCTGGGGATGAGGGATTAGGAATGGGATCATACTGGGGAGGAGGGATTTGGAATGAGATCATGCTAGGAAGGGCAGTAGGGGTTAGGAATGGGATCATGCTGGGGAGGAGGGATTAGGAATGGGATCATACTGGGGAGTAGGGATTTGGAATGAGATCATGCTAGGAAGGGCAGTAGGGGTTAGGAATGGGATCATGCTGGGGAGTAGGGAGTTGGAATGGGATCATACTGGGAAGGGCAGTAGGGATTCGGAATGGGATCATGCTGGGAAGGGCACAAAGGATTAGGAATGGCATCATGCTGGGGAGTAGGTAGTTGGAATGGGATCATACTGGGCAGTAGGGATTAGGAATGGGATCATATCATGCTGGGGAGTAGGTAGTTGGAATGGGATCATACTGGGAAGGGCAGTAGGGATTATGAATGGGATCATGCTGGGAAGGGCAGTAGGGATTAGGAATGGGATCATGCTGGGGAGAAGGGATTAGGAATGGGATCATGCTGGGTAGTAAGGATTCGGAATGGGATCATGCTGGGAAGGGCAGTAGGGATTAGGAATGGGATCATGCTGGGGAGAAGGGATAGGAATGGCATCATGCTGGGTAGTAAGGATTAGGAATGGGATCATGCTGGGAAGGGCAGTAGGGATTAGGAATGGGATTGTGCTGGGGAGAAGGGATTAGGAATGGGATCATGCTGGGAAGGGAAGTAAGAATGAGGAATGGATCATGCTGGGAAGACCAGAACTGGGATCATGCTGGAAGGAAGAATTCCAGAGCTGCTCCAGCAAAATGTGGCTTGGGAGCCTTCAGGTAAAGGAATGGTGTCCATGTGCTCCATTGTTTTGGGGAAACTGGAGAAAATGGCTTGGAGCCATGGTGGGCTCCAGAAATTCCGGGTTCCCTTTGATGGATCAGAAGGAAGGGGCTACACTCACCACCTCAAACCACTTGACCAAAGTGCTGAAGTTGGGGTTTTTCTTGTAGTTCTGGATCAGGGCAGACTGGACGCCCTTCCCGGCACACTCAATGTCCACGCGGGGCCGGTCCACCTGGGCCAGGTTCACTCTCTTCAGGTCCCTGAGCCCCCAGAACAAGATCTAGGGCAGGAGGAGGAGGAGGAGGGAGCATGTGAATGAGAGAGGGATGATCCCTGGAAGCTGGTTCTCCAAGGAGAGGGATCCCACTGCTGATGTCATCACAGGGCAGTGGTGGATCCCTGAGGTGTCTCCTCCTGGCACCCTGCAGACCAAGGTCTCCAGCCTGCTGCCCGCAACATTTTCCTGCCTTTCTCCCTTCCTGGCCTTTTCCTGCCCTGGGAATCCTGCTCTGTCCATCTGTGGTGGCTCTGGATCCAGCACTGCCATCTCTTTGTCCCAATGGAATCAGTGTCACTGGGGAAACTTCCCTGACTCAGCCTGAGATAACAGACTGCCACCATCCAAAATTCCCCAAAACAGAGATTTTCCCCACCTCCTCATTCCCCATGGCTGTACTAAAATTGTGAGGAACATTTATTGTTATGCAAATGTGTGGAAAACCAGGAGCCAAAATCCCTCAGGAGACCTGGGCAGTGGCACCTCACTTGAGCAGAGACACCTTCACCCCGGGCTGAGATGTGCGCTGAACATCCCTGTGGGCATTGCCTGGGTCACGGATGTCCACCAGGACCTCCAAGGGACACATCACAAAACCATGGAATAATTTGGAAAAATCCTCCAGGACCATCCAGTCCAACCTGTGACCAGTCCCCACCCTGTCCCCAGCCCAGGGCTGAGTGCCACATCCAGAGTTGAAACACCCCCTGGCTGTCCCCTCCTGTCAGGGAGTTGTGCAGAGCCACAAGGTCCCCCCTGAGCCTCCTTTTCTCCAGGCTGAGCCCCTTCCCAGCTCCCTCAGCCCCTCCTGGACACGCTCCAGCCCCTCCAGGTCTCTCCTGGCAGGAGGGGCTCCATTCCCTTCCCAGCTCCCTCAGCCCCTCCTGGGGCTCCATTCCCTTCCCAACTCCCTCAGCCTCTCCTGGGGCTCCATTCCCTTCCCAGCTCCGTTCCCTGCCCTGGACACGCTCCAGCCCCTCCAGGTCTCTCCTGGCAGGAGGGGCCCAGAGCTGCCCCCAGCACTGGAGGTGCCCCAGCAGTGCCAGCACAGGGGACGGGCACTGCCCTGGGTTGTGCCCACACTATTTTGGATACAAAATCCCCCTTTAGATATCCCTGGGTACATGAGAGTCTTCCCATCCTCATTGCCTGAGGCTGATGGGATACAGAACACCTGAGCTATGGGATTGCTTTGGGAGCAGATGATCCAGCTCCATGTCCATCTCTAACATTCCCTGAGCTGCATCTTAGCCCAAGTGCTGCTCACTCGCTGTCCTGCCCAGGTTTGACAGCAAGGAATAGTCCAATTCCCTGGTGTTTTTAGGGATGCTGCATCCTGGTTCCCAGAATGGCCACCACAGACAGATCCTTGACTCCCAGCTCCCTCCTTCCCTTCCAGCACCCTTGGAGATGCTCTTCTGCCCTAGGCAGGACATTGGTTACCTCCACTCTGTATCTGCTCAGCACCGGCCGAATTCCCAGGGGCACGGGCAGGATGGGACCTCGGTCCATGTCCGTGGGGCCGTCGATGGGGGGCAGGTCTGATTTACCCCCAGGGCCGATCTGGAAGAGGCGGATCATGGATTAGGATCTGCTCCTCTGTGCTGCTGGGAAGCAGTTTTTGGTCCTTCTCATGGAATTGTGGAATCACAGGTTGGTTTAGGTTGGAAGGGACCTCAAAGATCAGCTCATTCCCACCCCCTGCCATGGGCAGGGACAAATTCCAGTGTCTGGAATTTGGGTGCTGGGCTGTGTCTCAGCTGGAACTGGTCCCACTTGTTGGAGCTGGGGTGTCTCAGAGGGCTGAGAGCCCAGGGCAGGTGCTTTGGGAAGAGGAAAACACAGGAGAAGAAGGTGCTGGGAATTCCACCCAGAACAGCCCCCGGAGCAATCCAAACTCCTCAGCCCACCAATGCAGCCCATCCCAGGACTGTTCCATCCTGGAATGGATGTATGTGAGGAAACAGAGATGTGGTCCCAGAGCTCAGCCCAGGAGCAGGTTTAAAGTCCCATTTCCAGCCCAGGGCTCCAGAAAGATCAAATATCCCATGTGAGCCATTTCCCCAGTCCAAGGAAAATTGGGAGAAAAAGGGCTTGGATGAGAACCTGCCCAGGCAGAAAAAGTCGATGGGAAAAGCACTTCAGCAGATGGAGCATGAGGCACAAAAGTGGAAGAATTTAACTCTGGTACAGCCCCAGACTATGAATCATGGAATGGCTTGGGCTGAGAGGGACTCTAAAGACCATTGAATCCCAATCCCTGCCATGGGCAGGGACAAATTCCACATTTCCAGGCTGCTCCAAGCCCCATCCCACCTGGCCTTGGACACTTCCAGTTGTCTTTGATAAACAACAAGTGGTTGATCCATCCAAGAGAAACTAAAAGGGTCCAGCAGACCAATGAGGGGGGCAGTTATTCCCGGTTATTCCCAGTTACCCAATTCTCCATAAATTAATCCTCTCTCCCTTCCAACCCTGCCTCCATCCTTCCCGTCCCTTTGTCCAGCTGGCACCTGGAGCAGCTCGAAGGCGGCCAGCAGGTCCCCGGCTGTGGCATTGCCGCGGTAGATCTGGTAATATTCCAGCTGTGGCGGGAAGCGCGGCGGGCAGTACTGCTCGTCCGACATCTTCACCACCGGCTTGGCGAACGTCCGGCCCATGAAGTCGGCTTTTCCCTACGGAAAGAGACCTTGGGGTTGGGGATCCAACATGGGAATTCCAAATTTAGCCCTGTGGTTCTATCCAAGAGCACTTGGGGTGGGGGATCCAACACAGGAATTCCAAATTTAGCCCTGTGGTTCTACCCAAGAGCTCTTGGGGTTGGGGATCCAACATGGGAAATTCCAAGACAAACCCTGTGATTTTCCCCAGGAGCACTTGGGGTTGGGGATCCAACATGGAAATTCCAATAGAAACCCTGTGATTTTCCCAGGAGCACTTGGGGTTGGGGATGCAACATGGGAATTCCAAGACAAACCCTGTGATTTTCCCCAGGAGCACTTGGGGTTGGGGATCCAACATAGGAATTCCAAAATTAGCCCCAAGGTTCTCCTCAGGAGCACTTGGGGTTGGGGATCCAACATGAAAATTCCAAAATTAGCCCTGTGGTTGTCCCAAAGAGCCTTTAGGATTGGGGATCTAACATGGGAATTCCAAATTTAGCCCTGTGGTTCTATCCAAGAGCACTTGGGGTGGGGGATCCAACACAGGAATTCCAAATTTAGCCCTGTGGTTCTAAATGGCACTTGGGGTTGGGGATCCAACATGGGAATTCCAAAATTAGCCCCATGGTTCTCTCCAAGAGCACTTGGGGGTGGGGATCCAACACAAGAATTCCAAAATTAGCCCCTGGTTTTCCCCAGGAGCCCTTGGGGCTGGGGGTCCAACACAGGAATTCCAAAATTAATCCTGCAATTCTCCCCACCGTGGTCGGAACAGGAATGGGATCAACGCTCTGGCCTTGGGATGCCTAAACTCAGGGAAGACTCAGTCCTGACTCCTTGAAGGAAGTTTGGGACAGCAGAAGGCTGGAACAGCAAGGCCAGGGATGAGCAGTTTTCCCAAATGGAAACGCTCCTTGGCTACAGCCTCTTTCTTCCCTCTCCAAAAATAAGATACATCTGAGATTTATGAACAGCAGAAGCTCCATGGGAGATGTGGAAGGACCATTTTCCATGGATCAGGAAAAAAAGCTGCCCAAATCCTCTGCCCCCAAATCTGGAGAGATCCCAGCATCCGAACCACGCAGAGTTGCCGGGGATTTTCTTACCACGGTGTCCTGGTCGTAGATCTCGATGACGATGATGGGGGGGTCATCCCGCATCTCGTGAGCTTCCCCGTACAGCTCCACGTTGTCGAACACCAGGAGCTGGTCCCAGGTCGGGCACAGGGTCTCGTTGAGAACCTGGGGAAATGGGAGACATTCCTACTGCTCCAGGAACGGAGCAGGGTCCTGGGAAAGGGTGGCAGGTGGGGCTGCTGTGTGTTTTTTGGATCAGGGAGGGATTTGGAATCTCCCACGGATTCTTCTGAGGAAGAAAATCCAATAGCAGGTGAGCAGAGCTGGATTGTTCCCAGAATTCCTAAAGCTTGGCAACCCTCGGACTGGGAAGGGAAGACTGAAAAATCACTTTAACGCGACCCAGTTCTGCCTAAACCAGCAGGAAAAAACTGGGAATTATGGTTGTGTTCAAGGATCCCAGGACGAGGGAAGAGATGAGAATCTTGACTTCATGTTTCAGAAGGCTGATTTATCATATTATGATATTATATTGTATTAAAATACTATACTAAAGCTATACTAAAAAAATAGAGGGAGAGGATCCATCAGAAGGCTGGAAAGGAAAGCAAAGGAATGATAACAAAAGCTCGTGACCCTCAGAGAGTCTGGCACAGCTGGATCTTTGATTGGTCATTAAGTAGAAACAACTCACATGGACCAATCCAAGATGCACCTGTTGGTAAACAATGTTCAGACTACATTCCACAGCCATCAGATAGTTGTTGGTTACATTTCTTTTTTGAGACTTCTCAGCTAGAATAGGAGAAAAATCCTAGCAAAGGAATCCTAGCATGAAAAATGTCATGTTGACAGGGAACCACAGAGAATCATGGGGAATCGCAGGGAATGGCAGCCACCAGGATGTGGGAGATAAACTGGGAATGAGGCTTGGGGCAGATTGCCAGCTCCAGAGCTGCTCTCCCACCACGCAGGAGCCCGGCACCAGCCTGATCCTCATTGACGGGATCTGTGCCACGGGAACTGGCAGAGCCAGCCAGCCCCACGCCCCTCCATCCCCGCTGCCCAGGAACGCTCACCTCGGTGCACTGGCTCTGGGAGATGAAGAAGACCCGAGCGAAGGGGTCCGAGAGCCCGCTGCTGTCGGCGGCGAACAAACTCCTGGCTTGGTACATGTGGGCTCGCAGCTGGAACACCTGTTTCTCTGGAAGAGAGAGGGAGCGGGATGGGATGGCGTGGGATGGCCTCCGGGAGCCTGGATGTCCATGCTGAGTCATGATTTTCAAGGGTTAATTGTTGAGGAGAAGACCCCGTGTGTGGAGACACGAGGCTTGACTCCATTTTTCTCAGAAGGCTGATTTATTATCTTATATATTATTCTAAAATACTACATAAAAACTATACTAAAAGAACAGAGAGAAAAGAAAGATCAGAAGGCTACAAAGAACAGGAATAGAATAGAATGCATAACAAAACCCTGTGACTGCTCAGAGCCTCGGCAGAGGTGGCTGTGGTTGGTCATCAATTGAAAACAATCCACATGGAGCAATGGAAGATGAACCTGTTGCGTTCCACAGCAGCACACAGTTATTGTTTACATTTCTTTCCTGGGGCTCCCACCTCCTCAGGAGGGGAAAAATCCTACAAAAGGATTTTTAATAAAATATCATAGCTACAGTTAATCATGATTTTAAGGGGTTAAAGTTATTAAGTTATTAAACTGAAGTCAGATACACCAGTGATAGGTTAATGGTTATTAGATGCTTCAGCTAAAGCTAATTGTTATATCATGAGCTCGTTTGTAGAAGGAAGTGGAGCAAGTGAACCACCGTAGGAACATACTGTATTGGGAAGGGTGAAAGTTTGACAAGAAAGTCTCACAGACACGGATGCTTAGCAGAAAGATTTTTGAATGCAGAATCTGAAGGAGGAATAGAGATGGAAGCAAGTTTTGATATAGAAGAAAAGAATTGCTGAGCCAGTCTTGTAGGATAACCAAGGAGGCAAAGTGTGTGGTGTGTTAGTTAGAAGGGGTTTTTATGCCTTAGAGCAAAGGATAAACCCACCTCAAACAAGAAGATGTTTTTACCAAGAAGAAAAATAGCACAGGCAAACAAACTTGCTGATGTTGCAAGTAGAAAAAAGGTCTCAGAATTTTCCACTGCAAGAAAACTGAAAAACAACTTCTGGCTTAAACTGTAATGTAATAACTTGTAGTGACTGGAGAACAGTGACATGAATATGGTAATGATAGTAGTTATGATGGGCTATAGGTAAAAGTCAAGGTATAGGTTGGTTCTGCTGTATTGAGATGCTCAGCAAAGAAAAGTGTATAATGCATTTGTAACCTAAACTAAGCTGCACAAGCTCTGTCACCCATGACCCTGGGCTGCTGCAACATCCTGGATGTAATAAACTGCATTTTGAAGAGCTGCCTGGAGTCCCACATCCCTCATTTTGGCTGTTGCTGTATTGAAACCAGTAGAACAATGCCCAGCACCTGGACTCTGTGTCAATCCATCACAAAGCAGGGGCTTTGGATCGTGCCAGAAGATCAAGAGATCTAATGAACGCATTCCTGACTTCATCCCTGTGACCACTGACCCAATTAGAGACCATTGACCCAATTCAAGAGAAGAATTGTGCATATGTAAAGGACTAAAAACCTCATTTTAGTGCAAAGCAGTAGATGGGAGGTGCTGGGGTTGTGCATATATATTATTTTGGGAAATAAACAGAAGGCAAAAATCCTTGTGTGGTGCAGTCACGCATTTCGGCGACGACCCCCTGTGCCACCCGCCGGCGTGATAAAAACATCACTTTTCATCTTTGACCATCTTTCTATCTTTGTCCGTGATTTTTGGTTTTAACGATTCAGTATCCCCATTCATCTGCTTAGCCCAGAAATAATTTTTGCACCTTTAAGATTGGTTCTGAGAGCCAAGGTGGGGAGGAAGAAGCTTGGAGTTTGTTTTCAGACTGGACTCACTCCTCCACATTCCTGCTCCTGGGCTGTGTTGCCTGCGGACGGACAGACAGCGGGACAGAGCTCTCCTTTGCTTTCAGTTTTAGCTAGCCGAGGCAGGGAAGTTCCCTGGACTTTGTTTTTTTCTTTTTTTTGGAATTATTTAAACCTGCTCTGGACTGAACACCCAGAAGAACACAAGCAGCTCACACTTGTGGCCCACTGGGCCCGGTCTGGGCCGTGGCATTTCCAGAGCCAGAGGGTTGGTTTTTTCTTTTTTTTGGAACTATTTAAACCCGCTCTGGACTGAACACCCAGAGGAGCAGCAGCAACTCCACCTGTGGCTGCCAGGCCCGGCCTGGGCCATGGCATTTCCAGCACCAGAGGGATTGATAAGAGACTGATAAGGGACTGATAAGAGATTGAGTGAGCCAAGCTACAGCCCACAGAAGGGATTTTCTGAGTTTGTCTCTCCTTTGAAGCAGCAAGAACTTTTATTGTTTAACATTGTTCAGGTTCTATTGTTTAATAACACTTTTCTCCAAGGATGTATTTTTCCCGAACCAGTTGGGGAAGGGGCCGATTGAATCTGCTTTTCTAGAGGAACCCCTTTGGGGGTTCTCTCCCAAATTTGGCCTGAACTGAACACCCAGAAGAACACCAGCAGCTCGCACCTGTGGCCCACGGGGCCCGGTCTGGGCCACGGCATTTCCAGAGCCAGAGGGACTGATAAGAGACGGATAAGGGACTGATAAGAGTGATAAGAGACTGATAAGAGACTGAGTGAGCCAAGCTACAGCCCACAGAAGGGATTTTCTGAGTTTGTCTCTCTTAGTTGGGGAAGGGGCTGATTGATTCTGCTTTTCTAGAGGAAGTCCTTTGAGGGTTCTCTCCCAAATTTGGCCTGAACTGAATGCCCAGAAGAACACCAGCAGCTCACACCTGTGGCCACCTGCCTGGGCCTGGGCCACGGCATATCCAGAGCCAGAGGGACTGATAAGAGATGGATAAGGGACTGATAAGAGTGATAAGAGACTGATAAGAGACTGAGTGAGCCAAGCTACAACCCACAGAAGGGATTTTCTGAGTTGGTCTCTCTTTTGGAGCGGCAACAACTTTTATTGTTTAATATTGCTCAGGTTTTATTGTTTAATAAACAGGTTTTTTCCACTTTCTCCAAGGAGATATTTTATTTTTCCTGAACCAGCTGGGGATGGGGCCAATTGAATCTGCTTTTCTAGAGGAAGTCCTTTGGGGGTTCTCTCCCAAATTTGGCCTGAACTGAACACCCAGAAGAACACCAGCAGCTCACATCTGTGGCCCACCGGGCCCAGTCTGGGCCACGGCATTTCTAGAGCCAGAAGGACTGACCACAGATGATAAGGGACTGATAAGAGATTGAGTGAGCCAAGCTACAGCCCACAGAAGGGATTTTCTGACACCGGGCCCGGTCTGGGCCGTGGCATTTCCAGAGCCTGAGGGACTGACCAGAGACTGATCAGAGATTGAATGAGCCGGGCTACAGCCCACAGAAGGGATTTTCTGAGATTGTCATCTCCTTTGAAGCAGCAAGAACTTTCATTGTTTAATATTTTTCAGGTTTTATTGTTTAATAACACTTTTCTCCAAGGAGGTATTTTTCCGGAACCAGTCGGGGAAGGGGCCAATTGAATCTGCTTTTCTAGAGGAAGTCCTTTGGGGGTTCTCTCCCAAATTTGGCCTGAACTGAACACCCAGAAGAACACCAGCAGCTCACACCTGTGGCCACCTGGCTGGGCCTGGGCGGCGGCATTTCCAGCACCAGAGGGACTGACCAGAGACTGATAAGGGACTGATAAGAGACTGATCAGAGACTGACTGAGCTGAGCTACAGCCCACAGAGGGATTTTCTGAATTTATCATCTCTTTTGGAGCAGCCAGAGGTTTTATTGTTCGATATTGTTCATTTGTTTTTGTGTGTCGGTGAATGCTTTGCCTGTTAAATAAATTTTTTTTTCCAATTTTTTCCAGGGAAATATTTTCCCAAATTGGCTGGGGGAGGGGCTGCTTAAATCTGCGTTCTTGAGGAGCCCCTTTGGAGTTTCTCTCCCAGATTTGCCCTAAACCAGGACAGAGCCATCCAAGGCACATCTCAGCAGCCTGTTTTTGGTAATGGGTGAAGGATCTCAACCCAAACACGAATCCCGAATGGATATGGAATTTCCTTGGCATCCTTGTGGGGTGTACAACAAAAACCCTGAACAGGATCGGGACGAGGGGATACAATTCCCACCCCCATCTCTCCCGGGACAACCAGAACGATGTCCCCCTTCGCTCCTGGAAGCCCTTGGAGCAGGGGGTGTCCAGCCAGGCCCCCTCCCACCCCATATCCCATGGGAACTCCTTACTGGTGTACAGGAGGCTGATGGGCGGGAAGGAGGGCAGGTTTTGGCCTCGGGGGGTTTTCTTCTCCTCGAAGCCACAGGGGAGGCCGCTGAGGAAGTCCTTGCGCTGCTTGTTGAGGCCCAGCCACAGGTAGATCTCCATCTTGGCCTGGACTGTCCAGCCGGCAGGGCCGAAGCCCCTCTTCCCGGGGAGCTGAGTGCAGGGAATGGAAGAGTTTGCATGGATATTGGGAATACGGGCAGACAGACCCCTCTTGGAGTACCCAGTCTCTCTGGGGCATTGTGCTGCTGTTCCTTAAACCCAAGGATCCTTTGGGATCATGACACTGCTCTGGCTCAGGCATTTTCCTCTTCCCACTGTGGTTTCCTTATCCTAAGGTTGTCCTTTTCCTAAGTGCCTTAGGTTGGAAATGCAGGATGTGGCTGGGGGTGTATGTTCAATTTCCATCTGCCAAAATTACAATAACTCAGAGGGAGGATGTTTGCATTGTCTGTTTTCAGGAGAGGCTCTTGCCTTCCTCAGCAGACACCCATCTAAGCCAGAAATTCTCTGGATTTCCAGCTGGATCAAACATCTCCCTCTTCCCAAACATTTCCCACTTACTAGGACTGGGTAAGTTCAGTGCTTCACCCTCCCTAGGAGCTGATTTCCATCCCTACCAGCAGAGTATGGATCGCATTTCTCCAATATTCAAACCCCAGAGAAAATGGATACAACACTCTCATCCCCATCTCCCAAATTCCCACTTCTTAGTTCCCCTGGGACGGAGGGATCCTCACCTTGAGGAAAACCGTCTTCACTTTGGCGCAGTCCTTGCCCATCTCCTCGTCCACGATGGAGTACAGGATGTCCTTGGAAGGGATGCGGGCGTAGGCGACGCGCTTGTTGTTGCTCATCATCCAGATGAAAACGTCGGGAATCGTGTGCTGGGGCTGGGAATGCCACGGGAGAGCCCCGTCAGTGCCCCAGCTCCGACCACTGAGGCGCTGAGTGGGGCTGGAGAAGCTGCTGGAGGCAAATCCAACGGATCCCATGGAAGGTGGATGTGCCTGTGGCCACACTGGGGGGCACTGGAATTGTTTGGAGATTCCGTCTCCAAAAAGCTGCTCAAAGATAAGCCCGTCAGGAAGGAAACTGGGATTTGTTGATGCAGCAAAACAGAAAAATTATAAAAGAAAGGTCACACTGGGGGCACTGGAATTGCTTGGAGATTCCTGCTCCAAAAAACTGCTCAGAGCTAAGCCCGTCAGGAAGGAAACTGGGATTTACTCATGCAGTAAAATATAAAAATTATAAAAGAAAGGTCACACTGGGGGCACTGGAATTGTTTGGAGATTCCCTTTCCTAAAAACTGCTCAAAGATAAGCCCATCAGGAAGGAAATTGGGATTTGTTGATGCAGTAAAACAGAAAAATTATAAAAGAAAAGTCACAGTCGGGGCATTGGAATTGTTTGGAGATTCCCACTCCAAAAAAACTGCTCAAAGATAAGCCCATCAGGAAGGAAACTGGGATTTGTTGATGCAGTAAAATAGTAAAATTATAAAAGAAAGGTCACACTGGGGGCACTAGAATAGTTTGGAGATTCCCACTCCAAAAAACTGCTCAAAGATAAAGCCGTCAGGAAAGAAACTGGGATTTGTTGATGCAGTAAAATAGTAAAATTATAAAAGAAAGGTCACACTGGGGGCACTAGAATAGTTTGGAGATTCCCACTCCAAAAAACTGCTCAAAGATAAAGCCGTCAGGAAAGAAACTGGGATTTGTTGATGCAGTAAAACAGAAAAATTATAAAAGAAAGGTCACACTGGGGGCACTAGAATAGTTTGGAGATTCCCACTCCAAAAAACTGCTCAGAGCTAAGCCCGTCAGGAAAGAAACTGGGATTTGTTGATGCAGTAAAACAGAAAAATTATAAAAGAAAGGTCACACTGGGGGCACTGGAATTGTTTGGAGATTCCCGCTCCAAAAAACTGCTCAGAGCTAAGCCCGTCAGGAAAGAAACTGGGATTTGTTGATGCAGTAAAGCAGAAAAATTATAAAAGAAAGGTCACACTGGGGGCACTGGAATTGTTTGGAGATTCCTGCTCCAAAAAAGCTGTTCAGAGCTAAGCCTGTCAGGAAGGAAACTGGGATTTACTCATGCAGTAAAATATAAAAATTGTAAAAGAAAGGTCACACTGGGGGCACTGGAATTGTTTGGAGATTCCCTTTCCTAAAAACTGCTCAAAGATAAGCCCATCAGGAAGGAAATTGGGATTTGTTGATGCAGTAAAACAGAAAAATTATAAAAGAAAAGTCACACTGGGGGCACTGGAATTGCTTGGAGATTCCCGCTCCAAAAAAAACTGCTCAAAGATAAGGCCGTCAGGAAGGAAACTGGGATTTGTTGATGCAGTAAAACAGACAGGAAAGAAACTGGGATTTGTTGATGCAGTAAAACAGAAAAATTATAAAAGAAAGGTCACACTGGGGGCACTGGAATTGCTTGGAGATTCCTGCTCCAAAAAAGCTGCTCAGAGCTAAGCCCATCAGGAAGGAAACTGGGATTTACTCATGCAGTAAAATATAAAAATTATAAAAGAAAGGTCACACTGGGGGCACTGGAATTGCTTGGAGATTCCCACTCCAAAAAAGCTGCTCAGAGCTAAGCCCGTCAGGAAGGAAACTGGGATTTACTCATGCAGTAAAATATAAAAATTATAAAAGAAAGGTCACACTGGGGCACTGGAATTGTTTGGAGATTCCTTTTCCTAAAAACTGCTCAAAGATAAGCCCATCAGGAAGGAAATTGGGATTTGTTGATGCAGTAAAACAGAAAAACTATAAAAGAAAGGTCGCACTGGGGGCACTGGAATTGTTTGGAGATTCCCGCTCCAAAAAACTGCTCAAAGATAAGGCCGTCAGGAAGGAAACTGGAATTTATTGATGCAGTAAAGTAGAAAAATATAAAAAAAATCAGGCTGGCTTTAGATCTAGCCTTGTCAAGCTAGCACTTTGCAAGTTCCCGTGTGGAAACAATCCTGGTGTGAACAGTTCGTTAACATAACAATAATTCCTGGGTGAAAAACAACTGGCACCTGCATGAACATTAAATCTATCCCATGAGAATCAGTGAAGAAAATATGTAAATAATTTAAAAATAATAATTTAAGAATAATAATTTAAATAAATTAAGATATTTGATGGACTAGTAAAACGCCTTTTTCTAACCAATAAAGTAATTGGCAAAAAAGTTCCTAACCAATTGGTGTCACACACGAGGTCTGTAAAACTGTATAAAAATGAGTTATGTGAATAAAGAATTGGCTTTTCCCAATTTTTTTGGCATACCTTTTACCAACCAATAAAGTGATTGGCAAAAAAGTTCCTAACCAATGGGTGTCACACACGAGGCCTGTAAAACTGTGAAAATGAGTTATGTGAATAAAGAATTGGCTTTTCCCAATTTTTTTGGCATGAAGAAAATGGAATCTTGTGGTTGGGATTGAAGGTATTTGAGATGATAATTTGTTTAGATTTAGGTGTTTATTGTTTTTTGTTAATGTTATAGTTTCACAGCAGTGAGTTCTGTAGTTTTTTATTAGTAAGGTGTAAAATGCTTAACTATTTTTTGTTATAAGGTCTTTTAAGGTTAAACTATTTACTCAAGAAATTATACCTAAATTATTTTCTCTTTTAATCTAGTAACTGATCACTCAAATTCTGCAATACAGACTTTTCCGTTTAATTAAAAAATACCACTAACACTCATGAAGAAGAAGGAAGAAAAAGGTAAAGAAGAACAATTTGTTTTCCACTTAAAACCTCAATTTTCTTTATATTTATTATTATATTCTAAAACCCCAGACCCTGCGTTTTCCACCTTGTGATATCACACACTTCTAACTAACTACACACCCATAAACCAATGCTATAAATTTATTTTGGAAGCTTCTCCACAGCCTTGGGTTAAATGCAGTGCTCTTTTGTGGATCTGTGCTGAAAGTTTAAAATTCTCAGTATCTAGGGTTTCAACAGACTTTTGTGTGATTTATGCCGATAATTTTTGTTGGTTATAAGTTCAAAAATATATAAATTTAGGCATAGAAGACTGAAAGATTTTGTACTCTCCTCCTTCAGCGGACTTGGGGAGGGGAAAGCAGCGGGCATTCCTCATCCCTGTCTAGGGAAGATGTTCCCAGTCTGGACTGAGCTGGATCAGGATCAAGGAAGGCCTGGCTGAAACCAGGGATGGAGCTGGGAGCCTTCCATGGGAATTGGAAGCAGGAGGTGGAACAGCTGCAGCTCCAGGGAGGGACAAGAACCCCCTCTGAGCCGGTCCTAAACTGGAAAAATGTCATGGAATCATTCCGGAGCCTGAAGGGGCTCCAGGAGAGCTGCAGAGGGACTGGGGACAAGGGATGGAGGGACAGGACACAGGGAATGGCTTCCCACTGCCAGAGGGCAGGGATGGATGGGATACTGGGAATGAGGAATTGTTCCCTGGCAGGGTGGAGAGAGGCTGGGATGGAATTCCCAGAGCAGCTGTGGCTGCCCCTGGATCCCTGGGAGGGCCCAAGGCCACACTGAACATTGGCCTTGGAGAACCCTGGGACAGTGGAAGGTGCTGGGATTGGAACTGGATGGGATTTCAAATCCCTTCCCACCTAAATCAGTCTGGAATCTGATGTGTCACCTTCCAATTCCTGATTTCCCAGGGATCCACAGGATTCCTCCATGGCTGGGACTGGCTGAAACAACTCCAGCCCTGCTGCAGGAGGACCCAGGTCTGTCCCTGCCTGGGAAACTTTAATTTCTTTCACATTGGCTCATTCCCACCCAGGAGTGCACAGGGATCATGGAGCAGCACATGGACTTGGAATGGCTCCTTGCAGAGGGACCTCTCCTGCCCTTGGCATCCATCCATCCATCCATCCATCCATCCATCCATCCATCCATCCATCCATCCCTCCATCCATCCCACCCATCCCATGTTTCTGTCTCCACGAGCTGTCCCAGCCAGAGCTCCCTCTGCCCCTGAGGGACCCACCTCGTCCGCCAGGAACCGCAGCTTCTGCAGGAAGTTCTGCACCAGCTTCAGCTTGTCCTTCATGGTGTTCCTCTTGACTTGGGAGCGCAGGGCCGTGGCCTGCTGGGCCATGTTCTCCTGTGGGGACAGCCGGGACATCAGGACACAGCTCGGAGCAAGGAAAGGCGCCTCAATCCCACCCGATCAGGATGGACACCTTCTGACATCCTTTTGTTGACCTTGGCGTGGCAGAGTGCCTGAGAGGGCAGAGACAGCCCAGGAGAAGGTGACACCACAAAGGTGTCACCTGAGCTTGGAGAATTTTGGGGTGGCTTGAGGAAGGTGCCTCTCCTGTTGTCACCCATCTCGTGACCCTTGGAGCTTCCATGTGAACGTGTGGAATTTAAAATTCCTGGATCTCGAGGATGCAGCTGGCCACTGGAGTTGGTGACCTTGGCCGTGCCAGCTGGAGAAGCCACCAGCTCCTCATCCAGCTCTCTGGCACATCCTTGGCAAAGAGCAGAGCCACCAATCCCAAACCTCTGTCTCTGAGGCAGCTCTGTTCTAAAAGGATTCCCAAAGTCACCCCAGATATCTGTCCCTGGAGCAGCTCTGTTCCAAAAGGATTCCCAAAATCACCTCCAAAATCTCTGTTCCTGAGGCAGCTCTGTTTTTTGGGGTACCCAAAATCACCCCCAAACCTCTGTCCCTGGGGCAACTTTGCTTTTCAGCGTTCCAAAAATCACCCCAAACCTCTGTCCGTGTGAAGCTCTGCTTTTTGGGGTTCCCAAAATCACCCCAATCCTCTGTCCCTTAGGCAGCTCTGCTTTTCAGGGTTCCCAAAATCAGCCCAAAACCTCTGTTCCTGGGGCAGCTCTTCTTTTCAGGGTTCCCAAAATCACCCCAAACCTCTGTCCCAGGGGCAGCTCTGTTCTGTGGTGTTCCCAAAATTCCCCTTTCCAACTCTGTGCTCCCAAATTTCTTTCCAGAGTCTGTTGGAGGGGAGCCAGCAGAAGCAGACGTGACACCTGGGACTTGGCTGAGACGTTTTTGGAGTACCCAAAATCACCTCAAATCTCTGTTCCTGAGGCAGCTCTGTTTTTTGGGGTACCCAAAATCACTCCCAAACCTCTGTCCCTGGGGCAACTTTGCTTTTCAGGGTTCCGAAAATCACCCCAAACCTCTGTCCGTGTGAAGCTCTGCTTTTTGGGGTTCCCAAAATCACCCCAATCCTCTGTCCCTTAGGCAGCTCTGCTTTTGGGTTCCCAAAATCAGCCCAATCCTCCGTTCCTGAGGCAGCTCTGTTTTTCGGGGTTCCCAAAATCTCCCCAAACCTCTGTCCCAGGGGCAGCTCTGTTTTTTGGGGTTCCCAAAATCATCCCAAACCTCTGTCCCTGGGGCAGCTCTGTTCTGTGGTGTTCCCAAAATTCCCCTTTCCAACTCTGTGCTCCCAAATTTCTTTCCAGAGTCTGTTGGAGGGGAGCCAGCAGAAGCAGACGTGACACCTGGGACTTGGCTGAGACCCGAGTCACCTTTGGGGTCAGAATTAAACCCCAAATCCCTGACCCACAGGGACTGGAGACCAACGTGTCCATGGACAAGATTCCATCCCCTGCTCAGGAATCCTCCTCCGCTCTTCCCAAAGCTTCTCTGAACAACCCTGCTCACCATCCCAGGGAACAATTCCTAATTCCCAATATCCCTCTGGCAGTGGGAGCCATTCCCTGGGTCCTGTCCCTCCATGCCTTGTCCCCAGTCCCTCTCTGGCTCTCCTGGAGCCCCTTTAGGGATCGGATCCCGCTCACCAGCTCCCGCATGCAGGATTTGAGCCTCTCCCGGTCCAGCCTGGTGCGGGACGAGTGGTGCTGGTCCTTGTCAGCCAAGGTCAGGAAGCGCCTGTGGGAAAAGGCGATTCGGTGATTCCCATGGGAATCCTTCCCGAGGTTCCCTTCCCACCTTGTCAGTCTGGCCACATCCCTGGAAAATGCTCGTATTCCTGCCAATCTCCAACAAAACTGTAGATGAAAGGCCAGTTCACACTGTGGACACGGAGCCAGGAAGGGACAGTCGGTGTCATCAGGTGCCACCAGGTGCCACCCAGAATTCACAGAATTCATGGAATTCACTGGGCTGGAAGAGACCTGCAAGCTCATCGAGTCCAACCCAGCCCCAACAGCTCAATTCAACCCTGGCACCCAGTGCCACGTCCAGTCTACTCCTAAACATGTCCAGGGGTGGTGACTCCACCACCTCCCCGGGAATTCCCAAAATTCCCAGAATTTACAGAATTCACAGAATCACCAAGTTGGAGGAGACCTTTAAGACCATCAAGGCCAACACAGCCCAGACACCTCAACTAAACCCTGGCACCCAGTGCCACGTCCAGTCTACTCCTAAACATGTCCAGGGGTGGTGACTCCACCACCTCCCCGGGAATTCCCAAAATTCCCCAAATTCCCAGAATTCACACAATCACCAGGCTGGAAGAGACTTCCAAGACCCTGGAGTCCAACCCATCCCCAACACCTCAACTCAGCCCTGGCCCCCAGTGCCACACCCAGGCGTTGTTAAACACCCCCAGGGATGGTGACTCCACCACCTCCCCAGGCAGCCATTCCAGAACTTTATCACCTTTCTGTAAAAAGCTTTTTCCTGCTATCCAGCCTGAATTTCCCTTGGTGCAGCTCAAGGCTGTGTCTTTTGGTTCTGTCAGTGCCTGGAGAAAGAGCCCAGCCCCAGCTGAGCACAGCCACCTTTCAGGTCACCGGCCTGTGGAGGCCACAGGACTGGGGTGTCCCGCCCTGCTTTGGGGTGTTTGGGGTGCAGATGGAAGCACCATGCTCCAGCCCGAGGCAAAAGCCCCAGCGTGGTGACAGTGTCATAGAATGCAGTCCCATCATCCCCAGAACAGGGTGATGACGGGACAAGGTGAGGTGACATTCCCACTGGGACCCACGCGGTGCCACCTTCCCGTGTGTCACTCACAGGCAGCCGCTGCTCAGCTCCTCCAGGACCCCTCGGAGCCGGCGCTCCGGGTGCGGCTTCTCCGTCTTGATCATCTCCTGCACGTCGTTGAGGCCCTCCTCCTGCGGCACCGACGGGGACAGCGTGAGGGCTGGGAACGGGCTGGGATCGCCTGGGATCAACTGGGATCAACTGGGTGGGCTGGGAACCACCTGGGCTGGGCATCACCTGGGATCATCTGGGATTACCTGGGCTGGGAACCACCTGGGATCACCTGGATGGGCTGGGAACTGCCTGGGATCACCTGAGATCACCTGGATGGGCTGGGAACCACCTGGGATCACCTGGATGGGCTGGGAAGCACCTGAGATCACCTGTGATCACCTGGGCTGGGAATCATTTGGGATCACCTGGGCTGGTCTAGGGACCATCTTGGATCACCTGGGATGACCTGGGTGGGCTGGGCATCACCTGGGATCAGCTGGGAATCACCTGGGTGGGCTGGGAACCACCTGGGATCACCTGGACTGGGAACCACTTGGCCTCCCCACCCTCACAGGGAAGAATTCCGTCCCAGTGTCCTGCCCAAATCTCCCCTTTCCGAGTTTGTACCCATTCCCTGTGTGCTGTCCCTCCATGCCTTGTCCCCAGTCCCTCCCCAGCTCCCCTGGAGCTCCTTTAGGCTCTGGAGGGGGCTCTGAGCTCTCCCTGGAGCTTTCCCTTCCCTGGCTCTGCCACGAGTGCTCACCCCTCCAGCCCAGGTGACAGAGCCTCCCCACCCTGTCCCCTTTTGTGGGGACATCAGGATCTGACCCTCAGAATTATCTGGATCTGACCCTCAGAATTCTCAAGGAGCTGCTGGAATTTGGTGATTCCTCACTGGGAATGCTCCCCTTTTCAGGCACTGTCCGTCCCTGCCTTTCAGGGAGCCCGGCTGTGGCTGTGCCTGGTGCCAGCCCCGTGTCCCAGCCGTGTCCCCCCTGTCCCCCCACCCCTCCCTGCCCATCCCTGTCCGCCCCTGACCAGCTTGTCCGCGATCTTGTCCATGATGTTGGCGTTGTAGAGCCGGCGCCGCTGGTCCTGCCACCAGCTCCGGATGTAGATGCAGGGCTTCTTCTCCAGGTAGGGCAGGTGGAAGTAATTCCTGCAAGAGGAGGCAGGAGAGGCGCTCCGTGAGGGTGGCAGTCCTGGCCAGGGGCAGCCCCTATCCCACCCCTCTCCCGGGAGGCAATGCCGTGGTGGGAAGGGGGATACGGGGACTCGGAGTGGGAGGGAGCTGGCCTCAGCTGCATCCTGGAGAGCAGAGGCGCCGTTTTTCCCGACCAATGGAATGGAGGCTCCGTTTTTCCTGAGGCCATTCCCAAAGCCAGGATGGATGGGTGCAGTGCCCAGGGGCTGCCCCATCCTTCCTGGGAGTGTCCAAGGCTGGGTTGGATGGGGTTTGGAGCAATCTGGGATGTGCAGCAGCTCTCTGGCCACTAAGAGAAGCAGACAACTTTCCCAGGAATTGTTCTGTGAGGAAACAGGAAGAAAGGCTGTGGGAGAAAATAATGAGAAGCAAATAAAGAGAAAATAATGAGAAACAATTCATATCTTAACCTGCTGCACCTGGTGTTTGTGAACATGTGGAATGTGTTATGGAGATTTGTTTACCAAAAGGTGATTTATTAATTAGCCACTGGTGATGGTGTTTAAATTGAAGGACCAATCAGGTCCAGCTTTGGACTAGGAATCACCTGGGATCACGTGGGCATATCACAACTGTCTATAAAAACAATGAGTTTCTTAACAAAGACCAATGGAATGGATGATCCGTTTTTCCCAAGGCCATTCCCAAAGCCAGGATGGATGGGTGCAGTGCCCAGGGGCTGCCCCATCCATCCTGGGAGTGTCCAAGGCTGGGTTGGATGGGGTTTGGAGCAATCTGGGATGTGCAGCAGCTCTCTGGCCACTAAGAGAAGCAGACAACTTTCCCAGGAATTGTTCTGTGAGGAAACAGGAAGAAAGGCTGTGGGAGAAAATAATGAGAAGCAAATAAAGAGAAAATAATGAGAAACAATTCATATCTTAACCTGCTGCACCTGGTGTTTGTGAACATGTGGAATGTGTTATGGAGATTTGTTTACCAAAAGGTGATTTATTAATTAGCCCATGGTGATGGTGTTTTAATTAAAGGACCAATCAAGTCCAGCTGTATCATAACTGTCTATAAAAGCAATGAGGTTCTTAATAAAGATTAATCTGTAATCATGGAGTCTATGCTAATTATTACCCGGCCGGGTGATAATGTACAGTGGGATGTGTCGGGTTCAGAACTGGAGGATCTTTAAGATCCCTTTCCGCTGCTGCACCTGAAAAGGGGAATCCTGCTGCACCTGGAAAGGGAATCCTGCTGCTCCTAGAATCACCAGGATTCAAATCGAGCTCCAGCCCTTCCCAGGTATTCCCACCAGGAGATGTCAGCAGAACCCCGTGGCTGAGTTCCCCAGCTGCCAGAGGATGGAGATTTTTGGATAAACAGGGTGGGAAAGGACCAAAACATTGGAATTTCTCATCTCCCCTTGGGATTCACCTGCAGAAAGAGGTGTGGAACAGAGGAGGGAATTCCAGGGGGATCTATCTGTGCTGGATATTGATTAAAGCAAGGGAGGGAACTCCAGCGAGATTTTTCCGTGCTGGATATTGATGGAAACAGGGAGGGAATTCCAGGGAGACATCTATCTTCACCGGATATAATTTTCCCAATTGATTTAATCAGGCAGTGAATTCAATTAGTACCAATCTACTGCTGAAACTTGATAAAGATCCACTTTAAGTGAATCTCATCGTCTTAAATTCCATTATCTTTCTTGCAATGCAAATCCAGACCTTCCCGGGCACATCTCACCAGGAAGAGGATTTGAGCCTTTTTATCCCAATTTCCTGCCTGGTGCATTTGCGGATTTTCCCAGCAGTTTTTCCATCTGGGATTTCGACACTGCCCGGGCCACCACTGACCCATGTCCCCAAACCAGGACAGTCCCCAAGTGCCACACAAGGTGGACATGATGACCAGTCTGTGCCCAGGTGGACACACTGACCACACAGATGCAGGTGGACACTGACCAGTGCCCAGGGGGACACACTGACCACACGAATCCAGGTGGACACACTGACCTGTCCATGCCCAGATGGACACACTGACCAGTGCCCAGGTGGACACACTGACCAGTCTGTGACCAAATGGACACACTGACCAGTGCCCAGGTGGACACACTGACCAGTCTGTGACTAGTGGGATACACTGACCAGTGCCCAGGAGGACACACTGACCTGTCCATACCCAGGTGGACACACTGACCGCACGAATCCAGGTGGACACACTGACCGCACGAATCCAGGTGGACACACTGACCGCACGAATCCAGGTGGACACACTGACCGCACGAATCCAGGTGGACACACTGACCGCACGAATCCAGGTGGACACACTGACCGCACGAATCCAGGTGGACACACTGACCGCACGAATCCAGGTGGACACACTGACCAGTGCCCAGGTGGACACACTGACCACACAGATGCAGGTGGACACTGACCAGTGCCCAGATGGACACACTGACCACATAAATCCAGGTGGACACACTGACCACACGAATCCAGGTGGACACACTGACCTGTCTGTGACCAGTGGGACACACTGACCTGGTGTCCAAGTGGACACACTGACCACACAAATCCAGGAGGACACACTGACCAGTCTGTGACCAAATGGACACACTGACCAGTGCCCAGGTGGACACACTGACCACACAAATCCGTGTGGACACACTGAACTGTCTGTGACCAGTGGGACACACTGACCAGTCTGTGACCAAATGGACACACTGACCCAGTGCCCAGGTGGACACACTGACATGTCCGTGCCCAGATGGACACACTGACCAGTCTGTGACCAAATGGACACACTGACCAGTGCCCAGGAGGACACACTGACCTGTCCGTGACCAGGGGCTTCATGGGCTGGGATGAAGAAACAGAAACCAGCTCTCCGTCCTCGCCACCTTCATCGTCACTGGAGTTCTGGAGCAGCTCCGACTCCTCCTCGTCGCCATCCCCTCCCTCTTTCTTCCTTCTCAGGAGGGGTTTGCTGGAGCCATCCACCTGGTTGCCATAGTTACCTCGAGGAGAAGAAGGAAAAAAAAAATAAAAAGAGATGGAATCAATTCACAGGGTTATAACTCCCAGCTCTGGGATTGAATTCGCAAAAGTTTGCGAATTTTGCGAGTCTTGCAAAAAATTGGCAAAAGTTTTCTCTGCTGGAACCGCGGAGAACGTTGGAGTCTGACTTCCTGGAATCACATCCAGGAGGTGGAAATTAGGCAGAGGTGTCTGTGCCCTGCTCCTGTCCCCTCTCGATCCCCTGGGAATCCCCGGAGCATGAAACCAGGATGGGAGAGAGGGATCAGCTCCACTGGTCACACCCCAGCAGGCACAAAATGGGATCCCACATCCCTCACGCCCACGGAGGAGCCATTCCCTGCTCCCCAAACCCGCTCTAGCAGGAGTTGGAATGGAAAATCGGGAATAAACCCCACCCCCAGCTTTGGATTCTGATTTTCACCACCATCACTCTCCCCAAAAAAACCCCAACCAACCTATGGTGACCTCAAAGTTAATGGGTTTGTCCCCAATCTTCCTGTCGATCATGGTGGCCTCCAGGAAGGCTCCGAAAAGGAAGAATTCCTCCATCTTCCCGCTGCAGTTCTGCAGGAGAAAAGAGGTCCCAGGGCTGAGGGTTGGGGCCAGAGGGAGAGCCAGGTCCATCCCTCGGGATGCCTTTTCCAAAGGGACCGGGAGGGTTTTGTCTCCCATCTCCTGGCTTGTTGTAGAGAGTGTATAATTAAAGATTTAATTTTAATATCTTTTAATTAAAGCTTGAGCTGTGATCAGGGGCATTCAGGAATACAATCCTGAGTTCCCTAAACTGATCAAACCAGACAAATCCAGGTGCCTGGGTGCTCCCGTGGAATTGGGATGGTTCTGTTTTTCCACGTGGTTTCATTCCCCCTGGCTGGGAAATAAATGAGATTCTTGGTTTCTGATAGAAACCCATCGGGATAAGAGTGGGATAACTGGAATTAGGGGATGAGTCACTGCCCGTGTGTATTTCCCCCACGGAGAAACATCCCTAGGTTCAGGAGATTGTAGAAATTGTGGATGGTTTGGGTGGGAAGGGACCTTAAAGATCATCCAGTTTCATGGGCAGGGTCATCTTGCTCTATCCCAGGGTGCCGCAAGCCCTGTCCAAACTGGCCATGGACGCTTCCAGGGGTGGATCAGCCAACGCTCCTCTGGGAACGCTGTGCCAGTGACAATCAATGTCACTCTGACATTCCCAGAGCCCCTAAGGGAAGTGAGCCCTGGAATGATCCTAAAACCCAATACTTCCGTTGCTCTGTGAGATCCAGAACAGCTGGGACAGCACTTGAAATCACAGAGTTCACAGAATTCACGGAATTCACAGAATCACTGGGTTGGAAGAGACCTCCAAGACCATGGAGTCCAACCCAGCCCCGACACCTCAACTCAACGCTGGCACCCAGTGCCACATCCAGGCTTCTCCTAAATACATCCAGGCATCACCATGGCATCACATCCAGGCTCTACCACCTCCCTGGTCCCCGGGAATTCCCAAAATTCCCCGAATTCCCAGAATTCACAGAATCACTGGGTTGGAAGAGCCCTCCAAGTCCATGGAGTCCAACCCAGCCCCGACACTTCAACTCAACCCTGGCCCCCAGTGCCACATCCAGGTTTCTCCTAAATCCATCCAGGGATGGTGGCTCCACCACCTCCCCGGTCCCTGGGAATTCCCAAAATTCCCCGAATTCCCAGAATTCACAGAATCACTGGGTTGGAAGAGACCTCCAAGTCCATGGAGTCCAACCCAGCCCCGACACTTCAACTCAACCCTGGCCCCCAGTGCCACATCCAGGCTTTGTTAAACACACCCAGGGATGGTGACTGCACCACCTCCCCAGGCAGCCATTCCAGAACTTTATCACCTTTCTGGGAAAACCTTTTTTCTGCTATCCATCCTGAATTTCCCTTGGTGTAGCTCAAGGCTGTGTGCTGTGGTTCTGTCAGTGCCTGGAGAAAGAGCCCAGCCCCAGCTGAGCACAGCCACCTTTCACAGGACAATCCCCAATTTATGAGACCAAAAGTAACAATCCAATATTCCCGAGACCCCAAACTGCCCCCGGATGTTGTGGGGTCACGGGGACACCTGAGGCATCACGGTATTATGTTTCTTTTCCTTGGGCCAGTTCTCGTAAGCCCTCAAAAGAAATATAACACACCCAAGGATAGCTCAGCTATTACTTTGGGGGCATAAAATAAGCAGGATGACTTCTGCTGCAGTGTTAGAAACAAAAGAGGTTTAACAAAAGGCAAAATAACAAACAGAGGTCTGCTCCTGATAAAAAACACCTCACAAAAGCACTTTAGCTCTTTTATTCTCTTCTTTTCTACCTGATGGGCCAGGCGGGACTTTTTTGGCTTCTATCCAATTAGCTGCCCTCAAGTTTTTGGTGAAGTCCCTGAGGTCCTATGAGGTGGCTTTTCACCTAATCCTTGAGAGAAACTTCTGGGCTTCTTTCCTTTTTTGGGGGACAAAGGACAGTTTTGCCACTCTGTCACTAGGGGACACGCTCCTACGTCACGGGGGACTTACGTCAGCCACCGCCGTGGCCTGCTCCACCTGCACCTCAGTGGAGCTGTTGATCTCGGGGTTGGTGGTGTCCAGGATCTCCACGGCCAGGCCCAGCAGGAGCCGGGCGCGGAAGGAGACGCCCTCGCCCAGGCCCTCGTTGAGCTCCTGGTGCTCGTCCATCAGGGTGTAGTTCCGCGTGGAGCCGTACATGTTCACCCAGGCGGGGCCGAAGGTGGGCAGGAAGCCTGGCGGGGTGGAAAGGGGCAAGTGGGAAGGGGTTGGAGAGGGAAAAGGGAATGTCTTGGCAGCCGTGGTTGGCGCCACTTTCCTGGTCTCTGTGTGGTGACACAGGCTGGGACTGTGTGTTCTTGTGTGTCCGTGGAAGTGTGGTTGGCGCCAGCCATGAAGATGGTTTTCAGGGAATCCTGGGATAATCTGGGTTGGGAAAGAGCTTCCAGACCATCGAGTCCAGCCTGTGACTGATCTCTACCTTGTCCCCAGCCCAGAGCACTGAGTGCCACATCCAGGAATTCCTTGGACACCTGCAGGGATTGGGACCCCAAACCTCCCTGGGCAGCCCCTGCCAAGGCCTAACCACCCTTTCCGTGGGGAAATTCCTCCTGGTGTCCAACCTGGCACAACCAGGGTGAGCGGAAGGATTTAAATCTTTTATCTTAGTCTCCTGCCTAATGGATTTGCAGGAGATTTTTCCAGCAGCTTTTCTATCGGATCCCAGCACTGCCAAGGCCTCCACTAACCCATGTCCCCAGGTGCCACATCCAAACAGCTTTTAAATCCCTCCAGGGATGGAAACTCCACCCGTGCCAGGGATCAACAGCCATTTCCAGGAAGGAATTTTCCAGATATCCACCCTGAGCCTGCCCTGGCCCAGCCTGAGGCCATTTCCCCTAGTCTTGTCCCTGTTCCCTGGGAGCAGAACCCGACCCCCCCTGGCTGTCCCCTCCTGTCAGGGAATTGTGCAGAGCCACAAGGTCCCCCCAAGTCTCCAGGATTTTTTTTTTGGAGAAATTTTCTGGGAGGGCAGTGGTGGGAACTGGAATGGTCTTTGGCAATTCCCCATTTTGAGGGTCGAGGAAGGAGAACTCCCCGTTAGTCCCTTTCCAGTCCCACGTGTGGTTTCCCATCTTTGCCCACAAATGCTTATGCATCCATGGAATTTTTGGAAGAGCAAATTGTTCTGGGGTGTCTTTGCTTTCAGGTATTGGCTGAAGGTTTGTGACAAATCTTGGTTTTCAGGGCATTGGCCCAGGAACCTCTCCAATTTCAGGACAGCAAGGTCTCTCCAGATGAGCACCAGGGAATTCCAGGGGGGGGGAAGGAACCTGGAAAACTTCGGGAACCCTGCCAAAGGAATGCCCCTGTAGCTTTTATGTCCCCTTTCAACTTTACCTTTGTCCCCTTCGTTGGAGATCTTCCTCAGGTCAATGAAATGGGTCCCGATGGCCACATCGTTGACCTTGTCCGAGTCCCGGATCTGGATCTTGATCCGCTTGCACAGCGGGGGGAACATCTCTGTGAAGATGATCTGCTCGTTCCAGAGGGGCTCGTAGCTGCTCTTCTGTATGGATGTCTTTCCCTGGGAATCAAGAGGAGACGGATATCAGACAAGGGTTGAGTAAGAGCCTGAGATGCGAGATGTGGAACTCCAGGCTCCTCGTCAAAATGCAGTTTATTTTATGCAAGAATGTTACAGCAGTCTGGGGTTGTGGGATTTTGGAACCCCAGACACTGAAAATTTTAAACTTTCTGTGCTGAAAGGCACAGACCCGCAGGAGAGCACTGCTTTTGGCCTGGGGCTGTGAAGAAGGCTTCCAAAATTGATTGATGCACTGAGATTACGGGTGTGGAGCTGGTTAGAAGTTTGTCATCTCACAGTGTGAAAAAACTCAGATTTGGGGTTTTAGTATATGGTGATACATGGGAGCCAAGATGGAGAATTTTGGGCGTGGGTTAGATGTCTTTTTTGCACCTTTTTCTTCACGGATCTGGGTGGTTTTCTCTAATTGGATTAAAGATGTCCGCATTCCGGGTTTTGGGTGATAATTGGGTTAGAAGCATAAGCAATATGGATGTCAACTGTTTATTGTTTATTATGTCAACTTTATAGGACCTAAATGGCCTTGGACAGACTCCATTTCAGCTCACTTTTTAGGGGGAGCTCGCATCTTGTGAGTTTGTAATAGATAAGGATGATAAACTTCAGAGTGAGACTTCAAAAACAACATCTCCTGAGTTTTATTCGCCCTGACCTTGGAGCAAGAAAGAGCCTGGATTTCCAACAGTGGGTGACAGAGTCATGGCTACATCTGTCAGCTCCAGCTGCAGACAAACCTGAAAACCTTTTAGTTTTGGTTACATTTCACTATGTATTTTTCTTTGCTGTGCATCTTAATACAAAATCAACCAATCAATAACTTTACTATTACCTACAGCCTATCACAACTACTATAATTACCATATTATGGTCAATACTATCCAATCACATGAATTAAAATGTTACAGTTTAAGCTTAAAGTTGTTTTTCGGTTTTCTTGCAGTGGAAAATTCTTAGACCGTTTTTCTACTTGCCACATCCACATGTTTGTTTGCCTGTGGTATCTTTCTGCTTGGTAAAAAAATCTTTTTGTTTTTGGTCAGCTTATCCTTTGCTCTAAGTCATAACATCTCTTTCCAACTCGACTTAACCTTTGCTTTCTTAGTCGTCCAGCAAGACTGGCTCAGCAATCATCAATTTGCACATCTGTTATTCTGTATCAAAACTTGTTTCCATCTCTATTGCATTCTCAGGTTCTGCAATTAGAGAGCTTTCTGCCAAGTTTCTTGCCAAACTTTCATCCTTCCCAACAGGTTGGATCTCCCAAACCATCCCTCACCACCCGAGCTGCTCCCTTCCACTCACTCCGCCCTCTCCTGAGCAAAGAATTCTCCTCCTCAACTGGAGAGGGCTCAAACCCATCCCGGAGGGAGAAAACAAGGTGACACCACGCCCATCTCGACGTGCCAGGTGACACCATGCTCATCTGAACATGCCAAGTGACACCATGCCCATCTTAACCAAGGTGACACCACGCCCATCTAGATGTGCCAGGTGACACTATGCCCATCTTGACCAAGGTGACACCATGCCCATCTCAATGTGCCAGGTGACACCACGCCCATGTCGATGTGCCAAGTGACACCACGCCCATGTCGATGTGCCAGGTGACACCATGCCCATCTCGATGTGCCACGTGACCATGCCCATCTTGACATGCCAAGTGACACCACACCCATCTAAATGTGCCAAGTGACACCACACCCATCTTGACATGCCAGGTGACACCACGCCCATCTTGATGTGCCAGGTGACCACACCCATCTCTACATGCCAGGTGACCATGCCCATCTCAACGTGCCAGGTGGCACCACACCCATTTTGACATGTCAGGTGACCACACAAATCTTGACATGCCAGGTGACACCATGCCCATCTCAATGCCAGGTGACACCACACCCATCTTGACATGTCAGGTGACACCACACCCATTTTGACATCGATGTGCCACGTGACCATGCCCATCTTGACATGCCAAGTGACACTACACCGATCTCAATGTGCCAAGTGATCCCACGCCCATCTTGACATGCCAGGGGACACCACACCCATCTTGACATGCCAGGTGACACCACGCCCATCTCAATGTGCCACGTGACCATGCCCATCTTGACATGCCAAGTGACACTACACCCATCTCAATGTGCCAAGTGATACCACGCCCATCTTGACATGCCAGGTGACACCACACCCATCTTGATGTGCCACGTGACCACACACATCTCTACATGCCAGATGACCACACCCATCTCAATGTGCCAGGTGACCATGCCCATCTCAACGTGCCAGGTGACACCACACCCATGTCGATGTGCCAAGTGACACCACGCCCATGTCGATGTGCCAGGTGACACCATGCCCATCTCGATGTGCCACGTGACCATGCCCATCTTGACATGCCAAGTGACACCACACCCATCTAAATGTGCCAAGTGACACCACACCCATCTTGACATGCCAGGTGACACCACACCCATCTTGATGTGCCACGTGACCACACACATCTCTACATGCCAGATGACCACACCCATCTCAATGTGCCAGGTGACCATGCCCATCTCAACGTGCCAGGTGACACCACACCCATTTTGACATGTCGGGTGACCACACAAATCTTGACATGCCAGGTGACCATGCCCATCTCAACGTGCCAGGTGACACCACACCCATCTTGACATGTCAGGTGACACCACACCCATTTTGACATGTCAGGTGCCCACACAAATCTTGACATGCCAGGTGACACCACACCCATCTTGAGCAAGGTGACACCACGACCATCTCAATGTGCCAGGTGACACCATGCCCATCTCAATGTGCCAGGTGACACCATGCCCATCTCAATGTGCCAGGTGACACCATGCCCATCTCAATGTGCCAGGTGACACCACACCCATTTTGACATGTCAGGTGACCACACAAATCTTGACAGGCCAGGTGACACCACGCCCATCTTGAGCAAGGTGACACCACGCCCATCTCAATGTGCCAGGTGACACCATGCCCATCTTGACACATCACGTAACACCACGCCCATCTTGATGTACCAGGTGACACCACACTCATCTAAATGTGCCAAGTGATGCCATGCCCATCTCAACGTGCCAGGTGACACCACACCCATCTTGACATGCCAGGTGACACCACGCCCATCCCAATGTGCCAGATGACACTACTTGCATCTCGATGTGCCAGGTGACACCACGCCCATCTCAACGTGCCAGGTGACACCACGCCCATCTCAACGTGCCAGGTGACACCACGCCCATCTCCACATATCAGCTAACACCACGCCCATCTTGACGTGCCAGGTGACACCACACCCATCTCAATGTGCAAGGATGACCGAGACCATCTATGGCCACCTGCTGGTGTCACCTCCTGTGGTCACCCTGGGAGGTGACACCACACCCATCATGCCAGGTGACACCACACCCATCTGGACATGCAAGGATGACCAAGACCATCTATGGCCACTTGCTGGTGTCACCTCCTGTGGTCACCCTGGGAGGTGACACCACACCCATCATGCCAGGTGACACCACACCCATCTGGACATGCAAGGATGACCAAGACCATCTATGGCCACCTGCTGGCACCATTTTTTGGGGAGCTCCCCGCTCACCTTCTGCCCCGCGAAGGCCACCTGCACGTAGGGGTCCACCAGGTCCTTGTTCTCCCCGATGAGGGCCTTCTTGACGTTGGCCATGATGCTGGTGTTCATGCGCGGCAGCCCCTCGGCGCGGTAGATCTTGATGTAGAACCGAGCCCACTGCCGCTCCGGGGGCACCCCGTCGGGGAGCAGCAGGTTCCTGGAATGCCAGTGGATGGAGTTGGGAACAGCTGCTGGGGTGGGGTGGTCAGGGAATCTCGGGTTGCCTGCTGTCGGGGTGACCCGAGAGTCCCTTTTTCCCAGCCTGCTGGCCAAGGAAAGTCGGGATTCTTCGGCTCATGTTCACAAGGTTGTTTATTATCTATTATCTAAAATATTTTTTCTCAGACCCACAGAGGTCTGCTCTGCAGGTCTGTCAAGGGCATACTGCCCGCCCCTGGGCTGGTATCTACATTTTATACTACAAATTACATATACTTTATTTATCATTATTTTCCAATACCTATCACCTATGTTAGACTGTCTACTTCTACTTTAGACCAATCCAAATGTGCCACCGTCACCCAGAAGATGGAGGCTAGGAAGAAGAAGGAAGAATAATAGGACAACACCCAAGTCCCTCCATCTTTCCTCCTAGACCCCCAATAATAAAATCCCCAAAACTCCGTTTTTCACCCAGTGATTAATACATTATTACTCTACTTAAACTTTTGTGACTTGTGATTCTTCATGCAAGGTTGGTAATTTGCTCCGTGGGTTAAGATCGAATTCCCAAGTGTCTTTGGCTTCCTGCCAGGACTCCTGAGCCCCCTGCCAGGGGCACGTGTCACCCTTTCGACAAGGGAAGACCGAAGGTTGGGTGGGATGATCTCCATCCAACCTTTGTGGTTCCATAAACGACCAGAGAGAAGCTGCTCCATTTTCCGAGCACTGACTCCTTCCGCTTCCGCTCCATTCCATGGAAATGGAATGGATGGGATTTTGGAAGAGTTGCTTTTTCCTTACCAAGGAGAGGTTGGAGGATTATTTTGGGGGTGAAATTAACTCCATCCATTGGGATTTTTTTGGGATATGTGGCTTTCCTCCTCTGCATGAATAGATGGGAATGCTGTGAATAAAATATTTCTAGGGGAATTCTAGGAATTGCTGGAGTTGTCCATGACTGCTGGAAGGTGTTTCTGCCCATGGCAGGAGGGTTGGAAGATCCCTTCCAAAACAAACCATTCCAGGATTTTAGGAATAAGTAGGAGAACATCACCACTACAGCATAGGATGAAGCCCAAAGTACTGGAGGTGGTTCCTCAAACCCCAGCAAGTCAGGAGAGCTGTGCTGGTGCTTTCTGACTCTTAATGGCTACACTCAATCCCAGAGGTCTTTCCCAACCTAAACCATCCCATGATTCCATGTGGGGAGAGCCTCAGAGACAGATTCAAAATGGAGATATTAATTTATCTGGAAAAGTTTTGGGGCTGGAATCAAGCCTTAAAGCTCCTGATTTTGGTTCTGTGACCTTTGAGATGTTCTGGGCAGTCCAAGATCCCTGTCCACACACACAGCCTGGGAAACCTCATCCAGACTTCCCTGCTCTGCCTTGGGGTGTGAGATCCCATCCCATTATCCCATTATCCCATCATCCCATCCCATCTTCCCACCCAGGGCCCATCAGGAACGTCAGGGGACATCAGGCTGAGTGACACCAGGCTGGGTGTTGCTGGAGAGTTCAACCACCAGCGGATGATCTGACCCCACAGGAAGGACAACTCCGTGCTGGAGATCACCTGGAATTGCACCACAACCATGCATTCCCTCCCAGAAAACTGCCGGATTGGTCCCTCTGCTTTCATGGCTCAGGGTTTGCCACCAGGTCTGCATCCTGTGATCCCACCCAAGGGACAGAGAGGTGGAAAGGATTCCCGAGGGAGCCGGGAAGAAGCGGATCCCAGCAGATCCCTACCCTTCGATGTCATCCTCCTCCGTCTCGTTGGCCTTGTGTGGGGTCTTGATGTTGTCCCCTTTGCCCACCACGGCGATGTCACACTTGAGGTAGCCCTTGAGGCCAGCCGTCAGGTCCTCGGGGTCGGACAGGATGGCCCATTTGTGGTAGAACTGGTGCTCTGCAAGCCAGGGGACAAGAGAGACCTTTGTCACCACCGGACACGGCCAGCGTCACCAGGACACGGCGTTCCATGCAGTGGGAGCAGCCCTGGGTGTGAGGGATCCCAAAAAAACCTGGAAAATCCATTGGGAAGGTGTTGAAGATGGAGAAACAACGGGATAAGCTTACCAGGACACGGCTTTCCATGGAGTCGGAACAGCCCTGGGTGTGAGGGATCCCAACAAACCCCTGGAAAATCCATTGGGAAGGTGTTGAAGATGGAGAAACAACGGGATAAGCTGGAGGGGGGTGGAGTCCCAAATCCCCACCCTGGAGGGGTTTAAAGCCTTGTGGATGTGGCACTTGGGGACATGGGGCAGTGGTGGTGGCCCTGGCAGTGCTGGGGATGGTTGGACTCGATGGTCAGCAGCTCTGATCAGCCTCTCCCTCTTTTCCAGGCTGGGATGAAATGAGGGGCAGGATGCAGCCCTGGACATTCCTGTCTGGAATGTTCACATCCTGCCTGGGAATGTCACCTGGGGCTTCTTCCTGGGCAGGGCAGGGACAGACACTAGCAGAGCCAGGAGGGATCTCAGGGACACCTGGAAGAGCTGGAGGACAGAAGGATCCAGGGAGAGCTCAGAGCGCCTTCCAGGGCCTCAAGGGGGTCCACGAAAGCTGGAATTTGGAAAGGGCTGGAGGGCCAGGAGCCAGGGAATGGGAGAGCTGGAGGACAGAAGGATTCAGGGAGAGCTCAGAGCATCTTCAGGGCCTCAAGGGGCTCCACGAAAGCTGGAATTTGGAAAGGGCTGGAGGGCCAGGAGCCAGGGAATGGCTTCCAGTGGGAAAGGGCAGCTTGGGGTTGTGGGATCTTGGGAAGGAATTCCTGGCTGGGCTGGAATTCCCAGAGAATCACTGGATCCCTGGTAGTGTCCAAGGGAGGATTTGGATCACCCTGGGATGGTGGGAAGTGTCCCTGGGATGGTATTGAAGGTCCATGGATCCCATCCCAAGGCATTCCGGGATTCTGGGATCAAGGACACTTAGGATCCATCCTGAGGGATTTTTATGGAAGTTGGGGATGGAAAAGGGAAGGGAGACCTTTCCTGGAGTCCAGAGATTCTGAGTGAACCCCCTTGTTCCTGAAATTCCTTCCCAGAGGGGAGTTGGGATGGGGATGGATCCAATGCCAGGCTGGGAGAGCTGGGAATGTGCAGCTGGATCAGGGAAGGATCCAGGGAATCCTTGGAGCCTTTTCCAGAGGGGCTCCAGGAGAGCGGGAATTTGGGAAAGGGCTGGAGGGCCAGGAGCCAGGGAATGTCTTCCAGGGGGAAAGGGGAGCTTGGGGTTGTGGAATCTTGGGAAGGAATTCATGGCTGGGCTGGAATTCCCAGAGAATGCCTGGATCCCTGGCAGTGTCCAAGGAAATGCTGGACACTGGGGCTTGGAGCACCCTGGGACAATGAAAGGTGTCCCTTCCCATGGCAGGGGTGGAATTAAATTATCTTTGAGGTCCCATCACACCCAAGCCATTCCGTGATTCCACGATTCCAGGATGGGATATAAACCCTTCTCCAGAGGTGCCAAGTGCTCTTCCCTGACCTAGGAGCCACTCCAGGTGACTTTTTTTTATATCTTGGATATTTACACTAAATTGGGAAAGCATTTTCCAAGGAATTCAGCCCCTGCCTGACTCCTTTGCCGGGCATTTTACTCCTCTGAGCAGGTGCAGGTGCCCAGGAATTGTTACAAATGACATTCACGTACCAGGCTGGGTATAAACAGTCCCAACATCCATCTTGAAGGATCCCACCAACGTCCCGCTCCTCAGGAGGTTTTTGGAGTGAATCACCTGGAAATCAAGAGGGGAAAACCACTCAGGAATTCCCCCAGGACCTAGGAGTCACAAAGCCATTCCAGAGGTCTCCAGGATGGGGTGGGAAAGGAGCTGAGGGGTTTTGCTTGGTCTGGGGAGGATTCAAGGACACCAAAAGGCCCGGTGGGGTTGGCAGGTCCTGATTAGTGGAATTGCCCAGAAGTTTGTATTTGGAATGAACAAAAAATGCAAAGAAATTAATATTTGGAGCAAGATCCATTTTCCAGCCACTGCAGCAGCAAACCCTGGGGTGTTTAACTGAGGGAAGAGCCTTTAGAATGCTCAGAATCTGAGGAAAACTGGGATAAATTGTACAGCCGGTCTGTGCACTGGGATGGATATGGATGATCCTAATTAATGTGCCCTAATTGGGCAGGGAATCTGGAAGTCTTGTCCATCACCTTCCTGGTTTTGGGTGGACTGAAATCTCAGTTTTGCTCTCAGCATTCCCGATCCTGGATTTCCACAACAGCTCTGATGCCCCAGGAATTTCCCTGGCAGGCTCAGGAAGGACTTTCTGCTCCACAAGAATAAATAAATGAATTCCAAGGTTTCGTTCTAATAAATAAATTCTGAGGTTTGGATCTCTGGAATATCAGAGATAACTCGTGAAGGGACACAGGGAATGCAGGAGCTGTGTGGGACCAGGAATGAGGGTTGGAACAGAACAACGGACTGGGGGGGTCTGCAGAAGAGAATTCCTGTTGGGAATCTCAAATCAAGGACCTTAACTCCATCCCAAAAATGGGTTGCTCGCTTCCAAAGCCCCCCAAAAAAGGAACAGGACACGGATATCGGGGTCACTTACGGAGAGCTTGATGATTTTGTCGAACATGACATCGGGGGGGACGTGGAAATCAAAGACGAAATACTGGAAGGGAAAGAGGAATGGTGAGGAATGGTGAGGAGTGGAATCCATGGGGATTAAGAACACCCCGGAGATGCTGTGGCTGCCTGTGGGGTGCCCATGGCCCAGCAGGGATGGATCCATGTGATCCCAACACTGAGTGTGGCACCACATGGATCATTGATCCCCCACTGAGTGTGGGGAGCCAATGGAGGTGCAGAAAAACTGGGGATCATCGATCACAAAATTCCAGAGGGTCAAGGCTTTGTTTCTCCTCTGTGGTTTGAGATTTCACCTTGTTCTGGCAGGAATTTAACCCAAAAAAAAAACACGGATAAGAAGGAAATCATGGGATCAAGGGTGGAGTAGCCCAGAGGGATTGAGAGCCCCCAGAGAAGCTGTGGCTGCCTGTGGGGTGCCCATGGCCCAGCAGGGATGGATCCATGTGATCCCAACACTCAGCATGGAACCTCATGGATCACCGATCCCACAGAGAGTGTGGGGAGTGAACAGAAGAACAGATTTCTTGGAAAACCTGGGAATCATTGGTCACAAAATTCCAGAGGGTCAAGGCTTTGTTTCTCCTCTGTGGTTTGAGATTTCACCTTGTTCTGGCAGGAATTTAACCCAAAAAAAAACACGGATAAGAAGGAAATCATGGGATCAAGGGTGGAGTAGCCCAGAGGGATTGAGAGCCCCTAGAGAATCTGTGGGGTGCCCATGGCCCAGCAGGGATGGATCCATGTGATCCCAACACTCAGCATGGGACCTCATGGATCATTGACCCCCCCCCCCCCCCCCCCCCCCGCCACTGAGCATGGGGAGCCAACAGAAGAACAGATTTCTCAGAAAACCTGGGAATCATTGGTCACAAAATTCCAGAGGGCAAAGGCTTTGTTTCTCCTGTGTGGTTTGAGATTTCACCTTATTCCGGCAGGAATTTAACCAAAAAAACCCACCTGCGGATAAGAAAGAAATCACCAAATCGAGGGTGGAGTAGCCTGGAGGGGCTGGAGCAGCACCGGGGCCGGACCCACCTCATTGTAGTAAGGACAGTTGGTGGATTCCTTCATGGACGTGTATTTCTTCTCCTCCCCCACCTCCACGCACACCACGGGGTCCATGTTGAGCCCCACGAGCTGCCGGGCCTCGATGATGGTGATGCTGACCTGGGGAGAGGAATTCCCAAAATTCCACATCCCGGGAGCAGCTCCAGGCTGCCTTCACCCACCCTCCCATCTCTGGCCGAGGAGAATTCCCAGTGCAACGGGGTCTACTGGTCCCACTGGGACACGGCTGAGGAGGGGCTGGCAGGGTGTGGGATGCAGGAGATCCCAGGAATCCCGGTTGTTCCAGCCCTAGGATGAAGGCACTCCACACAACGGGAAAAATCCAGTGGATTCAACCAAGCTGTGGGATCAGAGATACCAATCCCATTGGCTTAGCTTCTGCTGGAAAATCCAATGGATTTAACCCCAGCTGTGGGATCAGAGATACCAATCCCATTGGCTTCACTTCTGGAAAATCCAGATCCCATTGGCTTCGCTTCTGCTGGAAAATCCAATGGATTTAACCCCAGCTGTGGGATCAGAGATACCAATCCCATTGGCTTCACTTCTGGAAAATCCAATGGATTCAACCTGACCTGTGGAATCAGAGACTGATCCCGTTGGCTTCACTTCTGCTGGAAAATCCAATGGATTTAACATGAGTGTGGGATCAAAGACTGATCCCATTTGGCTTCACTTCTGCTGGAAAACATAACAGGATCACGGAGTGATTGGGATTGGGAGGGACCTTAAATCTCATTCCATTCCACTCCCTGCCAGGGGCAGAGACACATTCTGCTATCCCAGGTTGACCCAAGGAGGAATTCCATGGAGACAACCTCAAAGAGAGCTTAATTTGGGCTTAATTTGGGCTCTGGGTTTCACATGCTTGACAACAAACCCAGTCAAAGACTTAATCCTGAGTTTATGGCTCCACCAGTGAAATTCCAGCTCTTGGGATGTCCTGGTTCCAAGTCCAGCGAGTTGAGACCCACCAGGGACTCGGTCCCTGCAAACAGTGTCCCCAAGCCCAGGTTGTGACCCTGAGGGCACAGTTTGGTGTCACCTGCCTGGTAATCCATGGGCCTCCCGGCACTCGGCTCCATCCTGATGTCGGGCTTGGACCTTGGGAGAGGCAGAAGAAACCCTGGGTCAAACCACGGGTGGAATTCATGGAATCATGGAATGGTTTGGGTAGGAAGGCACTCGAAGGTCATCCAGAGCCTGACATTTCCCACCACCCCAGCTTGCTCCAAGCCCCATCCAACCTGGCCTGGGACAATTCCAGAGATAGGGCAGCCACAGCTTCTCTGGGAATTCCATCCCAGCCCCTTCCTAACTCCCAGTATCCCATCCATCCCTGCCCTCTGGCAGTGGGAAGCCATTCCCTGTGTCCTGTCCCTCCATCTGTTGTCCCCAGTCCCTCTCACTACAAGACCAGGGGTCACCCTCAATGGTCCTTCAACCCTGGGAGGCTCCACAGAATTTTGGTGATCACTGCTGCAGGTGAGATATTCCAAAAAAACATCCCACTGGCTCCTTGGGACAGTGATTCCCAACATTCCCTGTGTCAGGGATCACTCTTTTTTGGGATGTCTGTCCTCACTTCACGCCGGCACAATCCCAGCCCCGGATCTCACCTTTTGTTGGAGACATTGGTGGTGACAGCGGTGACAGAGGCCAGGGAGATGGTGTCTGGCTCCAGGCCTGCTCCGTATCTCATGGCCTTTCTATCCAGGTCTTCTGTTTCCAGAACAGCCGGATCACTGTCCCCAGTCCCTCTCACTACAAGAGCAGGGTCACCCTCAATGCTCCTTCAACCCTGGGAGGCTCCACAGAATTTTGGTGATCGCTGCTGCAGGTGAGATATTCCAAAAAAACATCCCACTGGCTCCTTGGGACAGTGATTCCCAACATTCCCTGTGTCAGGGATCACTCTTTTTTGGGATGTCTGTCCTCACTTCACGCCGGCACAATCCCAGCCCCGGATCTCACCTTTTGTTGGAGACATTGGTGGTGACAGCGGTGACAGAGGCCAGGGAGATGGTGTCTGGCTCCAGGCCTGCTCCGTATCTCATGGCCTTTCTATCCAGGTCTTCTGTTTCCAGAACAGCCGGATCATCTGCGGGAAGGGGACAAAGGAATGGCTCCGGTGTTAATTTCCATCGGTGAATAATTAAAGGCTGGGAGAAGGGAAACCAATCCATCCCCACGGCTGGGAGCACAAAAACAATGGGAACCAGGTCAAGTCTCAGACAACCCGCTCGGAAAAGGGGTTGTCAAAGAGATGACATGGAATTCTATCTGGGCAGAATTCCTGTGGAGGGTTTTGGGGAGGATAAATAAGGAATAAGGACAACACCCCAAATTTAGGGGGTGAAAGAGCATTTGAGGAAGAGCTGGAGATCTGAGGAGCACAAGGGATGTTGCAAAGACAACCAGTTCCCTGGTTTTGAGGAGAGAGGGGTGAAAAAATGGGAGAAATGGGTCATTGTCGAGAGGAAAAACTGCTGCAGATCCCACCAGCACATCCCCATGCCTGAGTTTGTATTGGAAAAATTTGCTGGAACGTTCCTTTCCTGAGGGAAAGGGAGTTCTTGACTCAGCTAGGAGATTAAGACTGAGCCAGAGTCACAGGAGCTAGGAATTTCAGTCTCCAGCTCTGGGATCCTTGGCATGGGATGGTCTTGGAGCTGCTGGAATTGCTGCAGAGGAGACCATGGAGCTGCTCCAGGGCTGGAGCCCCTCTGCCATGGAGCCAGGCTGGCAGAGCTGGGAATGTCCAGCTGGAGAAGGGAAGGATCCAGGGACAGCTCAGAGCCCCTGGCAGGGCCTGAAGGGGCTCCAGGAGAGCTGCAGAGGGATTGGGAACAAGGCCGGGAGAGACAGGACACAGGGAATGGCTTCCCAATGGGAAAGGGGAGCTTGGGATTGTGGGATCTTGGGAAGGAATTCCTGGTTGGGAGGGGGGGGAGGGGCCAGGCTGGAATTCCCAGAGGAGCTGTGGCTGCTCCATCCCTGGAAGTCTCCAAGGGCAGGTTGGAGCTGATCTAAGCTGGAGAGGAGTCTGGGTGGGAGGGAAGCACCCACGGAAGGTTGGGAATGCCGGCTTGGCCCGCAGGCAGCGGGTGCAGGACATCCACCCATCCCTTAACCAGTGGCCAAGGGTCGGAATCACCATCCCAGCCCAGCGAGGTTCCTGGGAAAGGCAGGATCAGGAGCCTCCCGGCCCTGCAGCACTGCCCACACCACACAGTATTCCATGGCCATGGATAAATCCAGTGGAGACGCTTCCATGGGACCAACTGCTCCGTTTCTTTGCATCCTGGGTGTTTTCCCATGGTCCTGCTGGGAGCTTTAACCACGAGGGGAACTGCCAGGTTCTGTGAGGAGCACCCAGGTTTCCATGCCAGCATCCCAGGCAAAATTCCCTTTTCCTATCCTCAAACCTGGCTGGAAAACAGGGGAAGTTTTCCCAGAACAACGACCCAAACTGAGGCTTTTCCCTGTAAATGCACATTCCCGCTTTTCTTTGCTGTGGAAAACTGATCCTCGGCTCTGAATGGAAACAACCATGAATTTCCAGTCGCTGCCCTCTCCTGCCTTTCCAGAGGTGTCCAATTCCAGCCCCACCTCGTGCAGAGCCCAGGGAACGGGCAGCCCTTCCTCTCCCACTGCTGCAATTCCAGGAATCCACCGTCATTCCATGGCCGTACCTTGTTTGCGATGCTCATCCTTGGAAGGACGTGTCTTTCCAAGCTTCATGGCTGAAAAAACTCCTTTTCCAGCTCTGGATGAAGAGAGGGAGAATAAAAATCCCCATTAATTGCTGTGTTTTTTGGTGTTTTCTAGGACGTGGGAACAGGAGGAGGTTTTTTTCCAATAGGAAAAGAGGAAATGTCAGCTGAAAAACAGAGCAGGGAATATTCCAGAGAGTCAGAATAGAGAGCGGAATTCAAAGCCCCGGAATCTTGGATCCCATTTTTTATCTGGGAATGCCTCATCCTGGGAGCTTGGGATAGCTCTGCCTCCCCATGAGCAGAGTCCTGCCTGGGGGTCCCAGCTGTGTTCCCACTCCTCATCTCTCCTGACCAGTTCATGGAATTTCTTTCCAAGACACCGGAAAATGAAACTACTAAAAGTGAAACACCCAAAAATTCAGACACCCCAAAATTTGGACACCCCAAAAATAAATATACCCCAAAATTCAAACAGCCCAAAAATTCAGACACCCCAAAAATTCAGACACCCCAAAATTCAAGTACCCTAAAATTCAGACACCCCAAAAATTCAGACACTCAAAAAAATTCCAGCACCCCAAAATTCAGACACCCGAAAAATTCAAACGCTCAAAATTCAGACACCCAAAAATTCAGACACCCCAAAAATTCAGACACCCCAAAAGTCAAGTACCCTAAAATTCATACACCCCAAAAATTCAAACACCCCAAAATTCAGACACCCCAAAATTCAAACAGCCCAAAAATTCAGATGCCCCAAAAATTCAAACACCCCAAAATTAAAGTACCCTAAAATTCAGGCACCCAAAAAATTCAGACAACAAAAAATTCCAACACCCCAAAATTCAAACAGCCCAAAAATTCATACACCCCAAAAATTCAGACACCCCAAAAATTCAGACACCCCAAAATTCAGACACCCCAAAATTCTAACACCCCAAAATTCAGACACCAAAAAATTCTAACAGCCCAAAATTCAAACAGCCCAAAAATTCAAACAGCCCAAAAATTCAGACACTCCAAAATTCAGACACCCCAAAAATTTCGACACCCCAACACTTCCCCCACCCGTGAATGTTCCCGTGAAAGGGGAACATTTTTAATTGGAGAATTCCCATCATTGGAAGTGGAGGAACCTTTGCAGGTTTGCTGGAGATGTTCTTGGAAGTAACGGGGGACCTCCAGCCAGGACCCCACCCCCAAACTGGGCTTCACCTCCAAGATGAAGCTCCTCACCACCAGTCTAGACCTCAGCTCCTGCCTTGATCTCACCTCAAAACCAGACGTCACTTCCAAACTGGGACTGCACCTCCAGGCTGGACCTTTTGTCACCTCCTGTTTGGACCTCACCTCCAAAATGAACCCCATTTTCAGCCGGGACCTCACCTCTGGCCAGGATCTAACTTCCAGCCTGTACCTCACCTCCAGCCTGGATTTGAATTCCACCAGGACCTCACTGTCGCCCTGATTTTGTAAAACTTTCCGTGACCTCACCTCTGGCCAGGACGTCACCTCTGGCCAGGATCGAACTTCCAGCCTGTACCTCACCTCCAGCCTGGATTTAACTTCCACCGCAACCTCACCTTCCATCAGGACCTCACCTCCGGCCTGTATCTCACCTCTGGCCTGGATTTAACTTCCACCGCAACCTCTCCTTCCATCAGGACCTCACCTCCGGCCTGGATTTAACTTCCACCGCAACCTCTCCTTCCATCAGGACCTCACCTCCGGCCTGGATTTAACTTCCACCGCAACCTCTCCTTCCATCAGGACCTCACCTCCGGCCTGGATTTAACTTCCACCGCAACCTCTCCTTCCATCAGGACCTCACCTCCGGCCTGGATTTAACTTCCACCGCAACCTCTCCTTCCATCAGGACCTCACCTCCGGCCTGGATTTAACTTCCACCGCAACCTCTCCTTCCATCAGGACCTCACCTCCGGCCTGGATTTAACTTCCACCGCAACCTCTCCTTCCATCAGGACCTCACCTCCGGCCTGGATTTAACTTCCACCAGGACCTCACCTCCAACCAGGAGGATCTAACTTCCAGCCTGTATCTCATCTCCAGCCTGGATCTAACTTCCAGCCTGGACCTCACCTCCAGGCAGGACCTTGCCTCCGGCCAGGACCCTGCCTTCAAACCAAACCTTTCATCACCTCCTGCTTGGACCTCACCTCCAAAATGAACCCAAAATGAACATTTTCAGCCATGACCTCACCTTGGGCCAGGAACTCACCTCTGGCCAGGATCGAACTTCCAGCCTGTATCTCACCTCCAGCCTGGATTTAACTTCCACCAGGACCTCGCCTCCAGCCATGACCTCACCTCCAACCAGGACCTCACCTCCGGCCTGGATCGAACTTCCAGCCTGGATCTCAGCTCCAGCCTGGATTTAACTTCTACCAGGATCTTGCCTCCAGCCGGGACCTCACCTGCAAGATGAACCTCACCTCCAGGCTGGACCTCACCTATGGCCTGGATCTAACTTCCAGCCTGGACCTCACCTTCAACCAGGACCTCATCTCCAGCCTGGATCTAACTTCCCGCCTGGATCTCAACTCCAGCCTGGATTTAACTTCCACCATGACCGCGCCTCCAGCCGGGACCTCGCCTCCAAACCAGATTTGACTTCCAAACTGGGAACTCACCTCCAGGCTGGACCTCACCTATGGCCTGGATCTAACTTCCAGCCTGGACCTCACCTTCAACCAGGACCTCAACTCCAGCCTGGATTTAACTTCCACCATGACCTCGCCTCCAGCCGGGACCTCGCCTCCAAACCAGATTTGACTTCCAAACTGGGAACTCACCTCCAGGCTGGACCTCACCTGCAAACTGGACTTCACCTCCAAGATGAACCTCACCTCCAGCCAGAGCCTCACCTCGGCCTGGATCTAACTTCCAGCCTGCACCTCCCCTCCAGCCAGGACCTCACCTCCAAACTGGCATCCACTTTCAGCCAGGACAAAAAGTCACCTCCAACCTGGAATTTTCCTCACCTCCAGCCTGGACTTTTCCTCACCTCCAACCCAAATCTAATCTCCAACCAGGACCTCACCTCCAGCCAGGACCTCACCTGGCTGCCAGACCAGGGGATCCAGGGGATCCAGAGCTCCTGGATTCTACAGGATTAGGATATCATTCCACAAGGAAACCATGCTGACCCTGTGGGATTTCCCAGTCCCACCCCTGGATGGGGCCGAAGGGTCAAGTTTTACCCTTGGGAATTTTTTTCCAAGTCCAAAAAAGCCCTGGAATTGCAACCTGGTTGGGAATCACCTCCAGAAGTCTCCAGGCCACAGAGAGAGCTGGAGCAAGAGGGAAGAAAATTAAGGAGAATGGGAAAATAACATATCTGAGGGAAGGGATAAGACTGGGATAAAATACAGGAATTATTTAAACCTGGGACTAAAGCAGCACTCTGGCCTCTGGGAGCTGTGATTTATTCCCAGGATGTTCCATTTTTTTCATGGATTGGAGGAGAAAAATTAAGGCTGAGGATTCCATATCTGTAATCCCACCAGGGAACACCCAGGGCATGGGACCCTTTGGATCTGTTTTCACACTTATTTATTTAATGAGGAAATGTTGGAATCACGACTCAGGCTCTGGAATTCTGCTCCCAGACCGTTCTCTGCCATGGAGATTCCTTCCAGCCACACCTCCCGGTTGGTTGGATTACATTCCATTCTTTTCCATGAAATTCTCAAAAAATGGAGAGCAAAAAAAATCCCACCAGTCCCAGAGCTGCCATTTGTTAAATGGATTTGATAAAATTAATCAAATTTTTATCAAATCCATTTATTAAATAGATTTGATAAAATCCCTGCCCCGGGAATTTCTGAGGTTCCTTGGGAAGGAAAACCAAAGTGAGGAGCAGCTGGTGATGGATTTTGCACAGAAAACCCCATCAGCGTCCTCTCCCAGCTGCCAAATCCATGGACAACAAGGATTCGGATCTCTCAGATGTTCCTATCAGTAAAATGAAGATGGTAGGTTTGGGGTCATGTGTGGAAAAAAAAAAAAAAAAGAAAAAAGGATTCATCACCTGATCCAAGGTGTGGAAAAATCACACTTGGGAATGGGGAAAAAACCTCTGGGACATCCACAGGATGAGGTGGATTGGAGGAAAAAATCCAGAAAATAAAAATATGGAACAGAGGTCCAGGTGCTCTGTCCATGCCCAGGAGGGAATGGGGACTTGGGAAGGGGAATGGGAAGGGAATAATGGGGTTTGGAGGGTGCTGGGTGAGAGAAAAAAGGAAAGGAAGAAGGGGGAAAGAGGGAAAAAAGGGAAAAAGAAGAGGGGGAGAAAGGATAAAAAGGAAAAAGATAAAATAAAGAAAATTGGGAAAAGTAACAAAAAAGAAAAAAGGGGAAAAGGGGGAGTAAAGAAAAAAGGGGAGAAGGAAAAAAAGGCAAAAAGGTGAAATGAGAAAAGGAAAAAGAAAGAAGATGAACAACTGGAGGGGGAAATAGGGAAGAAAATAAGTGGGGGAAAAATGGGGGAGGGAATGTGAATGAAAAATGGGGAGGGAAAAATTGAGGGGAAAAATGGGGGGAAATAGGGGTAAGGGAGTGAAGGGAGGAAATAGAAAAAAGAAAAAAACCCTAGGAGGAATAAGCAGGGGGGGAAAAGGAAAAAATGGGAAAAAATATAGAGGGAAAATAAAATGGGGGGGAGAAGGGGAAAACCTGAGGGAAGAACAGGGAGAAAGTAGAAAAAAAAGAAAAGGAAAAATACTCAGAAAAAATTGGGAAATAAACCCCAGGAGGAATCAGCAGGGGGAAAAAAATGGGGAAAAAACAGAGGAAAGAAAAACGTTTGGGAAAGAAAACTGTTGGGATAAAAAAACCTGCTGAGGATAAAGCAGGAAAAAACTCTAAACAAACAAGAGAAAGCACCAAGGGAAAAAAAAAAAGGGAGGAAAAATGGAAAAAAAAAAAAAAAACAAGACAAAAAACAAACAGGAAAAAATGGATGCAAACAAACAGGAGAAAGCACCAAGGAAAAAATAAGGGAGGAAAAATGGAAAAAAAAAACCAAAACAAGACAAAAAACAAACAGGAAAAAAATGGATGGAAAAAGGAATAAGAGGAAAAAATATACAAAGGAATAAATTCTGAAGCAGCGGATTTTGGTGGATTTTGGCAGCACTTGGCAGGCGCTGGGAAGAAGGGAAGGAGCAGGATGAGGATGGAGATGGAGCCATCCCAAAAGTTCCGGAGCAGCTTCCTGGTGGCTCATCCCGATCCCCAACCCCTTCCCGATCCTGTCCCATCCCTTTTCCAAGCTGGGTGAGCCCTGCCCAATCCCAAACACCTCCCCCTTCCCATCCCAGCTTCTACCTTCACCCAGCCCTGTAGGAGAAGGTTCTGGAAGATCCGAGGCGGGAATGGCGGAGCCTCTACGGTGGGACATCCATCCCAGTGCCAGAGGGGACGGAGCAGGGATGGGGGATCCTCCGTGGGCACAGCGGGGTTTTTGTGGGATCTTCCCGATGCTCCCGCCACGCTCCCGACGGCGCCGGTGGGACGCCGGGGCTGGCGGAGAGCTGACACCGTCTCCACATGAATATTCCATGAGGATCCGCGCACCAGCGGAACCTGAGCCGCCACCACGGCACCGAGAGCCCTCCTGGGCCATCGCCCGCCCTTCTCCCGCTTTCCTGAAGATCCCAGGCTCTGGAGAAGCCTCTGCTGTGCCACCACATCCCACCTGGGTTCCGGAAAGTTTGGAGCGGGAAGAACTTCCAAGGAAGTTTAAATCCGTGTTAGAGGCCAGAGACTCCAGCCAGCCTCTTCCCATGGATTTTCTGGGGTCTAATATGGGATTGAGCATGGATCATCTCCACTTCCACAAACCCTCCTGCTGCTCCTCTTGGCTTTGTCCTTCAGGATTTTGCCTTGTTGGGTTCTCCAGAATCCACAGGGATTCTGAAGACACAGCAGGGATTTGGGAGCAGCCCCTGTCCTGGCCAGCTTCCAGCTGAAAATCCCGTTACTGGTGAATTATCCATGGATGAAAGGACATCTTAATCACTGCCCCAAACTGGGAGTTGGAAGAACTTCCAAGGAAGTTTAAATCTGTGTTAGACACCAGAGATTCCAGCCAGCCTCTTCCCATGGATTTTCTGGGAAAATCATGGGGTTGAGCATGGATCATCTCCACTTCCACAAACCCTCTTGCTGCTGGAAATCAGTTCCACAAACTCTCCTGCTGCTCCTCTCGGCTTTGTCCTTTGGGATTTCATCCATGGGGATCTCCAGAATCCACAGGGATTCTGGAGCCACAGCAGGGATTTGGGAGCAGCCCCTCTCCTGGCCAGCTTCCAGCTGAAGATCCCATTACTGGTGAATTATCCATGGATAAAAGGATATTTTAATCACTGCCCCAAACTGGGAGTTGAAAGAACTTCCAAGGAAGTTTAAATACGTGTTAGAGGCCAGAGACTCCAGCCAGCCTCTTCCTGTGGATTTTCTGGGGAAATCATGGGATTGAACATGGATCATCTTCACTTCCACAAACCCTCCTGCTGCTGGAAATCAGTTCCACAAACCCTCCTGCTGCTCCTCTTGGCTTTGTCCTTCAGGATTTTGCCTTGTTGGGTCCCTGTGGATCCTGGAGCCACAGCAGGGATGTGGGAGCAGCCTCTGTCCTGGCCAGCTTCCAGCTGAAGATCCCATTACTGGTGAATTATCCATGGATAAAAGGATATTTGAATCACCAAACTGGGGGTTAGGAGCAGGGAACAGCATTCCCATGGCTCATTCCCTTGCAGGAATTCCACCTGTCAGGAATTCTTCCAGAGGACAGATCCCACTGCCAGGTTCATCCTACACCCTTGGGAAGACCCTAACCCTCAATCCCCTTGTTCCTCTTCCCAGAGGAAGGACCAGAGCTGGGAGAGCTCTTCCCGTTTTTCCTGACCCTGCCTCTCCTTGAGGACATTTTCCTCCTTCTCCACCTCATCTCCGCCTCCTGCTTCATCCCATTATTTGGGACGATCCATCCATGGGATGTGCCATGAATTGCTCCCTAAAGCACAAAACAAGGAATAGGAGCCAGGAGAGACCTCTTGGATGGGGAAGTCCCTGGGGCTGATCCCAGGATCATTCCCTGGAGCTGAGTTTAAATTTGAGCTAGAGGATCTGGTTTTTGGGGGAACATCCCAATCTGGCATCCATGAAAATTGTTGGGAATGAAAGGAAGGCAGGAGCTGAAGAAACCTGGCAGCCTAATGTGGGCACAGGAGCCATCAGATCATGGAATTCCCAAGTGGGAAGGGACCCACCGGGATCACGGATCCAACTCCTGCCCAGGACACCCCAGCGGTCCCACCCTGTCCCTGTCCCAGCGCTCCTGGAGCTCTGGTGGCCTTGGGAACGTCACCATTTCCTGGGGAGCTGTTCCAGTGTGCAGCCAGCTCTGGGGGAAGAACCTTTTCCTGAAATCCAAAGAAAAGCTGGATCTAAGTCCTGTCTGCACCCAGACTTCTCCTGCCCTGTCCATGTCCAGCCTGGGAATCTCCCTCCATCCGAACCCTACAGATCCCTCAAGGCCTCTCAGTTCCCTTCAGGCGCTGCCAGCCTCCAAAGATTTTTTTCTGGATAAATATTCCTTGTTTTTTTGGATAAATATTCCCTGCAGGCTCCAAGACCTGAGGCCACACATCCAAGAGAACCAAGTTTTTCCAGGGTGGCTTTAGAGGAAGGGAGAGCACAGCAACCGGATCAGCTGGGAAAAGTGGGAATGAAAAGGAGGAGGAGGAAGAGGAGCAGGAAGAGCAAACTGATTGGATCTGATGGGAAAAGTGGGAATGAAGAGGAGGAGGAGGAGAAGGGAGAGCAAACCAACCGGATCAGCTGGCAAAGTGGGAATGAGGAGGAGGAGGAGCAGGTAGATGAATCTGATGGGAAAAGTGGGAATGAAGAGGAGGAGGAGGAGGATCAGGGAGGTCAAACCTACTTGTGCTCCTTGGTCTTCTCCTTGCCTTTGCTGGAGCCGGTGGTGGAATATCGAGGGAATAAAAGGCAAACAAACCTTCAGTGCACTGGGGAATCAGGGAATCATGGAATGCTTTGGGTGGGAAGGGACCTTTGAGATCCATAATCCCACCCCTGCCGTGGCGGGGACACCTTCCACTATCCCATGGTGCTCCAAACCCCAGTGTCCAGCCTGGCCTTAGACACTTCCACAGCTGCTCTGGGAATTCCATCCCAGCCCTTCCCCACCCTCACAGGGAAGAATCCCCTCCCAATATCCCGTCCAAACTTCCTCTCTCTCAGCTTAAAATTTAGGTGGAAAACATCCCTGCATGGCTTAGGACACCCCGACTCCCAGCACTGGAGCTGGAAGCGAGGGAAATTTCCAGGATTTGTGTTTGGGGCCGTTAATGCAGGACATGCGGGATTCCCGGATTCCATTCCCGGCTTTGGGAAGCTCCTAGGCAGGGGACAAGGCTTCTCCTTTCTGGAGAGGGGGATGGTTTTCCTTACCCTAACACATCCATATCCCCACACCAGAGAGGCCTGTGCTGCAGGGAATAGACTGGATCTGGAATTCCTCATTCCTGCCTAGACTCCACATAGGAAACATCATTCCTTCCCTTCCCTTTTCCCTCTAAGATCCTGCTCTGCTCCTTGGCTTCTGGTTTGCTTCTCTCTCATATTTTTCTCTGCAGGTTCTGCCTCCCTGTTTTCCTCCCTGGGTCCTTCTTCCCTGTTTTCCTCCTCATTTTCCTCTCCATTCCTTTTTCCTATTTTCCTCCTCTTTTTCCTCCCCAGTCCTGTTCCCTGTTTTTCTCTCAGATCCCGCTTCTCTCCGTTTTCCTCTCTGTTTTCCACCCCAGTCCTGCTTCCCTCTTTTCCTCCCTGTTTTCCTCCCAGGTTCTGCTTCCCTGTTTTCTTCCCTGTTTTTCTCCCCATTTTCCTCCCTGTTTTCCTCCCCAGTCCTTCTTCCCTGTTTTCCTTTCCTCCCTGTTTTCCTTTCTGTTTTCCTCCCAGGTCCTGCTTCCCTGTTTTCCTCCCCAGTCTTTCTTCCCTATTCATTTTTCCTCCCAAGTTTCCTCCTTGATCCTGTTCCCCGTTTTCCTCTTGGATCCTGCTTCTCTCCATTTTCCTCCCTATTTTCCTCTCTGGCCCTGCCTCCCTATTTTCCTCTCTGTTTTCCACCCACTCCTGCTTCTCTCTTTTCCTCCCTGTTTTCCTTTCTGTTTCCCTCCCAGTTTTCCTCCCAGGTCTTGCTTCCCTATTTATTTTTTTCCCTACCTTCCTCCCTGATTTCCTCCCCAGTTCTTCTTCCCTACTTTCCTCCCTATTTTCCTCCCTGTTTTCCTCCTCGATCCTCCTTCCTTATTTTTCTCCCTACTTTCCTCCCTGTCTTCCTCCTCAGTCCTTCTTCCCTATTTATTTTCCTCCCTGATTTCCTCCCAGTTTTCCTCCCGGATTCTCCTTCCTTGTTTTCTTCCCTGTTTTCCTCCCCGGTCCTCCTTCCCTATTTTTCTCCTTACTTTCCTCCCTGTTTTCCTTCCTATTTTTTCTCCCCAGTCCTTCTTCCCTGTTTATTTTCCTCCCTGATTTCCTCTCCTGTCCTCATTCCCTGTTTTCCTCCCTGCTCCTGCTTCTCCCCATTTCCCTCCCCTCCCTCTCTCTCCTCCGTTAATCGCCCTCGTTGTCCTGCGGCAATTAGGGAGGAGAAAGCAATTAAGCATCTCGGGAAGTAATTAAGAAGCCTGGAGTTAATTACATCGGCCGGGCTGGGGACAGGGGACGGATTCCAGAGCCTGAAATTCCAGCTTCTTGTGCCTGTGCTGCTGGAAAACCATCCGGGAAAAAATTAAATATTGGGTTTTGGGCTTCGGGGTAATTCCAAAGGAGCTCCAGCATAAAACAGGAAAAATTATTCCCCTGCCAGCTGAGCTCCTCCTGGGAGCACCAAACCCCAGCTGGGCTTTGGAAAAGCTGCCAGGACAGGAATTATATCATTCCAGGCTTTCTCCTGGAGCTCAGGGATCTGTTCCAGGTCCTGCTGAACACACTGGAGATGGACTGGCTGGGATTCAAGGCAGGGATCACATCCTGCTGATCTCACTGGGCGGGATCCTTCCCTCCTTCCCTTCCCCATCCAAACTGCCCTGGGTGGGCAGAGGGGCTGGAATGTTCCCTGGAGTCAGGATGGGATCCATCCTGGGGTGGAAAGAGGGGCTGGAATGTTCCCTGGAGTCAGGATGGGATCCATCCCTGGGTGGAAAGAATGTTGGGAATGTCCCATCCCTGGGATCCATCCCTGGGTGGGCAGAGGGGCTGGAATGTTCCCTGGAGTCAGGATGGGATCCATCCCGGGGAGGGGAGAAGGGCTGGAATGTTTCCCTGGAGTCAGGATGGGATCCATCCCTGGGTGGAAAGAATGTTGGGAATGTCCCATCCCTGGGATCCATCCCTGGGTGGGAAGAGGAGCTGGAATGTTCCCTGGAGTCAGGATGGGATCCATCCTGGGGTGGGCAGAGGGTGTGGGATATCCTGTCCCTGGGTGGGAAGAAATGCTGGGATATCCCACCCCTGAGGATCCATCCCTGGATGGGAAGAAGGTCTGAGATGTCCCATCCCTGGGTGGGCAGAGGGTCAGGAATGTCCCATCTCTGTGTGGGAAGAGGGGCTGGAATGTCCCATCCCTGAGAATCCATCCCTGGGTGGGCAGAGGGGCTGGAATGCCTCATTCTTGGGTGGGCAGGGGGTTTGGGATATTCCATCCCTGAGGATCCATCCCTGGGTGGGAAGAGAGGCTGGGATATCCTATCCCTGGGTGGAAAGAGGTCGGGAATGTCCCATCCCTGGGTGGACAGAGGGTCTGGGATGTCCCATCCCCAGGATCCATCCCTGAGTGGGAAGAAGGGCTGGAATGTCCCATCCCTGGGATCCATCCTTGGGAGAGGGGCCAGGGAAGTGCAGATCCTGTGTCCTTTCCCTCTTCCTGGCGGGAAATCATGCTCTGGGTGAGGGATACAGGAACACAGCACATTCCAAGCGTGTCCCTCTTTTTCCTCTGTTCCCCTCCTCCTTCTCCAAGTGTTTCCTGCCTCTCTTTCCTCTCCTGATTCCTGCATCCACTGCATTCCTGGCACTCGGATCAGCGCTTCCTGAGGGATCCAGGATCCTTTCTCAAGGTCCTGGTGGAGCAGCCAATGCCAAATTCCTCTTTCTCCCTCCTTTCCTTTTCCCGGGGCCCTTCCAGTCCAACTCTCCTGCCAAAGGCGACCACGGACAGTCCCGGCCTGGGCACAGATGGAGAATTCCCATTTTATCCCTCAAACAGCTCGGCTTGGAGCACTTTCCTCGGGAAAATGGACTCATCCGGCCCTGCTGCTGTTCCCAGGGGATTCTGCTGCCGGGGGCTGGAGCCTAGAGGTGGAGGGTGCCCCTGGGAATCAGGGATCAGGGAATGGGGATACCTGAATGGCAACACCAGGTGCTTTTTCTCTTTCCCTTTGGCCTTGGCTCTGCAATCCAAAGGAGCAATTCCATGAGTTGTGATCCAGGGATGGGCTCTGATCCACCTTCTGCCCCCAAACTCATCCACATGCACGGAGCAATCCAACAAAGCCAATCCAGGAGGGTCCCGGAGGGAGAGATCCCTGTGCCCGGGATTCCCAAGGATCCCAGGGAATGGGAACAGGGGTAGGACAGCACTGGTGGGGATGGGATCAGGGATGGATGGTGGGATCATGGATGGATCCATGGATGGATGGATCTGTGGATGGATGGATGGAATGGGTAGAGGGAGGGAGGGAGGGATCCATGGATGGATTGATGGAATACGTGGATGGATGATAGAGGGATCCATGGATGGATCCATGGATGGATGGATCTGTGGATGGATGGATCCATGGATGGATGGATGAGGTGTGGATGGATGGACGGACGGATGGATGGATGGATGGATGGATGGATCCATGGAGGGATCCATGGAGGGATCCATGGATGGATCCATGGATGGATGGATCTGTGGATGGATGGATCCATGGATGGATGGATGAGGTGTGGATGGATGGACGGACGGATGGATGGATGGATGGATGGATGGATCCATGGAGGGATCCATGGAGGGATCCATGGATGGATCCATGGATGGATGGATCTGTGGATGGATGGATCCATGGATGGATGGATGAGGTGTGGATGGATGGACGGACGGATGGATGGATGGATGGATGGATGGATCCATGGAGGGATCCATGGATGGATGGATGGAGGGATCCATGGAAGGATGGAAGGAAGGATGGATCCATGGATTGCTTGGAACACGGACAAACACGACTCTGGGAGCCCCTGCAGAAGTGCCTGACTGGAAGGAGGTTTGTCCCTGCTGGGATTAGGAAGGACAGAGGGAATCCTAGGGGTGAGTGATCCCAGAAAAGGCCCTTTCCCTGGATGCAAACACCATGCAGGGCCTGCTCCCATCCATGCACACACCATTCCCAAAGGGAAGCAGGGACACCACGTCCCATACCTGGGATCTTCCGGGTCTTCGCTGTTGGGAGCAGATGGAGCCAGGAGGAGGAAGGTGAGGAATTAACGAACATTCCCAAATGGACACAGCCCATGGGAGCAGGACAGGGGGAGGGGCTGATCCTCAAATCCCAGGAATGGTTTGTGTGGGAAGAGACCTTAAGGATTATCCCATTCCAATCCTAACACCTTCCACTATCCCAAGGCGCTCCAATCTGGCTTTGGACACTTCCAGGGATCATGGGGCAGCCACAGCTTCTCTGGGAATTCCAGCCCAGCCCCTCCCCACCCTCCCAGCTAGGAATTCCTTCCCAGTATCCCACCCCAAGCCTCCCTTTCCCAATGGGAAGCCTTTCCCTGTGTCCTAGTACTATAATTCCTGGTATCACCTTGTGGGATAAAGTGCAGAGGGAGCACAGGATGAGGCTGACCTGGATCCCAAATCCTGGTTTTATGCTGGGACCAGCACCTCTTTGTAGGATTTGGATGCCTGGGATGGGCTGGAATGGAAGCAATCCCCCAAAATCCCAAAATCTGGGATCCCTCCCACCAGGACATTTCGGTACCTTGCCACTGCCTTGTATCCATCGTTAAACTTAATCCTGGGCGAGGCACCGGAGAGAAAGAGAGGGGAAAAAAAATCCAATCAAATCCCAACGTCAGAATTCCTGAGGGAGCAGGGACAGCCCTTCCCAGGGGGATGGGGCTGTGTCCAAGCTCTGGGTGCTCCAGGGAGGGAATTCCAGCTGTGCATCCAGCCCAGGGTGTTCCAGTTCCCCTATTCCCAGGAAAAACCCTGCTGGAGGCCGGATATGCACGTCCGTTGTGAGGAATGGGAGCTGTGTCCAGCACTTCCAGCATTATCCATTACTCCTGCTCCATCTGGGAATCTCCTCCACCGGGACAGGCTGGGGGCAATTTACATTCCCAGAATCCGGGAAAAATCTCCAGGTTCTGAAAACTCTGCCCTGGGGCTCGCAGCAGAACCTGCTCCGTTGTTTTGAACATTTTCCTGATTTTCAGGATCCTCAGGATGCAATATTTTTCCCAAGGAATTTAATGGCACGTTAAATGATTAACGTAATTTAATTAAATTTAATGGAGGGGTTGGAAAAAAAGATGGAAAACCTTGACTGGGACTTTTTTCCCTTGGTATGGAAAGGATCCCAAACTTCCTGTTCTTTCTGGTGGTGGCACTGTGACATCCCAAAGATCTGTGCCCAAATTTCTTATGGATTTGGGAATTTTGGACCCTTCTTACCTCTTTGGACACGGATGAATTCCCCACTATCCCAAATTCCAGCCATTCCCGGCACTTATCCATGTCCCCAAGTGCCACATCCACATGGGAATGGGAATGGGGAGCCTGCGGGGATTTTCATCCCAAATTCTCCTACGCCTGGCACAGATCCCAACTTTGGAGCAGGTGCCAGAGGGATAATTAGCGACAGGCAGTCGGACAAGGCTCGGATCCGCCGGGGACACGGAAGAAAAGCTTCCATCAATAATTCACCGGGAGCAGATTCCTTTCGGCTCCCAGCTCTGTCCTGGCCATGAATATTTCAAGGACAGCCCCTATCGGGTGGTGCTTCCCGGGATCTCACTTTCCAGGGGGTTGGGAGCTGGGCTCTGACAGGTTTTGGCAATTCCTGAGCTGCCTCTGGAAGTGCCCGTTCCTGGGAATCTAAGGGTGAGTCTATGTCGGTGAATAAATCCTGGAATTGTAAAATTTCAGAATGGTTTGGGTAGGAAAGGGTTTAAAAGCTCATCCCATTCCATGGGCAGGGACACTTCCCACTATCCCAGGTTCTCCAATCCCTTGGACACTCCCAGGGATCCAGGGGCAGCCACAGCTTCTCTGGGAATTCCATCCCAGCCACTCTTCACCCTCACAGGGAAGAATTCCTTCCCAGTATTTAATTTTTCCTGTCATTTTATGTTTTTCTGATTGGAACGCAAGTCCAGCTTTCGGAAGGATCCTGTCCTTCAGGATCCTTCTAAATCCTGATCCAATGTCCTCCCATCTCCTGGGATTTTTTTTTTTAATCCAGGTTGGATTTTTTTTATCTCTTATTTTCACCTAGGTTGGATTTTTTTAGCTCTTTATTTCCCCTTTCTGGATCCTTCCCTATGATTTTTTTTCATGGATTTGTTAGGTTTAAGTTCCCAAGGGATCAAGGATCCAAAGCCATTCCAGGGATGTGGCACATGGGAAGGCTCCACCTCCCATTCCTGGCTCCTTCCTCCCTGGATTCTGTGAGGGTTGAGCAGATTCCAAACTTGGGATCCTCAGGGAAACACAAAAAGGGAATTTAACAGATCCAAGTCCTGTTGGGGATCCTGGATCTAAGGAATTTTATTTGGAAAGCAGAACTTGGGAGGTGGATCAGCCCTGGAAGGGGGAGGATCTGCTGTGGGAATTTACCTGGAATGCTGATCTTCTTCCGCTTCGTCTCCAAGGCTTGGGAATTTACAGGGAGAGAGGAAAAATTCCGGCTGTGATGTGAGGACAAAGGGCTCTTCCATTGTTTTCTAAACCCGAAAAAACTTGGGAACACTCCGGCACAGCAAAACACTCCATGCATGGCTGGAATCCCGGGATTCCCCCATTCCACTTCCCGTTGTGTCCACAGCATCCAGGTTTGTACCAGACCGGACTTTGGGGGATATCTGGCCAATATTCCACCTTTTCCAACTGGTTCCCTCTTGCCTGACCTCCTTTTCCCAATCCCTCATTTTCTTTGGGATGGATTTGCTCAAATCCCAAAGGAAAAGCGGGAATGGGCGGGTGCTGTAACCTGTGCCAGGATTCCTGGAAGGAAGAAAAGGGAATTCCCAGCCTTTGGAAACCCTTGGGAAGCCCTGCCATCATCCCAGTGATGGAAAGCCCTTCCCATCCCTTGGAAAGCTGCAGGATTACTTCATGGGGGGGTCCTGATTGCATGGAAATTCCCCAATTTTGGGCAATTCCCAAGAAGAGGGAGGGAATTTATGAGGGGTCCTGATTGCACGGAAATTCCCCAATTTTGGGAAATTCCCAAGTAGGGGGAGGGAATTCATGGGGGGGTCCTGATTACATGGAAAATTCCCCAATTTTGGGCAATTTCCAAGCAGAGGGAGGGAATTCATGGGAGGCCCTGACTGCATGGAAATTTCCCAATTTTGGGCAATTCCCAAGCAGAGGTGCCCACATGGATCTGCAGACACAGGAGGGTGGTACATTTCCTGGGAAAGAGGGAATGAAGGTGGAAAATTCCCTGTGTTCCCAAGGGATCAGCCTGGATCCAGCAGCAGCAAGGAAAAGCTGGATCTGCTTTCCCTGGAATCGGCAGCTCCACAGGAGAATTCCCAAAATCCTTGACGTGGATGCTCTGCTCCATGGGAAGGGGACAAGGCTGTCCTGGATCTGCTGGAGAGGGATTTTTGCTTCCAGAGTTGCCAAATTCCAGGATCTCCAAGCTCAACCCTCTCCAGGATGTCTGTGCCCAAATCCCAGGGGATTCTCCAGGGGGAAAAGGGGCTCCAAGCTGGGAGTGGGGTGGGAGAAAGGCAGAAGAGGGAAGGGAATGCCAGGGATCGCGGGATTAGAAATTGGAAAAGACGGGAGTTAAACCAGGTCCCCGTGCCCAGGAACAGATTTTGGATAAGGGATGGAATGCCAGGAAAAGGGGGGAAGGCTTTAAGCTGCAAAGGGGTGGATTCAGATGGGATTTCTGGGAAGGAATTCTTCCCTGGGAGGACGGGGAGTGGGTGGGATGGCATTCCCAGAGCAGCTGTGGCTGCCCCTGGATCCCTGGGAATTTCCAAGGCCAGGCTGGATGGGGCTTGGAGCAGCCTGGGATAATGGGAAGTGTCGGGATTGGAATGGGATGAGCTTTAAGGTCCCTTCCCACCCAGAATATTCCATGGCTCCACAATTCCCTGTCTCCAGGGCTGTGGCCCCTGGTCCCTGAGGCTGTCCCTGTGACATTCCAGGGATGGAGTTCCATGCTCTGCATATCCCACTTTTCCTTGTGTATCCCACTCCCCTTTTCCTCCCTATCCCTGCCCACAAACCTTCCACCCATGTGGAAAACAGGGAATCCGGAGGGATTCCTAAGATGGAGGAAGGACAATGGGAATGGGATTGGGATTGGGAATGAGGAAGAGGAAGGCCAAGACAGGGAGCAGCAGGAGCCCTCCCAATCCCACTGAATTTCCTGTAACAAATGGAGGTCCGGAAACACCGGAATTCCTATTTTTTATTCTTCCGATCCAAATTTTTCCCAGATCTGGGATCTGTAAGTGATGCAGAAGGGAAGGCCTTCCAAAGGAGCTGGGACATTTTTGTTCCCAAAGGAATTTTAACCAAAGCCCTACCTTGGATTCCAAAGGATGGCTCACATCCCAGCGCCTTTGGATCCTTCCCAAAAGCTGGAATATGGAACCTTTATTTTCTTTCATTCCCAGTTTTTATGTTTTTTTTTTTTTATTCCTGGTAAATTACACCATGATTGCTACAGCCCGAACCATTTCTTTTCTTTTATTCCCAGTTTTTTTTTTTTATTCCTGGTAAATTACATCATGATTGCTACAGCCCGAACCAGGCATTCCTTGGAGCAAAATCCTCCAGGAATTCTCAGTGAAAACAGGGATAAAAAAAAAAACATGAATGATCCCCAGAGGTGCTGAGACCTGGGAATTGTTTGGGATGGGGGATAAACCTTTCCCATCCCAGGGAATTCCCTGTATTTCCGGTATTCCCTGCATCACCTCCTTCATGCTGCTTGTATGGATGTCTCTGTTCCCAAAATGAGGGTTTTATCCCCAAAAACCTCATTTAAAAGGCTTGGCTTTGGGAATCTCCCTCTCCCAATTTTATCCTCGCTCATCCCTGACTTCCATGAGGAAGGGCTGGGGGAATTCCTGCCCCTCCCAGCCAGAATCGATCCAGGCTGACCAGGAATGCTGGGATGGGTGATCCAGGGGGATCCTGGACTCTGCCCTGAGATCCAACAGAATCCATGGCCCAGCCAGGGAAAAGGTGGGATGGGATAATGGGATGATGGGATAATGGGATGATGGGATGGGATAATGGGATGGGATGGGATGGGATTGGATGGGGTGGGATCCATGGGATGGGATCCATGGGATGGGATAATGGGACAGGACAGGATAATAGGATAATGGAATGGCATAATGGGATGGGATAATGGAACAGGATGGAGATGGGATGATGGGATGGGATGGGATGGGATAGGATCCATGGAATGGGATCCATGGGACAGGTTCCATGGGATGGGTTCCAGGGGATGGGATGGGATGGGATAATGGGATGGGATAATGGAACAGGATGGAGATGGGATGATGAGATGGGATGGGATGGGATAATGGGATGGGATAATGGAACAGGATGGAGATGGGATGATGGGATGGGATGGGATGGAATGGGACCCACCAGATGGGATGGGATAATGGCATAATGGGATAATAGGTTAATGGGATAATGGGATGATAGAATAATGGGATGGGATAATGGGATGGGGATGGGGTGGGATCATGGGATGGGATGGGATGGGATGGGATGGGATGGGATGGGATAGGATGGAATGGGACCCACCAGATGGGATGGGATAATGGCATAATGGGATAATAGGTTAATGGGATAATGGGATGATAGAATAATGGGATGGGATAATGGGATGGGATGGGATAATGGGATGGGATGGGCTGGGATGGGATCCATGGGATGGGATGGGTTAGGGTGGGATATTTTCCATTGGAAGGGACTCACAGGGATCACCTGGTCCAACTCCGCCCTCTCCAAGGCAGAGCCACTGTTAAATCCTGTTATTATGAGCCCCTCCATGTCCTTCCTGCCATCCCTCGTCCCACAGGAATCCAGGAGCTTTTCCCAAAATGCTCCTTCCTCTGGCTGAGCTCCTCTTGGGACGATCCTTGGGATTTTACCTGCAATTCCCCTTCTTTGGCTCCTTCCCAAACTCTTTTGTCACTCCGAGAAAATCCACAGCAAACAAACTTCCATGCACACGCAGGGAGCTCATTCCCATGGGAATGGCTGATCCCGGGATCTGGGGACAGGACAGAAGGGCACCTCAAAGGTACGGCAGTGTCCCAGCCCATATCCCGATCTCCATCCCGGATCCCATTCCAAGGCTGCTTTTCTGGCTGTTCCATCGCTTCTCCTCCCCACCAGCAGCCCAGGAATGGGAATTCAGGGACAATTCCTGCGGGAGATCCGTGGGGAAAAGGCACGGAGCAGCACAACACTGCGGAGCCTCTCCCTACCTCGTGTCCAGGGACCCCTGGCTGAGGGAATCCCCCTCTCCCAGGAGCTCATCCTCGCTGTGGAAATACAGCTCGTCCTCTTCCATCCTGGTGGGAACACCGCAAGCATCAGCCCTGTCCTTCCTGGGATTCAGGATTCCAAAATCACGGAATCACTGAGCCCTTTAGGTTGGAAAAGCTCTCCGAGTCCTACCATCCCCAGCAGCGCCAAGGCCACCCCTGATCCATGTCCCCCCGTGCCACATCCACAGAGATTTGAAATGCCACCAGGGATGGGGGCTCCAGCCCTTCCCTGTGCCGGGGTGGGCAGCCCTTTCCATGAAGGAATTGTTCCCAAAATCCAACCTGGAGACCCCACCCAGGACATGGCTCTGCACATCCCACGCTCGGCAAACGCCACAACTCTTCCTAAAATGGGGCAGCCACAGCTCCTCTGGGAATTCCAGCCCAGTCCCTCCCCACCCTCCGAGCTGGGAATTCCTTCCCAAGATCCCACCCCAAGCTCCCTTTCCCCAGTGGAAGCCATTCCCTGGCTCCTGGCCCTCCATCCTTTTCCCAAATTCCAGCTCTCCTGGAGCTCCTTGAGGCTCGGGAAGGGGCCCTGAGCTCTCCCTGGATCCTTAATTTTCTGCTTTAATCCCACAGAGCTGCATCCCACAGGATTCATTTGATGAGAAACCAGAAAACCCATCCTGGAGCTATCCCAGCAGCATCCTCCAAATCCCTGGAATCCTCCAATTCCCTGGAATTCTCGAATCCCAGACTGGTTTGGGTGGGAAGTGAGCTTAAATCCCATTCAGTGCCACCCCTGGCGTGGGCAGGGACACCTCCCACTGTCCCAGGGTGGTCCAAACCTCATCCAACCTTTCCTTGGACACTTCCTTGAGGGATGGAGCATCCATCGTGCTCCCTGCATCCCTAAATTCCAGTGGCACAGGCAGGACCTGGATATCCCATCCCAGCCAGCCTGACCTCTGTCCTGGGTTGTAAGATTGTTTTTATTTGTTTGTACTATTGTGTTTGTATTTTTAATTATCCTAATAAATAACTGTTATTCTTATTCCCATATCTTTGCCTGACAGCCCCTTAATTTCAAAAATTAGAATAATTCGGAGGGAGGGGGTTTATATTTTCTATTTCAGGGGAGGCTCCTGCCTTCCTCAGCAGTCTTTTCAAACCAAGACACCCCCTCTTCCAGCTGTGCCATTCCCAGCTCCCTGCCCGGCATCCGCCTGTTCAATCCATCGCCGCATTCCCGCTCAGCCTCGTCCCAGCTCGCTGAGCCGGGGAACAAAATGATGCCGCGCTTCCAATTTGCTTTAAAATTCCCTGGATTCAGCCCAGTTCCCACAGTTAATGAACTGCCTTGGAGAGATGCAAGCAATTAGAGGGATATTCCCTCTGTCTCCCGTTTTTCCCTCTTTTTGGCCACAATAAAGCACTAATCCCGGATGGAATGTGGTCCAAAATGGGATAACCCTGAGGGGGGGAAATGGGATGGAAAGATCAGCTGATTCCCAGGGCTGTGTTTGGATTCACAGCTCCAGGCTGGGATCCTCATGTGGATTTAGGGATTTGGCAGTTCTGGGGGAATGTTTGGACTCGGTGCTCTCAGAGGGATTTTCCAGCCGGAAGTGTTCTGATATTCCATGATTTGGGAATACAGGGATTGCCCTCCTTTATCCACCACCATCCCTGTCTGCTCCTCATGGATCCACCATGGAAGTGGTGGATCCATGAGGAGCAGACAGGGAATGTGGTGTTCCCGAGGGAGCTGTGGGTGACACCAGGACCCGGCTCTGCCTTCCCCCTCTCCCACTTCCAGAGTCTCCCTTCCATCTCCACCTCATTCCTGAAGAATTCCAGCAAACTCTGGGCTTTGATGTCTCCCCTGTTCCAACTGTTCCCTTTTCCAATGGATTCATGAGCTCCCAGAGTGGGGACCCACAGACAAAGCCACGCCGGACAGAACAACTCCAAAAAATGTGGAAAGCTGCCTGAGAATCCACCTTAGCATTCCATTAATCCCCCTGTGGCTGCAAATCTTGGATTTACAGAATCCCAGAAGCTGGGAAATCCCTCCAGGATCATCGAGGCCGAGCTGTGCCTGATCCCCACCTTGTTCCCAGCCCAGAGCACTGAGTGCCACATCCAGGAATTCCCTGGACACCTCCAGGGATGGGCACTCCATCACCATCCAAGGATCGTGCCCTGAGTATCCACAGGCTCATGGAGAACTGATCCCAGCTCGGACTCCATCCCATTGGAGCCACCTGCAGCATTCCCAGTCACTAGGCTGGGATTGCAACTGGTTCCAGCAGCTTTGTGGCAAGGAATGTCAGGATTCAGCCCCTGGGATTGTTCCCATCCAGGAGCAAATCCCAGGAGCCCACAAAGATGCCCAAGGAAAGCTACGGATCCCTAAATGAATGGAAAACCAGAATTCCCATGGAAGAACTGGAGGTGTCCCACCTGCCACCGTGGGGATCCGCAGGAATTCCCATCAGAAATCTCCTGGTGTGAGATTCCACTTGTCCTGGGGAGTGACTGAGACCCCAACAGCGGCCTTGGAGCCACCTCAGTCCTGGGCGCACCATGTGCTCCATGGACGCCTGAGATTCCAGGTGTCCTAAATCCCACCAGTGAGGCCTGGCCAGGAGCCAGACCCTCCATCCCCTCTGGATCAGGATGGAATGACACTTTTCCTCCAAGTGCTTCAGTCCTGGAAGTTCAGCTCTCTCCAGGTGTTGTGAGGACCTACTGGAGGCCATTGTCACCTGATGCTTTTCCATCCATCCATCCTTGTCATCTGATGCTTTTCCATCCATCCATCAGTGAGTCCTGACCCCATCCAGACCTTTTATCTCCTTGGGATCAGTATGGAATGACACTTTCTCTCCAAGTGCTTCAGTCCTGGAAGTTTGGCTCTCTCCAGGTGTCGTGAGGACCTGCTGGAAGCCACTGTCACCTGATGCTGTTCCATGGATCCACCAGTGAGCCCTGACAACCACAACTATCCAGATATTTTATTCCCTCGGGATCAGGATGGAATGATGCTTCCTGACCATGTGCTACCATCCTGGAATTTCAGCTCTCTCCTGGAGCACCAGGACTTGCTGGAGGCCTCCTGCATCCCACCCTAACCTGGAGCTGTTCCATGGATCCCCCAGTGAGCCCTGACCCCCGTCCAGACCCTTCATCCCCTCAGGATCAGGATGGAATGACACTTTCTTTCCAAGTGCTACAATCCTGGAAGTCCAGCTCTGTCCTGGAGCACCAGGACCTGCTGGAGGCCACCTGGATCCCACCCTCATATGCAGCTTTTCCATGGATCCACCAGTGAGCCCTGACCCCCACCCAGACATTTTATCCCCTCGGAATCAGGATGGAATGACATTTTCCCTCCAAGTCCTTCAGTCCTGGAAGTCCAGCTCTCTCCAGGTGTGGTGGGTCACCAGGACCTGCTGGTGGCTCACCTGGATCCCACGCTCACCTGGAGCTGTTCCCTGGATCCACCAGTGAGCTCTGACCCCCATCCAGAACTTTGATCCCCTCAGGATCAGGATGGAATGACACTTTCCCTCCATGTGCTGCAATCCTGGAAGTCCAGCTCTGTCCTGGAGCACCAGGACCTGCTAGAGGTCACTTGGATCCCACCCTCACCTGTTGGATCCACAGGTTCCATGGAGATGTTCCATGGATCCACCAGTGAGCCCTGACCCTCATCCAGACCTTTGATCCCCTCAGGATCAGGATGGAATGACATTTTCCCTTCGAGTGCTTCAATCCTGGAAGTCCAGCTCTATCCTGGAGGACCAGGACCTGCTGCAGGCCACCTGGATCCCACCCTCACATGCAGCTTTTCCATGGATCCACCAGTGAGCCCTAACCCCCATCCAAATATTTTATCCCCTCGGAATCAGGATGGAATGACATTTTCCCTCCAAGTTCTTCAGTCCTGGAAGTCCAGCTCTCTCCAGGTGTGGTGGAGCACCAGGACCTACTGATGGCTCACCTGGATCCCACGCTCACCTGGAGCTGTTCCCTGGATCCTCCGAGGGCAGGAGATGCCCCTTGGAGCAGCGCTGGGTTGACGCTGCCCTTTCCCAACAATCCAAGCCCTCCCAATCCCCCCACAATCCCACACCCAGGAGTTCTGTGTCCCGTTACCTCCTGAAGCTCCTCTCCGTGGATTGCTGGTTGGATTTCCCGGGAGAGACGTTTGAGCCGTGCCGGTGGCTGGACAGGAGGCTGTCGGTCTCCAGGGAATACCTCCCGTCCCCCTCCGAGTGCACGCTGGGCGTCTCCAGGAATTCCTTGTCATTCCCCGAGGGCAGGAGATGCCCCTTGGAGCAGCGCTGGGTTGACGCTGCCCTTTCCCAACAATCCAAGCCCTCCCAGTCCCCCCACAATCCCACACCCAGGGGCTCCATGTCCCGTTACCTCCTGAAGCTCCTCTCCGTGGATTGCTGGTTGGATTTCCCGGGAGAGACATCGGAGCTGTGCCGGTGGCCGGACAGGAGGCTGTCGGTCTCCAGGGAATACCTCCCGTCCCCCTCCGAGTGCACGCTGGGCGTCTCCAGGAATTCCTTGTCATTCCAGGTGCCCATGGTCCCATCCAGAGCCTGGTAGCGGATCTCTATGGAGATGCTGGTCTGCAAGACAGGGAGACACCATCAGTGTCCGTGGAACACCCCAGGAAATCCAAAAAGCGGGAAGAGCATCGGCCGTTGGATATTCTAGCCTTGCTGGTCCCGAAGTTTCTCTGTTCCTGGGTGGATTCTTTGCTTCTTTTCTTCTGCCAAGGGATTAAATCACAATTTCTTGTTGGAATTTCTTGTTGGGACTCAGATGTTTATCAGTTCTTATCTATCTTATCTCTCAAGCCCTGAGTTCTACAGCACTTCACTCCGAGACACCATCAGTGTCCGTGGAACATCCCAGGAAATCCAAAAAGCAGGAAGAGCATCGGCCATTGGATGTTTTAGCCTTGCTGGTCCCGAAGTTTCTCTGTTCCTGGGTGGATTCTTTGCTTCTTTTCTTCTGCCAAGGGATTAAATCACAATTTCTTGTTGGAATTTCTTGTTGGGACTCAGATGTTTATCAGTTCTTATCTATCTTATCTCTCAAGCCCTGAGTTCTACAGCACTTCACTCCAAAAACCAAAAATGGAGCCCCGTCTCTCTCTCTCTTTACAAGGCCTTTTAAGGATAAATTATTCAATTAAGAAATTACACCTAAATTGTTTTTACTTTTTTACCCAATAACCAACCACCCGTGACCCGCAATGCGGACTTTTTATCCAATTACACAAAAACACCCAAAGGCATGGAGAAGGTGAAGGAGAAGAAGAAGAAGAAGAGGAGGAGGAAGAAGACAAAGAAGAAAATTAAGAAGAAAGTGAAGAAGAAGAAGAAGGTAAAGAAGAAGAAGGAGAAGAAGAAGCAGAAGGTGAAGAAGAAGAAGAAGAGGAGGAGTAAGAAGACAAAGAAGAAAATTAAGAAGAAAGTGAAGAAGAAGAGGAAGGTAAAGAAGGAGAAGGAGAAGGAGAAGGAGAAGAAGAAGAAGAAGAAGAAGAAGAAGAAGAAGAAGAAGAAGAAGAAGAAGAAGAAAAAGAAGAAGAAGAAGAAGAAGAAGAAGAAGAAGAAGAAGAAGAAGAAGAAGAAGAAGAAGAAGAAGAAGAAGAAGAAGAAGAAGAAGAAGAAGAAGAAGAAGAAGAAGAAGAAGAAGAAGAAGAAGAAGAAGAAGAAGAAGAAGAAGAAGAAGAAGAAGAAGAAGAAGAAGAAAATTAAGAAGAAGAAGGTGAAAATGGAGAAGAAGATGAAGAAGAAGGTGAAGAAAATGAAGAAGAAGGACCAGCCTCTGCCCTAAAACCTCCATCTTGCTTTATATTTATTACTATATTCTAAAACCCCAAACTCTGAGTTTCCCACCCTGTGACATCACACACTTCTGACTTTTTATCCAATTACACAAAAACACCCAAAGGCATGGAGAAGGTGAAGGAGAAGAAGAAGGTGAATATGAAGAGGGTGAAGGTGAAGAAGGTGAAGAAGGTGATGAAGAAGAAGGTAAGAAGAAGTAGAAGGTGAAGAAGAAGAAGCAGAAGGTGAAGAAGAAGAAGAAGAGGAGGAGGAAGAAGACAAAGAAGAAAATTAAGAAGAAAGTGAAGAAGAAGAAGAAGGTAAAGAAGAAGAAGGAGAAGAAGAAGCAGAAGGTGAAGAAGAAGAAGAAGAGGAGGAGGAAGAAGACAAAGAAGAAAATTAAGAAGAAAGTGAAGAAGAAGAAGAAGGTAAAGAAGAAGAAGGAGAAGAAGAAGAAGAAGAAGAAGAAGAAGAAAATTAAGAAGAAGAAGGTGAAAATGGAGAAGAAGATGAAGAAGAAGGTGAAGAAAATGAAGAAGAAGAAGGTAAGAAGAAGTAGAAGGTGAAGAAGAAGAAGAAGATGATGATGAAGGTAAAAAGAAGTAGGTGAAGAAGGTGAAGAAGAAAAAGGTGAAAAAGGTGAAGAAAATTAAGAAGAAGGTGGTGAAGAAAATGAAGAAGAAGAAGGATCAGCCTCTGCCCTAAAACCTCCATCTTGCTTTATATTTATTACTATATTCTAAAACCCCAAACTCTGAGTTTCCCACCCTGTGACATCACACACTTCTAAACGACTCCACACCCACAATCCCAGTGCTGTCAGTCAATTTTGGAAGCCTTCTCCATGGCCTCAGCTCACATGCAGTGCTCTCCTGGGGGCCAGAGCCTGTCAGCACAGAAATCTGAAATTCCCAGCACCCAGGGCTCCAACATCCGGACACCTGGAGAGCACCTTTGGGCCAGAGAGGGATCTGACCATGGTCCTGATTCACCGGAAATTCCTGGCGCATCCAGGAATTCAATCCAGGAATCCAGACCAGTGGCAGCAGAGGTGGGAGAAGGAAAAGCCCGGAAAAGCCACAAACCCTGGGGAGCAGCTGGAGGCACCAGGAGGAGATGGATCTGGTTCCTGGTGGAGCTGAGCTCCCTGGTTCATCACTTTGCTGGGAATTTTACCCTGGGATACTGATATTCCATGGATTGTGGTGCACTATTCCAGCCAGGTCCTGTCTCCAGGTTGGGCAGGTGTTTTTTAGGAATGGGCATCCCTGGGGAGCAGCTGGAGGCACCAGGAGCAGATGGATCTGGTTCCTGGTGGAGCTGTGTTCCCTGGTCCACCACTTTGTTGGGAATTTTACCCTGGGATACTGATAATCCATGGATTGTGATGCACTATTCCAGCCTGCTCCTGTCTCCAGGTTGGGCAGGGTGTTTTTTAGGAATGGGCATCCCTGGGGAGCAGCTGGAGGCACCAGGAGGAGATGGAGCCAGTTCCTGGTGGAGCTGTGTTCTCCAGTCCACCACTTTTTTGGGAATTTTACCCTGGGATACTGCTAGTCCATGGATTTATGATGCATCACTCCAGCCTGGTCCTGTCTCCAGGTTGGGCAGGATTTTTTTAGGAATGGGCATCCCTGGGGAGCAGCTGGAGGCACCAGGAGGAGATGGAGCCAGTTCCTGGTGGAGCTGTGTTCTCTGATCCACCACTTTATTGGGAATTTTACCCTGGGATACTGATAATCCATGGATTGTGATGCACTATTCCAGCCTGCTCCTGTCTCCAGGCTGGGCAGGGTGTTTTTTAGTAATGGGCGTCCCTGGGGAGCAGCTGGAGGCACTAAGAGCAGATGGAGCCAGTTCCTGGTGGAGCTGATCTCCTAGGTCCACCACTTTGCTGGGAATTTTACCCTGGGATACTGCTAATCCATGGATTTGTGGGGCATCACTCCAGCCTGGTCCTGTCTCCAGGCAGGGCAGGGTGTTTTTTAGGAATGGCCATCCCTGGGGAGCCTTGGATCGGTTCTGGTTTGGATCCCCCACAGTGTCCATGACAGCCCAGGTGGGGCTTGGGGACATGAAGGGACCTGGCACTGGCCGTGTCCAAACCTCATCCCAAGCTTCTCAGGGATCACAGAATCCTGGAATGGTTTGGGTGGGAAAGGGCCTTACAACCCACCCCATTCCACCTTCCAGGGTGCTCCAACCCCAATGTCCAACCTTTCCTTGGACACTGGCAGGGATCCAGGGGCAGCCACGGCTGCTCTGGGAATTCCAGACCAGCCAGGAATTCCTTCCCAAAATCCCACATCCAATCTTTGATCTAAACCTCCCTGGATGAACCAGCTCCAAGTAAGTTCCTCTCCCTTTTCCCCGTGACCATTCCCAACTTGCTCCAGGTTGCAGCAAATTCAAGTTTGGAGCTTTCAAGTATTTTTCTCCCTAAAATATTTCCTTTTTCTCCCTAAAATCTTTCCTTTTTTCTCCCTAAAATCTTTCCTTTTTTCTCCCTAAAATCTTTCCTTTTTTCTCCCTAAAATCTTTCCTTTTTTCTCCCTAAAATCTTTCCTTTTTT